TAGGTGGTTGAAGTGGTGTGCCTACACCTTCTACATTTTTGGGGCTCTATGTGCAAATGAGTTTATCGGAATCAATGGCCCAGAACTGGGGCAGTTCTACGCCTGTCCATATTCCGATAACCCTCTAGACCCAGCCTGTAAGCAATATACCGGGCGCTACATCATGGAAAGCCTGGGAATGCCACCCAACTGGATTTGGCGGCCTATTGTGGTGCTAGTTGCGTTTGCCGTTGGTCACTATCTCTTCGCCGGTCTGTTGCTTCAATATAACCGCTTTGCCATAGATGTTGCTCAAGCACGAAAGACCGAAGGAGACCCAACTGGTGGGAAATCCAAGCTCGCTATCCGCCCAACAGAAGAGGCGCGTAAAGTGGCAATATCGCTTGATAAGTACGCATTGGATCTTCGAATGAGACAATACCCTTGGCAAACAGCCAAAAGACTACAGATCTTGAAACCCATTACTGCTAAGTTTCAGTCAGGGGAGCTGAACACTATCATGGGCCCATCTGGAAGTGGTAAGACATCACTGCTCAACTCCATAGCCCACAGGTTGCACGGGTCCGTAGGGACACAATATCGCGTCCATGGCAACATGCTATACAACGGAGCCGTACCCTCAGAGAGTGTGGTCCGCTCAGTGACATCTTTTGTAACGCAAGATGACGATGCACTGATGCCCTCACTAACCGTCCGAGAGAGTCTACGATTCGCCGCAGGTCTACGTCTCCCAACCTGGATGTCACGCGAAGAAAAGAACCGACGCGCAGAAGAGATCCTCTATAAAATGGGATTAAAAGAATGCGCCGACAATCTCATCGGCAGCGACCTCATCAAAGGCATCAGCGGCGGCGAGAAGCGGCGCGTAACGATCGCGATCCAAATCCTCACAGACCCCAAAGTCCTCCTCCTCGACGAACCAACCTCCGGCCTCGATGCCTTCACAGCAATGTCCATAATCGAGCTCCTTCACAGCCTCGCCGCCGAAGGCCGCACTCTAATCCTAACCCTCCACCAATCCCGCTCAGATCTCTTTACCCACTTCTCCCAAGTCCTTCTACTTGCCCGCGGCGGCTACCCCGTCTACGCAGGCCCCGGAACGCAAATGCTCGCGCACTTCGCCAAGCAGGGCCACGAGTGTCCACGCACGACCAACCCAGCAGACTTCGTCTTGGATCTCATCACAGTCGATCTTCAGCAAGCAGACCGTGAACTCATCACGCGCGAGCGTGTGCATGGCCTCATTTCCTGCTGGCAGGATAACCCTCTCGAGCTAGGGCTAGACCGGCAGACGTCGCAGATTGCTACGCCTGCCGAACTGGGAAGTCTTAAGCGCCAAATGCTGCCATTCCGCGTGACGTTTCCGCTGGTATTGCATCGCTCCGTGATTAACCTCTGGCGCCAGCCGCCGCTGGTTATGGCGCGGTCGATGCAGATCCCGGGAATAGCAATTATCATGGCGCTTTTCTTTGCGCCGCTGAAGAATGATTATGCGGCCGTTCAATCTCGTATGGGATTTATCCAGGAGTTTGCGGCACTGTACTTTGTTGGTATGTTTACTCTATTCTCCTCCAGTCTTCTCCACTAGATTTCCCTTTTGTAGACACATGCTAATCTCCTAAATAGGTATGCTCCAGAACATCGCCATCTACCCCGGCGAACGCGACGTCTTCTACCGTGAAGAAGCAGATAACTGCTACACGGCATCAACATTCATCCTCAGCTACACTGCAATCGAAATCCCCTTCGAAATAGTCTCATCACTCGTCTTCGGCGCATTAGCCGCCTTCGCAGACAATCTACAACGCACTGTAACGATGTTCCTCATCAGCGCATTCAACTGTTTCTGCATAATCAGCTGCGGCGAGTCTGTGGGCATAATGTTCTGCACATTATTCTCGCACGTTGGCTTTGCCGTCAATGTGACCTCTATCCTACTCTCGATCTCGACCATCCTCGGTGGTGTCATGAGTCTTAATGTCAACAATGTGTTGCAGGGACTGAACCATCTCTCGCCGATCAAGTATGCCATTGCTAATCTGGCGCCGTATTCAATGCATGGTCAGGTGTTTCATTGCTCTGATGCTCAGAGGCTTGCTAACGGGAGTTGTCCTGTTGATTCCGGGGAGCAGGTGCTTAAGCTCTACAATCTGGATAAGAGTGGGCCGATGAATATCATGGCGTTGGGTGTTTGCACGATCATATATCGGGTTGTTGCTTATGCACTTCTCAAGGCTATGAGATCGCATAGACTTATGGAGCAGTGGCGGGAGTGGCGGGCTAAGAGAAAGGCTAGATAAATCTGGATTTAATTTTCTTTTGGTGGATTTTGTCTTTTGGTTAGTTGAGATACCCTTCCATGTGCAGTTTGTTTTCTTTTTCAGATGTCTACACTAAACTCTACTAAATCTTGATAACGAAAGTCTTTAGAAAATAATCAAAGGATTGAAAACTAAACACATAGCGTTCACCCGGGAATGCACACACGTTCAAGATGGACATAGCAAGCACTGTCTGTCTGTATGAAATCAAAGAAAATTTGGAAAGCGCGAGGGAAAAGGAAATGCGACTAAAAACTGTTGGTATCAAACAGCAGGTGGCCTAGTGATAACATGTCTCGCACATGTACTACGAGGGAAATGCCCACGATCTTCCACTACCAGGCTGTTCCGGTATGGTCGTTCTTGCATTATACCATCTATGTTTCTTTTTGTCTTTCCCCCCCTCCTTCATAGAAGAGAAACCCAGAGAAAGCATAGTTAATGCCTGAGGCATCTACATCCACCCAGTATTGATAGCTCTTTCCTCTTCTATTTCTTTCCTTTATTCCCTGGCCCTGTTAACGGAATATACTGATGTAACATTGCTTTAGGGGCTGTCCATATTTCACAAACAAATGTTGCGGTTTATGTTACGTTGAACACAAACACCTCTATCCCGACAAACGGTATTCCACCTGAAGGTCAAAACTTCGGCGGGTACTCTGATTGTCACCAGAAATGTCATGCATAAGAATAATCTATATCCGTTAAAACCTATTTTGATTGACTTTGGATTTAAAAGGCCATGTTCTAGCTCAATATAGGCAACAGTGAAACTTAAATCCAGATTCATTTGATATCCTCCAAATTTCAAGGCCTTGACGCCTTGGCTTCAGTCATGAAACCAAAAGGAATTGTGGCAAGAAGCTCCCTGCTATTATTTACTTTGGATGCTAAGACACTTAGTTTGGGCAGAGATAACACTCACTGTCTGAAACTGGATACTACTACTCATATATGGTCACGTGACCGATTCGTTCAGGCCCTAGTATCAAGGTTTACGATCTGTACATTGCACAACGCAAAAATAATCACATTATTGACTAATATAGAAGCTCAAAGTGGTGTCAAATATGACCTGCCAAGTGGATTACTGATAATCGACAGTGACGCCTGTGGCTCACAGTTCTACCCGAGAGCACCCGGTATACCCAACAAGGCAGGCCGTAACAGGCAATATTATTAATCCGCCTCGAATGCTAAATACATATTACGGAGTATGTTGCTCAATGGGAATAGAGTTGGCATTCCCTACCCTTTGAGGAAGGTTCTAGACTACATAACCAAGAATTAAGCCACGCCGAGTGAAAGCCGGCGGTCTTGGCATGACATGTGGATTTCTACGGTTGGGACAGACTAAACGGCAAAAGGTTGGGGAAAAGGTTTAAGCATAACCACGTCCATTGGACGAAATAACCTTAATAATCAGCTTCTTTCAACTTCCCTCGTGGCCGGTTTGCCCCATTAGTTCTTCCCAAACTTTTGACTAATTGTTCCATGGTTGAGTACGAGAGGTTCACCCAGATAATGGATATCGCCTCTCAATAGGAACAGTCCTGACAGGCATTGTCTGCTAATCGTGAATGGATAACTCGGCACTTTGAGTTAGTACCTGTCTGCATTCATCAAAGTGGATTTTGCAGTATGTACAACACACAACGTATGTAGCAGTCTATAACCCTATGACGAAAGTAATATAAATAAGAGACACACACTAAAACCTGAATGACCACACCGTACTCCGTAAAGCGTTGTTCGACAGCGAAAACTGCAGATCAAAGCCAAATTAATCTCCGATTCCTTTGAAAAAGGTCCACCAAATCAGAGCGAAGCTTCGAATCGGAAATCTCTAATCGAAAATCTTGAAGCTACGCCCCTCAGTGGACACCTTAAACGCCATCCGCATATCCGACTGGCGGAGGATCGACATTGTGTGCAACGGACCTGAGATGTGGATCCATATGTGCGAATGGGAGATTTTGTGGGTTGGGGTCTGTTCAGGGTCCCTGTTTATCACTTGTTCTAGATCGTGATTATACTTGTTTTTCGTGCGTTAGGGCAACGTCTTCGTGGATCCACTATTATTTGCTTCGTTTTATGTACAAAAGCATGCGATCATCTGTGGGTTCGGGGATTTTACCTGTTTGTGTTTTACTTTCCAAATAATGAATTTTCAAGTTTTACCCAATGCTTTTCTCTTAGTCAAATGGTTTTAGAAAAATCAATGTAATACTACGATATTGAGGACAGTTTTTTTTTTTGGGAGTAAAGATCGTATATTTCGTGAGATCTGATAATCATCTGTCTATTCGCAAGTCCATTTCTCTCCCCTGCTATATACAACTCCCATTTTCCAATATTTTCATTCAAGTGTGTGGGGGGTATTTCCGAAAACGTAAGATATCATAGCTCGTGACGAGACATCCTGCCCCAGCCGGAATCAACCTGCTATAGATGGGGAGAAGACATGTCGAATCAACCGAACATGTTGAGAACACAAAAATCACCAATCTCATGTCAAAAAAAGGATCAAAAAACATCACCATCTAGGGTGATGTATGGAAGAAAGAAAGAAAAGAATCATCTGCCGGCTAGGGCTAGATGCGATATGCATGAAAAGTAGAACGAAAGGATGCACGGTTCAACCGGCGAGACAAAAAACAAGCATAGTGACAGAATTTATGCCTGGCCGAGAGCCAGCTCCAGAGCAGTGTTGATGGGGCAGCCGTGAGTGGCGTGGTCATCATAGGGCTGGAGGTAAGCTGCTGAGCAAGCTTTATCGCCAGCCTTGCAGATAGCCTTGGGGCAAGTGGAAGTCTCATCTGAAGGAATGACAGCGAAGCCGAATTCTGTGAACTTGTTGTCTCCAGGCTTCATGTCGATGCAGGACATGTCCCAGAAGATGGTGTCACCGGCCTCAGTGTACTCAAACTGGAGGACATCGTGCTGATTGGGGTCGAGGGCCAGCTTGATGGAGATGCCGCCACCGTTGGGGTTGGTGCGCCAGTTCTCGGCGTATGTGCCACCGCCAGCCTTGATAGTCTCCATGGGGCCGACGTCGCCGGCAACAGACCAGGCGTAGACGTCCTGCTGAAGGTTGTTGGTGATTGTGACACCACCGCCATCACGGCGGACCATGCCTGCACGGCGGACCATTGAGTCCTGGGGAAGAGCCGAGGCAATGGTGGTGAAGAGGGCGGCAAGGCCGAGAGTCTTGGTGAACATCATCTTGAAAGGTGGAAAAAAGGTGGGAAAAAGATTGTAGTTGGAATGTTCGAAAGTCTGATCAACAGTTGTAAAGAGTGAGACGAGAGTCAATCTCGAGGCTGAAGAGAGTGGATAATGAAAGACTGTACTGATTGTACTTTGAAGTGATCGTGTTGAAGATCAGAAGTCTCGGGGTGGTCGAAGGGGTTTATATAGATTTTGACGATTGCATCCAGCTACACACGGAAAGAAAACGTGCTAAGCCACCCATACTTCGAGCCATGGATTGATCTTGTGGGTCAAAAGGCAAAAGGCGAAAAGGCGAAAAAAAAAAATATAAAAAAATTCCAGAAAAAAAGAAAGAGTGGAACCAAATCAGAAAGCGTCTTGTCTTCTGGGCTTATCGATATTCGAATGAAGCCCAGATCGAGAGAACAATCGGGCATCGTGTAGAATCACCTGGTGAAACAGAATGCAAATATCATATATGAGATATGTATGTAAGATAACTATATACTTTTTGCTTATCTGCATAATCTGCATTGCTACCAAAGGCATCACCGCCTGTGCATTCTATGTACTCTATACGAGGCCATAGTCTAAGCGTGTCGATATAGTGGTTTCTGCGTGGTTCTAGAATTAGCCGCGATCAATTACCCCACTATTCTCTGAAAGCCACAATAAAAGCGTGGTAATAGTGCCCACAGCTTGTCGCCCGAACAAACTCCTTCGCCCGAACCCCACGTCATGACCATCCGTCCACCTCCGTTGGTTCTTCCAAACAGATTGAAGAGACTAAAAAGAGATTCGTTTAGAAACTTCGAACCCAGTAAATCTTCATGGCAAAGAACATGGCAAGAAGCTTGGCAACGTGGCTGTGACACTTCTCTCTCATTCTTGCCAGGAACCACTGGAGTTTGGGAGCTCATTCTATGGGATACTTGGCCACATGGAACTTTCTATCGGACCACGTTCGGTGTTAATAATTTGATAATTGTCGGGGAAAAAGATAATCCAGAATCTAGAATTGAATGTCTAACAAAGTTCGAGGCAAATGTTAATGTCGAGAAGTCAAGGCGTACGCTATAGTTTAACATCATAATGATGGTAGCAGACAATATGCAACATGCAATATGCAATACAAAGTACACAATATATGTACTTTGTAGTATCCTAGAGGTCAATTGAACCAATAATAACAACTCCTTGTAGATTATTACAATTACCAATCCGACCGGCCTGGTTCCTCTATCAATGTCAAATCATTCCTTGTATACAAACCTATCCCTACTAGGTAGGTGGGAGCTGACACTCCACAGCTCAGACCCTCTTACATGAAAATGCATACATACATACTTAGTACAGTACAATGGATTATGTGTCAAAGACCTAAGCCAATGATATATTTAGTAACACCCCACTAGACGCCTCTGACGTTGATCCGGTCCATATATGATTGACCCGTGCCTTGACTGTACCTGGCGATCGAGTCTGGATTCCTTTTTGACATTTTTGACACATTGAAAAAAAAAAAATCATGTTACCCTAAGTGATTCTAAATTAGGGCCCCGATTGTCCAGATTCGGGATCTTTAGTTTTGAACCGATAGAGATAAAGCCCGACTAGATGGCACCTTAAACAGGCGGGGATATGTGGGCAATAGCTGTGGAATGTATGGTGGCATTTATCATGTGCATAGAGATCGTGACAACGAACAACTCTCAATAAAAGGAAAAAAAAACTACCGCTGGTATACACACAAAATGATTTCGCTGATGTCTCAGAATTATTCTGGTTTTTTTTTTTTTTGCCTTAACTTCACACTTGAGCTCGGGATGCTGATCCTTAAGCCACTGAAGTCAGAAAGTCACAGTCCACCCGTGGCCTTCCCTGTCCGGGTACAAACTGGACCCCTACACCCCACATCAACCCCCACCAATAATTAGCCCCCCTCCGATTTCCTTCTTTGCAGCTTACCTGCAGTCTAGACCACCAGGGAACTAGGGGGTAACCAACCGGGAAACGGTGCCTGAAGGGGTTGGATGGGGCATCCCGGATCCGGCATCTACCAGTACGGCGCGCGCATAGCCGACAAACTAGCCAATGCACCCTCGCCGCCCTCTTCTTTCTTACGGTGACCAGCCAACTCCAAGTTAATCTGGCGATGGATGTGCACTAGCCAGTCCACGTAGCTCTGAGCCTCGTTATTCCGGTCCTCCAGCAGGAGTCGGGCGAACTCGTATTCCGCTCCATCCAGACCTTGTCGGGCCAGTTGGATCGCTATGGACTTGGAGCCACGCACCGTCGACAAGTACTGCAATAGGTTACGCACCTGTGCGTTCAGGTGTGTCTCGAGCACAGGCAGGGACGAAGTGTTAGGGTTCAAGGCCTGCAGGGAATCGTGGCCCTGTCCGAATAGGTCCTCCAGTAAATTGGGTGAGACCTGCGCGTGCAGCCAGAGTAGAATTGCCTGGCCGTTGTCCACAATGTAGACACCACCTTCTTCAATACGAGAGAAGCTGGCTCGCAGGGAGGGCGGGATTATAAGCTGTCCGTGCTCGTTCGCAAATCCATCTTCAGGCTGCATGTTGTGCACCGGGATAATCCGAGGGTAGAGGTACAAGGATATTTCCGTGCAGCCCATTGACCGGATCATGCGCATGTCATGCACCCGGCGGTCTGATGACTCGGGTCCACTTTTGAATGCTCTTGACTTGACTAAGCTGAGCATGTACATCGAAAACTCCTTCAGGTTCTCAGGTAGAACAAGCTGGCCGGGCGGGTGCGAGCCGGAGAAAATCTTGCGGTAACCGCTGAAGATATCGACTGTCTTCTCTGAGATATTGGCTCGGATGTCCTTGAGAGACTTATCCAGGGTCTTTGAGGCGGCTATAATGATATATCAGTATACATAATCAAATGTTTCTTCATGAATTCTCCAACTTACCCTCTTTGGCGATAATCGAGACCACGGCATCCTGGTCGACAAACTTCATCGTCTCCATACCCCCTTCATTCACCGCCGCCACAACGTTGATACATCGGACGCGGCGTTGACCGTCCGCGGAAGTGTATAGCAAGGCAGCCTGGAAGTGCGCATCCAGCTTGGGATCGAGCTTCCCGTCGTAGCTGAAGAGCACGCCAATGGCCTTGTCAGCGTCGACACCGGCAATCTCCAAATCAGCGCCGAGTGTGTGCTGAACAAAGTTTCCATGGTAAGCAGACACTTGGAGTCCATTGGAGCATCGAACTTTCATCAAGGTCTGATATCCCGTCTCACGAGTGACGGCATGAGCAATTTCATTCCGCAGCTTAAGGAGATCTCGCGGGGCGTGGAAATTAGGGTAGAAGAAGGTCTCGCCTCCGGTAAGACTAGAGGCATATCCTATGAACGAGGTTAGCTGATGTCCCGTATAGAGCGCAATGACGGTTTCAACATACCAATCGTTGCCACATCGAGGTAGGTGCCACCGGGAGCTGCCATGAACAGATCCAAGCCCACACCAGCTTCAGCCAACTTGCTTGCCGTCTTCTTCCAAGCTGGGTTTTCTGTGGTGAAAAGTTTCCGTTCCCCATCCGTTCCATGAACTTTAGGATCTTCTCTGACCGTCAAGTGGCCTGGACCGCAGGTAGGTAAGCTAGCCAACGCGCAAACTATCTTGCCACCCGTAGCCTGCAATGCGGAGAGCGCCGAGTTCAATGTCGGTAGCAAAGCCGACTCGGGGTTTTTGATAGAAGAGAACATTTTGGGTATCTGGCTGAGAAGAGAAGTGATCACAGACCTAAACATAGTTAGTGAGCTGTAGGAGTAGGAGACCGGGAATAGGCGATCACGTACTTCGATTCATATGGATCCACAAAGAGACCTTCACTCAACGGCACAAACGGCTCATCCAAATCGGTCATAACCATCATCTGTGCTTGATCCAATGCCGCCTGTGAACGTGTTAATAGAAGAAAGAATCACAGGGCGAGGAACACATACAGTCAGGTTGTAGAAGTGCACCTCCTTATCATACGTAATAATGCCGACCTTCGCCCCAGCGGGCAATTTTCGTGACGGTTCATCACCTTCAGCGCCCTCCAATGGTTCATTATCACTACCATACAGAGCATCTTTGATACCTGCACAAACACCCTTGAGGAATCCCCGATGAACCGACTCCCGGCTGACATCGATCACAAAGAGGGTTCGAAGGCCCACCGGCTCCTTGTTCCAGTATTCCTTCGGGACCGTAAACTCCACAGTTCCCATCAGCAATTCAGGACGTTGCATGCGATCCACACGTGCACCGGATGGGTCCAATGGCGCAAAGTATTCGGGAGGCGTATCGTTCGGGAACGTGCACATATTACAGACGAACTTGCTACCGCCAGATCGGAAGGACATAAATGGATTGATATATGTTCGGCATCGTCGGCATCGTGGGGGACCAGCATCCCCGAAGTCCAGCACGGGGATCGGTTGTTCGCCGGGATCCAAAGGCGCGAGAGGCTGTAGGATCATGCCCAATGGCAAGCCAGTCGAGGTAAGGAAGTCAGAGACGGAGGGGATGTTGTTGAGCGTTAAGCGAGCATATTTAGGAGAGGAGTTGCCTTGGTCCTGAGCCACGAACGGAATCGCTGCTGGCGGAGGGAGGTGTTGGTCCATTGTTGGGTAGACATGATTGAAATAGTACTGAGCGGGTAGGTCGCGCGATCGCGGGATGCTGGGAATATGCTCTGGGTCAATTCGGCCTGAAGTAGGGACAGAACCTGCGCCACTTGGCATGCCAGGTATATCGGCGATAGACTGCCCAGATACCAACCCCACCGCCGGGGAAACTGGCCGCTCAGCATGTTGGTTCAAGCCCGTGTTCAGGAATTGCGATTGTTGCTGTTGCTGCTGCGGCTGCTGCAAGCCTCCTTGACCCATGCCAGTATTAAATCCTTGCGTGGGGGGTGCTGCACCACCACCGATGTCATGGTGGGCATGACGGTGCTTCTTCCGGTGTGTCCTGGCCCCCGCATCTGCTGCAATTCCCAAACCGCCCATCTGAGAGGCTAGGCCTGCTATACCAGGATCTCCTGCTGCACCCATTGGTTGTTGTGGTGCATTGTATGCAATGCCGGGACTCGCCAAACCTGGTTGTTGTGGTGAGCCATAAGCGGGCCATTGATTCGGCGCTGGGTTGGCGTAAGGCGCTCCTGGTTGTGGAGGCGCGGCGCTGGGAGGATACCCGGATGGGTACTGCTGAGGGGGAGCCTGAGCCATGTACTGTGGATTAGAGGGGTCTTCGGCAGATCCCTGACCCATTGTGTTATACATTGAAGGGTCGGCCATGGCAGATCATGCCGCGGGGTGCGAAAAGCGAGAGAGGGCACACAAAAGTGGGATTGAGAAATGGAGAGAAAAGACACAAAGTCTCAACGAATCATCACGTATGGGAACAGAATTAGGGAATATAGAATAACAAGAGAGACTCTTATGTTGACGATATACCGGATTGACCACCTAAACTGACTCGGATTTACGTACTTCCGAGGTTCTTCACGTGGTTCTTGTACTCCGTACTCCGTACTTGTGGTGGTTATTTGTTGTAATTTGGACTTCCCTCTTCCTCTTCCTCTTCCTTAAAATATTACTATTATTATAGTAGACAGCATCCCCAAATGGCTTTGAAATTGCCAACCTGTCCTTTCTTATTAAAATGTAGTATCACCCTTGTTTTGCTACCCACTCTGCATAACTCCGTGTTAGAGACAGACTAGCGATCCGGAGACATCCCACTCGGAGTTCCTTTGCTGGAAGGAATATCCCTTCTCTTCGGGGTTTGGTCCCCGTGTCAGCACCTTAGGCAACCGATTCGTTTTTGCATGGCTTGGCTATCATTTTCGCATGGCTTGGCCATCGTTTTCGAAGTCCAATTACACGCTTATCATGTTCCCTCCAATCACGTCAGATGTTTAGTCCTAGCTTCGGCTCAAGCTCCTTGGGATTTATATTATTTTTCTGGCCTGTCCATTTCACCGTCTCTTTTCCGGCTTTGATGGGATCCTCTAGCCGGTTTCGTGAGCCGACTATACTCCGTACTCTGTAGATATAAGACAAGTCTTCTGTGAGTTCGGAGATTTCTCTTTTCTTTTTCCCCCTTATCTTTCCCCCTAAAACTCCTTGCATATACATTGGTCATATACTCCTTATCATGGACCTGACCGTAAAACCAGACCCGGATCGCAAGCCTCGGGGAGAAAAGGTCGATACACCAGTCCCACTTCAACCTATAATGGCGACTATTCACGATGATGATGAGTTATTGCTGGCTCGCATTGGTTATAAGCAGGTATTGCGCGCCCAAGGCCTTATGGCGATTATAGCGGGGCACAATCTGATAACGATCTACTCGAACTAGGAGTTACGACGAGAGTTCTCCAAATGGTCGACCGTCTCATACGCCATCTCTATCCTCGGAGTCCTTGGCTCTGTGCCGGCAACATTTGGTGCACCGTTAGCGGCTGGCGGTCCAGCAACAGCTGTATGGTGCTGGTTGATCGGTTCATGCATGGCTATGTGCATCGGAAGCTCGGTTGCAGAGTTAGTATCGGCATATCCCACGGCTGGAGGGATGTACTTTGTCACAAAGCACGTCGTGCCTCCGGATCAGGTCCCTATATTCTCCTGGATCCAGGGCTGGTGTAATCTCCTTGGACAAACAGCAGGAGTCTCCAGTGTGGCATATACGGTCAGTCAGATGTTGCTGGCCTGTGTCAGCATGAACTCGGAACTTATTGATGGCAAGTATGCGTATGCACCGTAAGTTAACCATCCCCAATTGCTATGCTTTTAGGCTGATATCATTCAAGGACGGCGCTGCAGACCGTTCTAGTATCAATCGCAATTCTGTGCATTCTTGGTGTGATTTGTTCATTGACCACGAAATCATTGCATCGAATTATCCTTTGGTTCGCTCCTATCAACAGTGTGTATCAAGGGAACCTCGTTGTTGAACTTGTACTAATGGGTTCATAGTTGTGGCGACCATCTGCATCTGCATTGCGCTGATTACCCTTACCCCTAATCTGCAGCCAGCGTCATGGGTCTTCGGCAATTTTACTGATGGCTCTGGATGGGGCTCAAAGGTCTTTTCCTTTTTCCTAGGATTTTTATCTGTTGCCTGGACAATGACCGACTACGACGGCACGACACAGTATGCGACCCCGAAATCCATTTCTACTAATTTACATTCTAACTTTTATCATAGTATGTCTGAAGAAACTCATGATGCCGCCGTGCGAGGACCAGTTGCTATTCAAACAGCCGTCCTAGTATCCGGAGCACTCGGATGGCTCCTAACCGTCTCAATGTGTTTCTGTCTCACCGATTTCGAGGGAATTCTAACCTCCCCTACCGGTCTTCCAGCCGCCCAAATATTCCTCAATGCTGGTGGGAAACGAGGTGGCACGGTCATGTGGGCATTTGTTATTTTGGTTCAATTCTTCACAGGCTGTGCAGCCATGCTGGCAGATACAAGAATGGCCTATGCCTTTGCCCGAGACAATGCACTTCCGTTTTCAAAGTAGGATTCTTCTGAGCTTTGTACCCCACTCAAGTTCCGCACTGATGCATTATAGGATCCTTTCCAAAGTCAATTCTCGCACTCACACCCCTGTTAATGCAGTGTGGTTCGTGGTCATCTTCAGCATAGGTTTGAACTGCATCGCCATTGGCTCCACGCAAACAGCCACCGCAATCTTCAACATCACTGCCCCGGCACTAGACCTCTCTTACGTGTCTGTCATTCTCGCTCATCAGCTCTATAAATCGAAAGTCAAATTCATTGAGGGACCCTTTACGCTCGGCAAATGGGGTACTCCTATTAACTACATTGCTATTGTCTGGGTCTTGTTCATCAGTACAATTCTTTTCTTCCCGCCACAACTTCCTGTGACGCCCGCGAATATGTAAGGCTCTTGCCCTGTTTATGTCCAGATATGAAAAACATTGCTAATACGCCCTACCCAGGAACTACGCCATCTGCGTTGGCGGCTTTATTGCCGCTTTTGCAATGATATGGTGGTGGATTGAAGCTCGAGGGTAAGGGACATCTAAGATTAACCCATATATCTTGACTGGATACTGACATGTCCTAACTTCTTTCTATAGAAAGTACACTGGTCCTCAAACCAATGATATCATACAAGAAATTCCCACCGAGGATGATGGCAATGATCTCGAAGAGTCAGGCGAGATCAATGTTTAGATGGCTGATTCACCTGATACACCACGACGACAACTCGTGATTTCATTTTCCAGATTATGGATGAGAGACATATAGATTATACTCATACTTGTTTAAAGATTCGAGCATTTAGAAATGGGTCATATTAGTTTCGGGTTAAAAACGTACGTTGATGACGATGTTGGTTTTGAATAGAATACAATAAATACTACCTGTGAAATTAACTTGGGTGAACTATTAGAAGAAAGATTGTTTTATTATAAACCTCTTAGTGTTGGGAAGAAAGAAGTGGCTATGGAGGCTTTGTTGATCATGAAGTTGTACACTGGAAAAATAAAGAAATACATGCCACATGTATGGCCTTAGTTGCCTGCAACAACAGCCAGGCCCTCGTAGATTTTCTTTTTGACAGCAAGGAAGCTCCCTATTCCACGACCCGCAGGCCGACCCAGTGAAGACTGCGCCGTTGCTTCAATTTCGATCTTGCCCGTTCCAGATTTGCGCACAGCTACGGACTTGTCAATGAGAAGCGTTCCCTCGCCTCGGAACTCGGCAGTGTGACCGGCGGATTGCATCAGCTTGCGAAGATCAGCCAATCGCAAGTCACCGACATGAAGAGGGCGAGCCATAGATCTGGTTCCCGCGGCCATGCTAGCTGGTAGAGTGTCAAGTAAAGGATAGACCTCGACCTTGTCAATTATTTTAGTGTCTGCTTGTTCCAACGTCGGGGCAACAGCGGAAGAGGCTGCTTCGTCTTTCAGCTGCTTCATCTTCTTGCCTGCCATTTCAACATCCCCAATATCGGTGGTGACGGGCTCTGGTCCTCGCAATTGTGCCGTGAGAGCAACGACGCCGAGGCTGCGAACGTGCTGCCAATTCAAGCGTCGGACGAGCGTGTTGCTCAGCTTGACCATCCAGGCATTTGTGTCGACGCTTGCATCGATGACTTCGCCGTTTGCCGGAGTGAAGATAATGGCGGCTGAGTCAGACACAGGGCCAGAACTTGTAGCGCCGAGCTTGACTGTCAGTAGTTTCTGGCATTCGGTTGCCAATGCTGACGTCTCTTCCTTCATACCACCAACTAGAATCAATTTTTGAGGTTGGATAAGTGGAATTAACATCTCCAAGCTACGCTTGTCATGCAAGCCCATGAAGTCGATAAATGCAATCCTAGCGTTGATAGTGATTGTCTGGTTATGGTAAATAACCTTTGCAGGGCCTTCGAATGACTGGCCTTCTGCTTCGTCTTCGGACTCCGCAGCTACATCGGCATCTTCGCCATCGGAGGCAAGGCTGAGATCATCATCGTCAATCTTCTTTCCATCAATGTGAGGGCGCTTCTGTCCTGCTGCATCACCGGACAACTTGCGCCCATGTGGGCCGGCGGCATCATCCCATCGTCGTTTTTGGCCCAATTTAGTCTCGGCATCGGTACGCCGTTGTTGCATATCAATCTCTTCGCGTTCCTCTGCTCGGAGATACTCCTCTGGGCGAATGAATTCTCCATATTCGTCTCCCTTCTTTCTCGGTGCCACGTAAGGGAACATGCGCTCGCGGCCCTTCTTGCCACGCACATCGTAATCATAAACGTTCTTTCGACGAAGAAGGATGTTGATGCCCAGGTCTTCGTCGCTGACAGCAAGTTTGCTTCGAGTAGCGTGTGCAAGTGAAGCCGAGAAATTCAGAGCGCGACCCTGGTGTTCAGGATCCGAATCCTCAGAGGAAGTAGAGCTCGATCCATCATCGAGGGCATCCACGGCAGTTTCAAGAGTTTTTTGGCCAAGTGTTTGAGATGTGTCTTGAAGTTGGCGCTTAGTCGCAAGATACTGCTGGTATATTAAATTCTCCCCGGTATCGAGACGGACTCGCTGTACATCTGTCCAAGACAATTCTCGTCCACCGCTGTGGACTTGTTCGATGTGTTCGCCATCCGATCCTTTCTCTAGAGCCACACCATCTCTTCGTTCCTCGTACCACTGCCAAATCATGCTTCCAATTGTTGGCGAACTCTGTGATGGTTTCGATTCTTGAGTCTTCATGTCTTGGCGGAAGGACTCTGTCAGTAATAGCAGATTGTTCGGTCCTTCGGCCACTTGTCGAAGTGCATCCTTTGAGAAGCCCCAGTCCAATGAGGTATCTGAGGCAAGAATTACTTTAGGTCCGGGTTCTGCCAGGAGCTTCTCAAGTCGCTTCTTGCGCTCAATGATCTTGAGATGTTTGAAAGTGAACGGTCCCCCGCCCTTATTAGAGCTCTTATCCTGTCCGCTCGCCCTTGGCCCATTCGTGACATCTGTGCTTTCCGCCGCTTCAAATTCGCGAACAATGTTCTCGTCCATCCATTCCAGCATACTTCGGGCGAGTCGGATTGTATTGGTAACCTTCTTGCCAGCCAGATATAACCCGGCTCCCTGAAGAACATCCTCCTTATCGCCGTTCGAGGCATCGCGCCAAGAATGTTCTAGTGCGTAGGCCAGTTCAAGAACTCGCGCACTTGTGTCTGTCGGGATGAGGACTGTTCCACCTTTCGCAAGGCTACTTCGGATCATGTCGAGGAGGAGATCGTCTCGCTTTTTCCGGCCTCCCGAAAGTGCCAGCTTATCGCCTCCCTTTGTACTGCAGATCAAGGCTGTGGGTTTCCGCAACTGTTCGATGACTTCTGCTCCACTAGCACCAGATCCACCGAACCACGCAGCACCCGCAACCACACTCTCACGAGCTTGGTTCCAATCCACTGCATAGACGATAGATTCCAACCCGTGCTGAATATGCCATATCGTTCCACCGACGGTGTGACCGGCATTGTAGGCTGTGAGAGTAAGCCCGTTCAACGGCGGGGAGAAAGGCGATGAGTGCGGTTGGTGAGGTTGGGAATATTTGAGTGGATTAATGAGAGAAAAGTATCGAGAAATTTCCTCCGCTGTCGGCGATGGAAGAAGGATTCGGCTTGTGCTGCCAGCGGCTTCGGTATCTCCACCTGACACAGTCGCAGATCCTGCTGACGATGCGCCTGGCTCTGAAACAGAAGCCTTCGGTAGGAATGTGGCAGCAAGCGGAGCGGAGGCATAAAGGTCTTGTAGGAGAGTACGGCCGAAAGCGACGACGGGATTCGTGGCATAGATTGGGATTTGCTTGAAGAGGGGAAATGTTCGGCAGCAATGGACTAGAGCGCCTATATGTGCCGGTGTCGCGTGCGTCAAGAGAATGAGAGAAATTGTAGGGATGTGCCTACCGATAATGTTAGCTCATCTGAATTCAAACAAGGAAACGCGTTGATCGCATGCTCACTTCTCAAGTTCCGCTAAATCAAGGGTATTAAACTTATCATCCCAGCCAACGTCCACTAGGATCTTGATACCTCCATCAAGCTCCAGGATAGATTGTGAAGCCCTCGAAGATGACGATTGGGCGCCAAGGAGGGGAGTGAAAGTGAACATCGTGAGAGTCTGCTGTTACAGACGGCAAACCTAGTAACCGCGATTGTTCTGGACAAGCGACGACAGATCGGTCACGATCAATGCAGCTTTATGCCTCGAGATCTTTAGTCAATTCCGAGATTAATCCATTATCCCAGGGTGTCAAATTGATCCGACTTTCTCGAACAAAGACAAGAGGTAACCAGATGGCGGGTGAGCTGTTTGTTCGGTTTGCACGTGACATCCAGCAATATCGATGCCGTACGAAGTAGAACCTATTGTATAGACCAAGTCCTTCACTTAACAACTTTAAGAGATTTTTTACCTACCATTCACCTAGCTGTGGATATTTTTTCAAATTCTGTCTTCTATATTGGCTTCTGGCATTTATATGAGTACCATGCAATCAAGTACATATTTCATTGCGACTATGCCGTATTCTATTCGGTTCAAGGGACAATATGAAGGCTGACAATCTTGGAATTATTATCCTCGCAAGGTCTCTTCTAACTACGTTGGACAACATACATGCTTCGCTTCAACCCACTATTGTTATAATGACTGCTCATCAGAATGATTATGACAATGAAATCAATATATAAAATATAAAAAACCCCCCAACAAAATCAAATAAAAAGGCATAGACATCCCAAACTCCGAATCTATATAACTCTGATTAAACGACCATCCAACCATAGGAACATCCTAACATCAACTACTCAACTATGGAGACACACAGCATTCTTAATTAAACGAAGACCACCGGGCTGAACTGATTGACTGCTCTTTTGCAGATGCTGGCTTTGGCCGTCTCTTACCTTGTCCCTTGTTCCGTTTTTTCGATCTCGAGACCTTTGTGCGCGCCGCGGGGGCAGGGGTTATCCCAATCTAATCGATTATTATCAGCGTGGTTCTCAAAAAGCTCAAAGGATGAGGCAACTTACCGGATCCTTCCATTGACTGAAAGGCCGATGAATTTCAGCCCAAGGGGGTAGCGTAGCGTCGACTGTGGGTTTGATCTCATGGCCCACCAATTCCTCTCCTGCCCACACTCTGGCCCGGCGGACAGCAATAGGGTCAGGGAAATGTTTCCTCCGCTGAATTGGATCATTGAGATATGCCTTAGTCTGTTCCAGGAACCCATCTTGCAGATTAGGCAGAATCTCAGGACTAGGTGCGTCCGCCTGTCGTGCACCAGCCCGAGTTCCTGTAGTCTTCTTCAATAGTGCCACTGGTGGTCTGTCTGATACTTTCTCTGCTGCAGCTGCTCTCATTTCATCTCGCTTTTCTTGTCCTACGAACGACATAGTCTCATCCACCCTGGTCTCAGCCGCTGTCTTCCTTCGAGTCGCAGGTGGTGATCGTGTTGATGGCGACTCCGCCCGCATTCGTTTACTTGACTCTGTAAGCTCTCTCATTTCATGATTTTTTTCCTTCGCCTCTTGTAAGAGACGGGCATCGATGGAAGTAAGCCTCTCCTTTCCAGGATTTGAAGACAGCTGTGCTTGGCTCTTTCGCTCTAATGCTTCGTGATGTTCAAGCCCGCCTAACCTTTCCTGCTCAACTTCAACCAAACATTAGCATCATTGACTAGGGTGACAGATAATCAAACAGTTGAGAATATTTCACTGAAAAAGAGACTTACAAACGGTGTTCCTCTCACTATAATATCTATCAATCTGTCCAGGGCTGAAGAGCCCGTCATGCCCATCATGGGATACTGGGTACAGGCTATTCGTCGATTGGGCGCTATTATCGTCAGCGGCTTTGAACTTTCTAGGCTCACTGGTTTTGGAAGAAGCGCTGACCTCGCTGTCGGAGCCGGAGCCAGAGAAAGGACTGTTAGGTTCTTGAGAGTCTCGAGCTGAGTTGGGTTCAGCCCGAACGTCATTATCATAGTCATTGCCGTCACCAAATATTGAACCATCTTCCGAGATTGTATCTGGAGCATATAAGTCAGTGTATTGTCCGAATAGACCCTTTAATATGCAACATGGAAAGAGGAATGAACAATGAACAAAGGCAAAGTGATCAGCCATCCTCTTCTCCGGAAACGTGATAACCCATCAAAGGACTCGACCTAGACGCCTTGAATTGAACTTCTTCTATGTATCTCATTGTGTTTCACAGTGCCCTTGACACACTCACACACCATTCAGAGGATAGGTACACCCATAGTTGAATCATCCGATCAACTTGAATGGATACAGAAGAAAACAAAGGAACATGCAGAGAACGGGAAGACGCACGGCAAACTAAACACATATGTACTCACCGGTTTGTGCAGTTTTCTCGATGTCTTCAAGAGGTGGAGGAGTTGTCGGTTCTGAGTAAGTGCCCTCTTGATCTTGTTCAAGGTCAGACTCCCCGCTCACAGACGCCCTCCTGGACCCGGCTGACTGACTTTCTTCGCCCTCCTGATCGCTGTCCAGCTCGCCGTCTTGCTCATTGTTCTGTTCATTCATAAGAGATGTTGGGGTTGTCGGTTCCGAGTAAACGCCCTCTTCATTTCGGTCCATAGCCTCCTCAGTCACAGACGGGTTCCTGGACTTGACTGACTGGCTTTCTTCGCTGCCCCGCTCGCTTTCCACATCCGGACTTGCAGAGCGCGGGGCAGCTGGCCAATTCTCTAATCTGGGTCGATCATAGATATTGGCAGCTGCGGCACGGGGTGGTGGCGGCACGTGGCGATCAATATATGGTCGGACTGCCATGTTTGGACGCTGATAGTCATTGAAGTAAAAGCCCGTAACCGCGTTACTTGATTTTCGACTAGTTTGTCTGGAGCTTCCTGCTGTAAAGTACCTTGTGATGGGTACTGGCGGCAGAGCTGGGTACCATGTGTTCCCAATGGTCACATCCTTGGGCAAGAGGCCCTCGGCTAGGGAATCATAAATCTGCTCTCGGATCTCCGTATCAACTAGCGTAGATTCGAGGCACAAGTATGCAATTTCATAAAGAGCTGGGTATTCCAGCCCAGTCCATTTCTGGAAGTCACCTTCTTCAAATGTCCATTGCAAATCTCCAATCTCTCTCCTCGTGGACTTGGTATTTGAGGTATATTGTTTGCGAGGGGCTCCTATGGTTTCGCTTTGAGTGACAACCCAACGAGGCTGCGGTGCGGAGCCTCCAATCCAGATGTGCGGTAGAGATCTGTTATCTTTGTTCACCACAGCCCCCGGGATATCCGTTTTCCTCATGTAGTCCCATTTCCCAATTTCGAAAGCCGGTCTTGGTTTGGGGGGGCCGATTGCCCCATAAAGTCTTTCATGGGCCGGATTTGCAATCTTGCGCCTTTTGGCCTGTGGCTCATGGTGATCTCCCTTGTCTTCTTCTTCATCTTCATCCTCATCTTCATCATGTTGATTTGCTGGAGCTTCTACGGTAGCTGCCCTGGCTCTTTTATTTGCGGCCTTCGCCTTTTTGGTGGTTTTGGTGGTTTTGACGGCCTTAGTAACTTTGGCGGCTTTAGTAACTTTGATGGCTTTCGTAGCTTTGGTCTTAGCAGCAACTGTGCGTTTTGCGCTATTTTTGGTATTTGCGGCTTTCGCAGCCTTCTCTGCATCTTTCTTGGCCTTTGCAGCAGCCTTCTCTGCGTCCTTGTCGGCCTTCGCAGCAGCCTTCTTCGCATCATTTAAGGCCTTCGTTGCAGCCCTCTCGGCCTTCTTTTCCTCCCTTTTAGCCTTGATTCTGGCGGCTTTTGCAGCTTTCTCAGCCTCAGAAGGTTTAGCCGGGGGAGGCTTGACCTTTGGCCCAGTGCCCATAGCCATTCCTCGTGTTGTTACCATTTTTCCTAGTTGATTGATGGCCTTCCGGTCTTAGTTTCATTTGTTAGCCAGAGAATGTGAAAGATGAAAGCACGAGGACCATACTTATTATCGGTTGCTACTGCTATAATGATGATGATCGGTCTAGTGGTAGGAGATCCAAGTCAAGAAAGTCGTTGTTGTGTTCGTGGTCGAAGATAAATTTGGACATGCTGGCTGTATTTTAATAGAAGATAGAGACAGGTCACCTATTCATGTCAGCAGACAAAGCACGATCAGAGAGCAACGAAGAAACATGCAAATATTTATCAACACAAAGAGAATTAAAAATATCTTTTTCGAGGCATTTTCTTTGTTGACGGCGCCCCGCTTATTGCAGATATGTCGAGGGTCTCGACAAAGAGTGCTTCCGGTGGATCTTGATACAAAATTCCACTTCTTGCAACCGGAGGTAGCTTTAGTTCGAACCACTCAGCGTTGCTAACAGCTGTTTTGCAGCACTTGCATGAGTTTCAGACATTATTCACGCTGTAGGCATCCCTTCACCTCAAATCAAAGTTCCGAGGGACCGTAGAAAATCAATACTAGTTTGTGAAAATTAGCAGACTATGGAATCCAATCTACCAAAGTCGGGCAGCTCAAACAAAAAAAACAGGTGTATGATCGGACTTTGAACGGCACATGAAAAACAATGAACAAGGCCAGGAACCACAGGAAGCAAAACAGTACCAAGAATCGATGTTTAATTTAGAAATAATCATATCAAAGAGAATGAGAGTAATTCCTAGAATATCAATGCCAGAAACAGAATATACCTCGTTTTCGAACTCAGATGGTGTGGTCGGAAACGAGAGGTCCATCCCGATCTTCATGTTTGGTATCTAATCAAGTACATATTATTCTAGCACATTCGACAGGTTCGGACACACTGAGAAATAGGGAATTACGAAGAGCTTGGTTAGAGCTTGCTTTCAAATGGGGATATCAGCCAGCCATTTCCACCGAGAAGCAAAAGAGCCGACTAGGTGGGATTAAACCTAGTTCATGTCTAGATTTGGCAATGGTCCCCCTCATTTCCTATCACGAATGTGCCACCAAAACAAAGCGAAATGTATTTCCCCGTCTAGATCTGGCACTAGAATCTGACCAGAACGACACAAAGAGCTTTGAGGATGATGAATTTGTGCGGCCATAGATGAAGAGCCTGTTTGTTAGAATCGAGCAATCGCCTTGGTTACTGGAATGCAGGCATGCTACGGAGCAATCTGCTGTCCTTTTCCTGTGCTGAATACTTGATGGCTCCTATGTCAAATGCCGAAGAGCAAGATGGACCTGAGATGGACAAAAAGCGTGTTATCTTCCATCAATTGGATTAATCTGATTGACTGAGTTGAATCCAAACTGGCTTTGGTCATGATCAGGGCTATTATTAGCGAACGCTTGTCAGCACAGGACAAAGGATATCCCCAAATTACCGTCCAGATAGATAGCGAAACGCCGGCTTACATATCTTTGAGTTTGGGATGGCGTGGATCATTCCAGCATCGTGACACAAAGAGAAATGTCCTGGTGTTGAAGGAGATGACGTCTCATGAACTATCGATCCGGTTCTTGTTAGGATTCCTACATTCCAAACGAGACTGCGAATATGGCTGCCAATATTTCATTTGTTTGTTTTCACATCGCTTTCGGTTTCTAGTTGGCAGAGGTATCAAAGCAAGGGAGAAAATCCCCTGGCGCCACTGAAAGAAGATTGGGGACAGTGTACAGATGATCGGCTATCCTTTGAGAAGAGGATACAGAGCCACATAACATAATTAAAAGGTCTCCGGTGCTATGCACCATACGGGATAGAATGGACTAAATTTCAATCTCTCGCGCCATGCAATGTACGACTATGTAGAAGGAGGTCGAGGAGCAGGAGTCAGAAGCAAACACAGTAAAATAGGAAAACAATAAACAAAAAAAAACTCTCATCATTCGAACAGGCTAGATATGTTGGCAGGCTCAAGGATAGTGGAATGTCTACCTCATCCACTTTAGTCCTTAATTATGTCACGATATGGCAGACTCATCAAATTTAATCTTCTTTAAGCAGACTTTTGCGCAACGAATCGTATTCACGCATCTCATCCAGACAGACAGTCTACTGCCAGTATCTGGGCTCGTCGAAGACGTGGTAGCGGTGTCCGCGCACTCCCTGGCCGCGGAACAAGGCAGGGAAGCGGCGGCCAACGGGGACCATCTCCTCTGGGATACGCATCTCATTTTCGGGTTCGGGCTCACCAATGACGAATTTTCCAACCTATATCACGAAACAAGTCAGAAATTAAGCACGCGTGGGGGGAAAAAAAGAAGAAAAAAAAACATTACTTACCTGGATCTCCGTGTCTGTGATAGTATCACGACTGATTCTGGCGTAGCCAGTGCGGTGCAGCTTCTTGAAGAGAAGATACTCGCACCATCTATCCCAGTCGGTAGGATCGATATCCTTCATTTGACTACGCTCGCTCACATAGGTGTTGTAGTTACCCTCGAGCGGCTTGGTGACAAGGTAACTCAACAGGATGAGGGGACGCGGGGAGTCGCCCATCAGCTTTGACAGATACTCGCTCTGCAAGCGGCGGTCCTCGGGGTCCTCTTCCTGTCCGGAGTGGAACACAACAACATCAACCATCTCACCGTACATATCGAGTGTGGCGTGGATTGCAGGTGCCAGCTCACCCACAGGCGAGGGGAGAAGGTGGTGGGTAGAGTTGACGATGGGGAACTTGGACAGCAAGGCGGAGCCCCAGGTGTGCTTGTTGGGACCAGGGCCGAAGTCAGTGTAGTAGCCAAGATCCTCCGCGATGAACTGGGTGACGTCTCTGTTACCCATGATGATACGCTGGTTGTCGGATTCGAGGAAACCAATCACATCCAGCTCAAGCTCGCTAATGACATCGCGCATGCGGCGTTCGGATGACCACATGTTGTTGTCGAGGCCGAAGTGGATAGTCCAGATACCAGCAGTCACAACCTTGTCCTCCTTGTGATGAGGGGTATAGTCATTGGTCGGGAAGCGCAGGTAAGCGACAGACACGGAAAGCAGCTGTAGCGCAGCAAGAATGTAGATATAGTACGATCGCTGTCTCTTGCTGTTGGGGTTGACAGGCTTATGAGCCTTGCGGGAGCGAGTCGAGTTCGAGGTCGCCGCAGAGAAGACTCCTGCACCAATGGACAGCATTGTAGTGGTCATGAGCCAGTCAGTGTGTTCACGAAGGAATGGGCCACCGGGCACGAAGGCATAGGCGACAACCCAGACGTGGAAGAGCAAGAGGACTACATATACGATGAATCCGAGGCCGAACGTGCTCGCAGGAGAGTGACGAACGCTGGATACAATCAGAACCGGAGCAACGGCCATGATATAGAACGCAAAAACGAGGGCACCGTAGAATCCAGTCCAGTGGTGGTAGCAAGTAAGAAGAGCAGCACCGATGGAACCGACACCGAAGGCAGTCCAGCTTCCTGCGATTCCAGGATGGAAGATGCCATACACAAGGCCGGCTCCCATTGCGAAGATCGTCAGAGCACCGTGGGGAGCTGCGATAGGTCCACGCACTGGGTATCCGTCCCAGACCCACGAGATCATGGTACTCGAGTCGGTCAGAAGCGATACGATGGCGAACATCAGACCGCCAAATCCGACAGCAGCAAGACCGGACGAGCCCTTTTTGCCACCTGTTGGTAAGTAATCACCCCCGCTCGTGTTTGAGCCTCTCTGGGATCTCAACACAGCGAACAGAGCAATGAAGATTCCAGTTTTGTTCCAACCACCATTCTCGGCGTGAACAATCGGCCAAAGGGGGTTGTTGGTCTTGCATGCGAACTTGGCAACGACGGACATGATCAGACCGATTCCCCAAGCCATGATACGGGTTTCCAGACGAGGGGAATTGGCCCTCTCTGAAAAGAAGCTAGCGGTCCATGCTGCACAAGTAGTAGAAAGAGCGAACCCAGTCACAAAGAGACGGTTGGCGGGATCCTGGAACTTGTATCCAAGAAGGCCAACGAGCGAAATGAGGTGAAGAAGGCGAATATTCTTCACTGCTGCATATCGCAAGGATGGGATAACGTAGAGCAATGGGGATGTGCAGCAAACAATGGCAACTTCATAGCCGGAGATACCCATGTGCCAAAGAGGGAAGTCTATCAAGATCAGACAAGGTCCATCCATACCAGGGAATGGGTTTCACTTACACCAGACAAGGACAGGCAGAGCAGTCACGATGGTCCAGAAAATAAACTACAATCCACTGTCAGTGACGCAGGAGACCAATGATCGACTGGTATAATTTACCCCATTGTAGACATCTGAGGCAGCATCAATAATCTCAGTCCAAAAGAAGCCTTCGCCAAAGGTGTTGCCCACAGGTTTGCCCTTCCTACGCACTTGGTTAATTTCTGGGATAGTGGTAGTTGGTTATGGGATTGTACACACTCTTTTTCCAAGACAGAATCCACATTCGTTTTCATTTGCCTAACGAGCATAAACTTAGACATTGTGTTCTTTGTTCAAAACCAATAGAGCCTTTGGCAGTATACATTCGATTCGGGCAGACTCATTTTGGAAGCCACGGTACATACCCTCTGCTAACACCTTTAACATCCCTCACCACCAGTTCGAAGCTCTCAAAGTCAAGAGCTGTGATAGCATCGAAACCGACATCGAACAGGATTAGGGACCATTCAAAGAATGCATACTTAGTGTAGGCTAAAGATTTGACTGATTAGCATGTGGTAACCTTGAGATGGATGCCCAAAAAGGGAAATACTCACCACCAGGAACTTTGTGGACCTTGTGCTGAATGAAATAGTAGATCAACGGGACCAAAGTTCCAAAGAACAAGCTGGCCATGATTTTACGGTACTTGATAGCACGGCGGTTGTTCGGGCTGAGCGCGAGACAACCCAGGGTCCACGGCAAGGTGGCCACCAGGTACGAGATCATGAAGATGTCATGCCAGTCATGGTCATCGGTAGATGTGACATAGGTCCAACCACCGCATGTCAATGTCCGGAAGACGCCTACGCCGGCAACCACTTTTGGTAAGGTCGAGTTCGGACGCGAAGTGAGGATGTACCACAGGAACACGAGGGCAAAACGAGGACCAGAGGTAATAGCAATGAAGACCTGGAAAAAGGACCGTTCGGGATATCGGTCACCGATGGTCGCAGACACGGAGGGGAACCATTCAATGGGGTAGCCGTAATATTCATTTTGAACGATCTTGTGGTAGTGCAAAGCAACGCCAACAATCAACGCGCTTATAAAAGCAGCATATGCGAAAACCGTGTGAGTCCAGGAGACCCATTTGCCGTTGATCTACAAATATATCAAGTCAGTGGCGTTTGATCCGCATTCGATGGCGCTTTAGAACTTACGGCAACCACGGCTTCTCCGTCCTTATATCGGGGAGCCATGGTGGCACAGAGGGAAAGGAAATCTCTGCGCCTATAGGATTAAAAAAAAAGAATCGAGAAAGTAAAGAACGTCAAGAAAAAGAACTAAAGAGAGAATGACTTAAAACAAGTAGATGGCATGAGCAAATGGCCCCTGAGGGAAATGAAAACAACTTCCGGATCCCTCGGTGGTTCTGACCCTCATTTACGCTAACCCAATTCGGCTAAGCGCACCCTGGGGCTGATCGGTGTTTTTTCAATGCGGGATGCCGACTTTTTTTTTAACCTCCTCAGTGACCAGCAATCATGTCTGCCGCAACAGATAAGGCTCGATTCTTCCTCGAGAAGTCAGTGCCTGAGCTCAAGGAATATGAGCGCAAGGGGATTTTCACGAAGGTATGCCGCAAGGCGGAGTTCTTCCATCAGAATGACAGCTGATCAGCATAATTAGGATGAAATTTCCTCAATCGTAAAAAAACGATCTGATTTTGAGCACAAGCTCAATGCGCGTGGTGCACAGCCGGTGGATTTTGTGCGCTATGCTGAATACGAAATGAACCTCGATGTGCTGCGAAAGAAGCGTGTGAAGCGACTTGGGATTCGGTCGGCAGGATTCAACGGCCAGCGACGCATTTTCTTCGTTCTCGACCGAGCTACACGCAAGTTCCACGGCGATATCAACCTCTGGGTCCAGTACATCGAATATGCCCGCAAACAAAAGGCACACAAAAAGCTCCAGATGATTTTCACCGATGCTCTGCGACTACACCCTACCAGCGCCGACTTATGGGTCTATGCCGCTAAGCACTTCCTCGATGACCACGGAGATATGACACAGGCTCGGAGTTACATGCAGCGCGGTCTACGGTTCTGCAAGAGCGCGAGGACAATTTGGATTCAATATGCAAAGCTAGAATTGATTTACATTGCAAAGCTGGTTGCTCGCCAACGGATTCTTGGTCTTGGTGAGGAGAACCAGAAGCCCGAGCCGATTCAAGCCGAGATCGATGACACCGATGCCGACATGATTGCGCTCCCAAAACTCACAGCTGAGGACATCAACCCCAGCGCAGGAGTGGACGGAGAAGTAGACCAGGTTGCACTGCAAAACATGAACTCCACACCTGCTCTGAGCGGTGCCATCCCGCTCGCCATCTTTGATACTGCCACAAAGCACTTCAATCACGATGATCGGTTCGGTCAGGAGTTCTTTGATATGGTTTGGGAATTCCAGGACGTGCCTTGTCTTCGCAAGATTTTGGAACATGTGATTGAGACGATGCGCGCCAACAAGCCTTCTAGCCCACGGACCCAGATTTGCTACATCAAGTTCCCGACCGCTGGAATCCCCTCCACTTCAGCTGAATTCCCACGGGCGCTTGGTAGCTCGCTTGCCCGCCTCAGGGAGTATCCCATGGGCAAGGATCTTGCCCGCCAAGTTATCAATTGGCTTCAACCTGTTCAAGCAACAGAGGACCTGGATCCTTCGTTGCAGAAGGTTATTGCGGCTACTGTCCGCAATGCGGAGCGCGCGGCACAGGAATAGTATACATAGCATACCCAAGTATTTGTACTTAGCACTTAGGCGTTGATCGGATATCATCAAAATTCAGGTTTCACTGGCGAACTTCCAAGGTTGTCCCCTTCCAAGGTTGTCCCTATACTATTATCGGGCGGTTTGAATGATCATGATCAATCATCGTATTTGCTTCCCCGGCGACTACTTTTCTTGTCGCTGTGTTGTTTCTTGTCTTTAATCCGAGTCTCATTTTGAGCCTTTTGTCTATGTTTTTGTTTGCCCTGTTAGATTTGCTCGATTGCGTCCATGGAAAGAGGACATGTAAACATACAACTTTCGCACGCGATCTCTTTGCGCTTGGGATGTTTCCCCAGGAATCACTTCATTGGCCGAGCTCTTCAATAACTGATGGAGCTTGTCAAAGCAGGATTCCACATTATTAGACTGTTTTCGCTCCTCGTCCGATTGGATGACTAGACATTGAGTTCTTTCGGCGGCATATCGGGAAGTGCGTAGTGGATGGTGCATTAGACGGGGCACCAAGGGCAGCAATGCATCCAATGGGACTTTCAAAGTGGCCTTGGAGTTGACCCTATTTCATTTCCCGATTAGTATTGCAACATTCAGTCCGGAGAACTACCGATCAAGTGGAGCCACTGACTTGTTCACATTTTGCCCGCCCGGACCGCTAGACCGACTGAAAGAGACCTCACAGATGTTGCGGGGAATGGTCTTGGAATTGAAGGTTTTGAGCCAATCCCTGGCTAGTTGTACATCTTGATCAACTTGAGAGGTAAATCTTCTCAAGGACACTCGAAAGCAGTGTACACGCAATTGAGAATACATATCTCTTGAAGTCCAGAAGAGGTGGAGTGGCTAATTAAAAATCCCCAAAAATAAAAGGCACTCTGGCCCCGCTTAGCGTACGTAATTAGAAGCTTTTATTTTTTGACTCCAGGGCTGTAATTCGACATGGTGATTAGAGTGATTACAATATAAAGTGTTAGAGTAAAGTTAGTATGAGTATATAAGATGATGATGTAGTGATATCTATGTTATATAAGTTATATAGTTATAGTGGTTACATCAACCATTGCCTCTACTTTGTACATGAATTTGGAATTTACATGTATTCTTTTGATCAAAAATATAGAAAAAAAGAAAAAAAAAAAAAAACTAATATACCCTCGTGATACTAGACATATCAGTATCTCAACGCCTCCAACTTGCTCACCTGACAAACTTTTTACCCATATTTCCCACTTACTCACCTTCTAGAACCCCACCTAGTCCCTATTTCCCTTCTTCATCGCCTATTTTTTCTTCCTTTTCACTCTTTCCCCTTTTACTCTAGGGTAAGAGATGAGCCCGACCCATCTTTTTCTCATCGCCCCACCTTAGCTTGCGATTACGAAAATTCCTAGTCCCTCTTCTTCACCATCTCCCTTTTTCTCCGTAGATGAAACTACCTCCACCTCGAAGTCTACATGACGCCCAGTCCCCCCGATGAAGCGCTTCACTTTCGCGGAAAGACTCTGACTCCGGAAAGCCCTCGACCTCTACATATTCCAGAGCCATCCAATATCCCAGTCTTAGAGAACCAAATGGACCCCATCTTCAACGATACCTCCACCTATGAACGCTCGGTGTATAATCAGGTCCCACAGACAAAAGATGGATGGTTGCACGGAGAGTTAAAGGATATCCAGGGGGGACCGAGTCAGACCCAAGATGCTGGTAGTTTTCATGGCTTACAGCCGAGTCGTGGGATGCAGAATGAAATGATTGCTTCTGCATACTACCCTCCCAACCCAGCGTCGGGGTCCGAAAATTCCGGCCATCTCAGCTCAAGTTTTTCCCACCCCGATTCCACTTATTCCCACGCTGCTCCGGTTGCTCCGGCATCCCAAGGCTTTGCCACTGGGAGTGAAGTAGATCATGCCCACAATCCGGAGCAGTCAAGGATGCAGGACAGCTTAACTGCTGATGAGAGTGTGGGGCATAGCACGGGAGGTGTCAATTTCCAGAACCTCCTCGACAATCTTTCTCATCCCAACCCTGGTGCAACAACTACCGTTTCTTCAGCTGAGAACTCGTCTCTCCACCAAGCACCCGCTGGCGAGCCCCTCAAATCCCAGGACATCCCTGCTCACCCTCAAGCCCAAAGCCACGCTTCTATTCAGGCCCATTATACTCCAAACGACGAGGCGGCATATCACCAACTTCCATCTGCCCATGATACCGCTGCCACTACATCGCCTACCTACTCAGCCCAACCTAGTAATATCCAACCCCCGAACCAGTCTCATTCCTTTAATATTGCTTCTGGTGGGACATCAGCTGTCAGCAATCTACTTCCTCATATTGCCACCTTCCCGCAAACCCCATCTACCGGTGCCGAATCCCAGGGTCCCTTGCAAGAGCCTTCTGTAGCCACCCGGAAAGTCCGTGTCGACAAGCAGGGTCGACCTATCAAGCTTTCTGATGATGATGCGCCATGGGGTCCAGAGGTCCAAAAGAAATATGACGAGTTCCTGCACGATGAGCGGGTCTATGTGACGGAAGGTCTTTGGGATCGTTTCCCGATCGGCTCTAGGTTGTTTGTTGGTCAGTGCTGTTCCCCTTGAACCTACTCTCCGTCGATCTGACGGTGTTCCCGCGTGCAGGCAACCTCCCTACTGAAAGAGTCACCAAGCGAGACATGTTCCATATCTTCCATAAGTACGGAAAACTAGCTCAGATATCGATCAAGCAGGCGTACGGCTTCATACAGTTTCTGGAGGCGAATTCCTGCCATGCGGCTCTCGGCGTCGAACAGGGAGCCGTCGTGCGGGGCAGGAAGATACGTGAGTGTTTAAAGCCATAACAGCACTCTTTCTCTCAAGGAAAGATCTAACCGTCCCCAGATCTTGAAATTTCAAAACCTCAGCGATCGACCCGGCCTACTCAGACACCCGAAACTTCCCGTGCACTTCCGCCACGTCGTTCCCGGTCACCAGAGTTCAGCCGTGCCGGTCCTGGGCGAACTAACGCCCGGGGCCCGGATCGATATGACCGGTCTAAGCCCTATGAACCAAGTCGGCTTCCATTTAGCGATTTCCGGGATGAACCTTCTCACCGCAGCAGACGCGACGATTATCGCCCGCCGCGATCGCCTTCTCCGCGACCATTTCGGGGGTCTAGAGAAGGGTATCGATCACGCGACAGAACCCCAGAAAGATTTGATCGCCGCGAGCGAAGGCGCTCCCGTTCTCCTCGTTCTCCTCGCTCTCCTTATTCCAGAGATCGACGTTACCGTAGCATCAGCCCAAGACCACGTGGTATCTATGAAGGTGAAGCGGATTTACCTGTACCTCGACGAGCTCAGCGAGATGTACCGGAGGTGCAGATCCTCGTGCTAGAGGAACTTGACAGGTGGGTTGAATACATTGAGGTCTGTTTGGACAAGGTCACTGACATTGCGAAGAAACTTCGTTCTTCATGTAGAGAACGCTTTCCGCAACCGTGGATTGCGGGTAGATGTCCTCGTGCTTGGTCCACGGATCCCTCTTGGCGCCGCCGTGCATCGACAGTTTATTGAAGGTGTTCTCGCCGTTGTTCGCCTTTCCCGTCCAAATCAAGTCTCTCGGAAGATTCCTCTACAGCTATTTGATCGAACCGCTGGATTGGATAACGTCCGCTTCCTTGGTAAGCGCATTCTGTGTTCCCTTGTTCATCGACGCCTTGCTTATCTCTCTTCTTTTTCACGCAGATTACCCTGAGCTCGAGCCCAATATGTCTGCTGAGCTCTTGAGCCACCAATCCCAAGCGATGCAGCGAGGAGCAGCCCCGGCCGCATTTGCACCCTCTACTTTCATCGTCCCTCCAGCACAGCCCATGCCGGTTCCTCCGCCTGGCATGCCTACGCTTTCAAATCCACCTAACATTGCGAACCTTATTAGTTCACTAGATGGTCCCAGCCTTTCAACTCTCCTCTCGGCACTCCAGCGACCTCCCCATTCACAGCCCGTGTCTGCTACTCAGTCGCCATTCTCTTCACCAAACCCACCTCCGGCCGACCTCGCCAGTCTCCTGACCAACGTGCATCGGGCTCCACCTATGCAAACCAACCCACAGCAACCCCTCCCCCATGCACCCTTCAACCTCCAGCCTGTAAATGCACCCGTCATCACCGATCCAACACTGCTTTCGCTCCTGGCCAAAGGTCTAGGTGGACAACAGCAGCAGGGCCAGGGGCCCGTCGGTCCCCAAGTACAGAACCTGATGCAGCACCTGGCTAAATGGAAGCAATGATTTCACGACTTTCTTACTACCTATCATTCTCATTTGAACTTAAGGTTCATCTCGTCATTGTTCATTTTTTGGAGCCTGGCGTTCTTGCATCCCTATTTGATGGATTTCAGTGCTCTGCTTCGGTTCCTTTTTTTTTATCTGGCCAAAACCCAGTTCTCGCAACACTAGGCGTTTCCTTTCTCTTTCCTGTTTGCTCTTTTGCTTGTCATGTGTCACAAAGGCAGCGAGATATTAGGTAGATATTAGGGCAAGGCGGTACCTATGATGGAGTTGATATGTTTTTTCAACCATTGGACTCTTGCTCATTGTGACTACTGGTTTATTTATTCCCTCCCCTCCCTCATGGATATAATACGGATGTTCACTAGATATTTTGGGTTATATTATTACTTGTGGACATCTCTCTCTTTGGCATCCAAGTGTGACTCTACCGGACACGCGAGGTCTCCCAGTGCAGATGATAAAAGCAATGATAGTCCAAACACAGTGCCTACGGGTATTAATTTTAGTAGTCTAGTTCAGTTCGAGGTGGTTGCAAATAATCTTACTCTGACCACTCAGGCACGCTGCGGAGCGCGGTTTAGATTATCATATTAGTACTGTTAGTACACATTTCTTATTTATATAATATCACTGCAATTCATATATGCTCAGGTTGGTAGTCGTTTCCGAGTCTTGTTTCATAGATCCTAATAACCAGGCTGCAAGACATATCTGGTAGGTACATAAGTAGCCTTATCCAAAAGTGGCGAGCCTTCGATCTTAGAGCTTAATTTATGCAGTGGATGCATAGTAAGACTGAACAAGCAAGCCGTCTCAGACTTGCAGCTTCCAGCAATGTACCGTTGAAATGGAGTGGTCATCAAGGTACGTGATAAGAGAGGATATGCTACATATTGTACAAAAGTCGCCAACAAAGTGTCTCTGGCTTTTTATTTCGAGTTCCAGCCTTTCTCCTTCAACTCCTTCACCTTGGCCGCATCCTCGTTCTGGATGCGCTCAATCGTCTTGTCCCGGTTGTACTCCATCACACGCTTTTCCTTGAAGTATTTCACCTAGTAGAGACCAAGAATCTCGAGTTAGCAATCTGCCAGTAAATCGATATAACGTAGAGCAATCTCTAGAGCGCCAAGAATTGGCAATTCTGAGCAGCCGATCAAAAATCCCACCGTACGTACCCAGCTTTGTGAACATGCCGCCTCAAACTCCGCAACCTCGTTCGCGCACTTCTGTCGCGCCTTCTTATCATCTTTAATACCGTCGAGAATATCATTCTTGTCAAGACAGGCGAAAAAGCTATCACGGCCCTCCCAGCAGCGTGCGCGACTCGTTCGGTCCGGAGCAATGCGGCCGCCGTCGGAGGCAGCGTTCTTGTTTGAATCGCCGGAAGACCAAGGTAGCCAGCCCATTTTGAGGAGATAATTATTATTGGAGAGTGGTTAGGTGAGGAATTGACTCGTTGGGTTCACACGAGTAGAGTATGCTGTGTTTTGTAGCAGGTTGTGCTGCTAAAAGGTGTCGGTGACGGCAGGTGCTCAGTTGGCGGGTCGGGCCTGTGACCGCCAAGAACTATTGATCTCAGGCAGGCGATCTCCATCTCCGGGCCCTTTTTCACTCGCAGCTCACCCCACGTTCTGGGATTTACATATGATTTTGAGGCCTCTAGCACTGGATACTTTTTGTTTCTGGAGTCCACTTGGAACATCTTCCCGAATAGCATTGCATGGTCCCTTCCCTTCACCTCCACGCTAGCCTCGCCTCGAGCTCCGACCACCTTGACACCTCGACCTTGAACGAAATTCACGAGGGTAACAAGAAACCCCCTTGTATATCTAGTTGATGCCCGCGCGCCGGCGTCCACCAGCGGGGTCGCGCACCGAACTCCCTCCGCTGAAGATTGTCCGCAAGATCCTCTTGCTGCAGCTCGCATACTATGCCTGCGCCACGGTGCTCATCTTGTTCACGACGGTTGTCTACGGCGCACCATTCTCGCTAGATCTGGTCTTCGGCTGGGGCTCCCTGCGCGGTGATACGACCATTGGATGGATGTTGGGGTTGGTGTGGTTGTTGAATTGCTTTGTTAGGTGAGTTGTCCTGGTTCAACATTATAAGCAGTATTCCCGATCAGCGGCTAACTATAACCTCCCCTCGGGGATATCCAGCGTAATATTTTTACTTATTTTCGTATCCCGCTCAAAGCTGGTCCCAGATTTTGCTCTGACGATTCACTTCATCCACCTCATTGCCACTACTTTGTACTCCCACTCCCTTCCTTCAAACCTACTCTGGTGGGGACTTCAATTCGCCAGTGCGGCTATGATGACTTTCCTTGGAATGTGGGCGTGCCAAAGACGGGAGCTTGAGCCTATCAAGTTTGGTGGACATGGTGGCAGCACCCAAGCTAGCTCGTCGTCACAAGCATCCGACGGCGATGGCCAGCAGGAGTCGAGCTTTGGCCGTGGCCGCGGTCGAGAACGCAGCTTGCAAGAATATGAAATGGATGATATGAAGCACACGGGCGAGCATGCTGTATGAATCCGCGCCTGCCCGCCCCCTCACCCCATCGCTGATGTTCCTTGTTGGGGCTATGAATGACTTTTTGTTACCCTGTTACACCCTTTTCTTTTCTTCTCGCGCTTCGGTCTACCATGAACTGTTTGATGCATTCCTTCCATTTTGTATACCCTTGCGGCAGTTGCATCTGTATAGATGGCGTTTGTTCTGAAGGAATTGTTTTCAATATTCATTTGCTCGATACCTGTTTACATTAATACTTGCTTGGTTTGTACTATTCTTCTCAGTCAGACATGCTGGCGAGCTGTACGAAATTTTTATGTCTATAATCTCTACTTCTTGAGAAGAGATATTGTCCCTCATTGTACCTAAGACTAACACTCCCAATGAATCTCGAATGCAATTGGCGAAAACTTGTGCTATCTGTTAGGAAGAAAGTATTTACATACTATCTAGCGTCATGTCTAGCAGCAACCCAGTTTCTCACGGGCCCTTGATTCAAAGCTCTTCTGGACATGTTGTAGTTGATGATTTGCTCTTCCAACTTCGTATACTGACTTCGATGTTGCCGCTTTCTGGCTCAAAGATTGTCTAGATATCAACCCCAAAGGCACCCAAAGAGCATTCGGCTGCATTGTGCATCTATGGTCATCGGATAATGGCCAACCTACGCTGCACTACTGCCTTTTGAAACCGTCTCCTTTGTGGACAGCCTCGTAAAGTAAAAAGTGATCTTGAATACTATCTTTTAGTTTGAGAATCGATTGTCTTAAGACTTAGAAAGTGCCTAAACTACATATTTAAAAGGGCTTTGGACCGAATCGGAAAGCGGCATATATATTTTTCACACTTTACTGAAGGAACCTTCCATTTGTCTCCTCGACGAGCAACTCAAACTCAGGCTGGAACTCAGTATAAAAGTTGTGCTAATGTTGTCAGTATACATATTTTCAAGCACCTTGAAATAAAAGTCCATTCCACTTACAGGATTCTGCGCAGCATTAGCGGTGAACTGGGCCGCATCATCCTTGATGATCTTCTTTGGAAGTCCATTGGCTGCTGCTGCTTCAGCAAGAAGCTGTGACTGGCAAGCGTTTTCCAGCATGGAGTAGAGGATTGCTGCTTCATCAACAGTCTGACCGACGGTAAGGAGACTGTACATGAGTAAAGTCAATTAGCCACATATAACTAGACGCGTAGAGAAAATGCAAAAGCGAAAACTGACTCACCCATGGTTTTGCAAGATACATGCAATGTTTTCCTTGCCCAATGCCTTTGCAATTGCCTTTCCTTCCTCTGCTGACAGAACAACTCCGCCATGGTCTTCGTAAACACCAACTTTGCCGAAGAAGTTGCATGCGTCTTTATTCAGCTCGTTAGCACAAAGTCAAGCTCCCAATGCCACCTTAATAAAAAAAGAAATCAAATGCCACTAACCTTGTGTAAGCATCTCAATTGGCTTTCCAAATGAACTCCACGTCTTTCCATGAATACCATGCGTGTGTGCCGCAGCCACAACATCTGGGCGTGCTTTGTGGATCTCTGAATGAATCAGGAACCCAGCTTCATTTACAGGCAGCTGAGCTCCACCGTCTACGACAAATCCATCAGAATCCAGAAGTACGAGATCCGAAGCCTTGATAGTCGAGAAATGCTTGGCGAACGGGTTCATCCAGAAATGATCTTTGAGGATTGGGTCTGCAAACCATCAGAACAATGCTGCTCGCCTATAACTCATCTACTACATTCAAAAGAAAGTGTTCCACTTACCTCTCATTGAGATGTGCCCGGAAACACCCTCCCCGTACCCTAGCTTGCCAAAGTATCGGAATGCAGCAGCCATGTGCTCCTTCATCCACTTGCGCTTCTCAGTCAGGTCTGAGAATGTGGGGATGCCGCGTAATTTCAGAGTGCCATTTCGACCTCCACGAGCCAGACCCTGGAAGCATGCGTCGGTTGCCGCTGGTGGTACTGGCGGTAGTTGATCTTCGTTGGTCACACGAACGGAGTGCTCTTGCTGCGTTGTCGTTGTAGAGGTCGACATGTCGGGGAATTGTTTTGGTTTAAAGCACTATCTTTTCGAGAAATTGCGTCTTTAAATGTTAAAAGTTCATGTTCATGATGTCCAGTACTCGGGCCTAAGTCCGAACTCTTATCTGTGGGGGGGCCCCGCTCTGTCGTTGGAAGGCGTATGGCAGCAAAGTGCAAGAGAAAATGCCTGTGAATTCGATATCTGAATTTGAAATCGAGTATTCATTGGCTCTAAAGGTATATCATGCTATCGCTGCTTGACTCTCTAGTGATAACCCTGGAGGATTATAAGATTGGTCAAGGTCTCCGAGATTGGTTTCTCTGTCTCCAATTCCCAAGCTTGCCTGCATCACCACATTGTATGTATTGCATTACGAGCTGAGTATACATGCAGTAAAATATCTTTAGTCACTCGTATTTTATGATTTGCTTTATCATCCACAGCCAGTCATGGCCTTTCATCATCTATATCTACTAGGAATGTATAAGGTGACTAAGCTTTGGCACGTGACTCGTTATCAGCCATGTGGGCTTCCTATCTTAAGGCCAATATCCCTCTCTCCTCCAATGGCTTAGTTGTTTGATGTCAAAACATTGAGAGCCGCATTGAAGACATTTGCTTCTGAACTCCACATGCCCCTGTTTGGCTAGCTCAGTGGTGTTCTCTAGTTACTTCATTGCTCTTTTCTTCTATGTGGCTCCATTGATATAGACATTGGACACGTCTAGACCCATCATGGCGGAAGCAGACCCGTCATACATAGACTATGAGGCCTTCTTAGACCCAGACTTCTCGCCAGCTTCCTTCGCCAACACACTGGTGACAAGCACAAACAATGCAACAGATACCCCGTTGGATTTATCAACACCATTGTCACGGGTGCTCTTTGATCTTCAGGAGATCGACACACACATCCATGCATTGACAACCAGATCAGCAATCCCATTGCTTTCACACACCCAAAGCCAAATTGCTGCTGCTGATAATATCCTCAAAGAATCAGGGACACAGATTGCTTCTGTGACTCAAGGGTACGAGCGCCTTCAAAAAGAGGTTGTACAAAAATGGGAAGCAGCCGACGAAGCCCGTATTGCTGCTGAAAACTCGCTTGCGACCGTCCGTCTAGCAAGGGCTGTTGCGCGATGCATAACCCTGGGCAGACAGCTGGAGAGCCAGGTTTCTGAAATTACAGGCCGAGGGCCAACAGGACCGGCCCCGGATGGAGCAGCATCACCGTCAACTGGGAAAGATGGGTTTCGCGCACTGGAGCGAGCAGCGTACACGATTTTAAATCTGCGCGAAATGTTCTCAGCTGCAGCGGAGGGCGAGGAAGGCTATGGATTGGATCGAGTAAAAGTCGCTCGTACTCTACGTGGAGAATTTGTCATTCCCGCAGAGAACATGGTCAAGTCGAGAGCGCAACAGACCATCAACAGATTTTCTTTGTCCTCGAATTCAGCAAGCTCCAATGGCCAGTCATCCATGCAATCTGGCTACAAGCAAGCCCGCGATGCCCGAGCACGACTGGCAACAGCCGCCACAACTCTATATCTTCTTTCGCCTCCTCCAAAGAACGCAACCGCCCCAGCAGACTACAAGCCTGAACTCTTGTTATCAACATTACAAGGGTTCATGCATACAGCAATTATGACATCCGTGAATTCCCTCGCCCGGGCTCTTACCCAGCTCCCAACCATGGACCGAGCCCTCGCCGACATCTCCGCGCGATGCCAAGATATAGTCGCCTTGGAGAACATTCTCAGAAACCTCGGCCCACCACCACACCCTCTCTTAGCCTCCACTACTACAACCGACGAACCCGCCACTGAAACTCAAACAGCGGCCTCAAATAAACCTAATCTCCTACAGCCTCTGCTCCAGGCCTTAGACACCTCATCTCTTCCTTCCTACTACTGGCGCTCCCTCGCCTCGTCTCTCGCCCCGCGTGTTCAGGAAATCGCCAACCGAGGCGGTGTCTCCGTCCGTACCTTGCGGTCCAACCGTGATCGACTAAGAGTCGAGATCAAGGAGTGTGTGCTCCGTGCGTCACAGGTGTCTGCTACCAGCCTGCTGGCTGAGAAGGGTCGACCAGGACCCGACATGGTGGTGGTTGGAAACTGGGAGCGAGAGGCTGCCGTGATGGTGAGCTCGGTTGTCGGTCCTCTGGGACGGTGATCATATGGCTACTGCAAGCATAGTATACATGTGACCGAATCTTTACAAGGGATTCGAGATTCAGTACGAGATAGATTAGGTCAGTCGCAAGGATTGAACACGGCTCTAATGAAAAATATAATTGTATGGCATCATCTATCTAGAGTGGAACTATACCTATGTTCTAGTCTTCGAACTGGAGATCTGAAGCCAACTCTTTCCGTTCATAAAATCAAAACAGTCGATCTAGCATACTGAGTCGATGTAACCCGATTTGACTTGGCTTTGTCGGGAATGGCGACTTCTTCGGAGTTATCACCACATAAGGCGATGAGGCGGTTGGGTCTATGACGCACATCAGGGACTGGGACCCAGCCTGCTAGTCGTTCAGGTGTGATTTCAAGCAGTTGCCCTTCGCGTAATGCAAAGACTCTTGTTAATTTTTGTTTCCTGTGCCAAGCTGAGCACGGATGTGCCGAGCATTGAACATTCGGAATGACTATTCATGGACATCCTGTTCTCCTCAGGGTAAGCGAATACGTCTTCCGGTTCCACTGCTCGTACTCTATGATGGAAGTCCCTGAGATATCGGAAACCTCCGGAGAAAAGGCCAGTTCAAGCAGCAGAATGACCCTCTCGGGTCGCAAGGCACTGAACAGAATTGTGTTGAATGGTAGAGCTCTAGGTCAAGAGCTCTTGAACCCCTGTTGTTGCTATAATCATAGGCTAGATGCCATGTTGGAACTTTGCGAGAGGGCTGATCTCACATCCCCAGATTTGGCTGTGGGGAAAAAAAGGTGAGACAGTATGAGGATCGCTTGCAATCTCGCTCGAAATAAAGCTCTCTCACGACTGGGAACTCTCTTATGTGACAGTCTCGAGTTCGTATATTGCATCGTATCGCGGGCGGTATTGTGGACTTGAATAACAGCATGATTATTCGGGATGCCGTACCAAACAAGCGTTTTGAGACGTTGATACTAGCTAGCACAGGTGACAATAGCTCTTTGTATAGCGATGAGCCTTCTCTGCTATGCGCTTGCTAACGTGAGGCAAGGTCACCAGCAGGGTCCGAACGTCGATACTCCCATCTTCGAGGGCCAATTGGTCGAAGACGATGTACATGATATCAATTGGCATCGCTTGAAGAATTGCCTTGCCGCCGTTGGGCATGACTGGAAGGTCTCCGATGAAGGACATTGTGATAATGATTGCCAGTAGACAAATTCTGAAATTCGAACATTAAAAACATACCTAATTTCAATGAGCAGAGGCGTTCCGAGGTTCGTACCATTCGCTGTTGTTCCATGGAACCAGTCGCGTGGCGACGGATAAGACTTGCACGATCAGCCGCGGTATGTTTTCTTGTGCCGTGCTTCCGGCGTATACTCGGCATCGGTGTTCTCGTCTTTTCATCGGACAATGATTGTCGTTTTGTAGGTTCGATAATGCTACGAGTGGGGATTGTTATTTTGAAGATCATTCGGCTCCCCCAAACAGGAGATATTGTTCGACATGCCAGATCTAGTCTAGGCTCGGTCATATGCTACATCTGAGTATCTTTCAGGTTTGAAAGTGTGATATTAATCGGATTGACCAAACTTCGAAGGTCTTAAACTGTGGCATTTAGCGAAATGCAATCTATGTAGAATAGAGTTCCCCGGTCGACAGTGACAAACCTCAGATGAGAGGTATAGTCTCGATTGGGCATATTTCAGGGCTTCCAAGTCACTTGAGGGAGAACTGACAATCATCAACTGTAGATAGAGGGTCGATATTAAGCTGCTGGACTTGCTGATAGGCGAATTCTTATCTACTTCGACAACACATCCCAATTTCCATCGTAGCTTAAAGATTTTGCCAGAAGTTTGGACAGAAGAGCACGGAGAGGATGAAACAGAATATAAAACAAGAGAAGGTGAGGAACTAGTGTGGCTCAAGATTGAGGCAACCAAGACCGAAGGATCGTTTGCTAGTGCTCGTGGGTAGCAACCAAGAGCGGGGGAGAGGGGCAATAGAGATAGAGGGAAACAGAAAGAGAGTTGAATTTGAGAGCAGAATAGAAAGAAAAGAAATAGGAAGGGAAAGAAGGCAGACAAGGGGGGAGCTTCTGGTCCCCCATTCTCCTGTCATTGCATACACATGGATATGCTTATTTGAGCCTCAACGTTTGAATGTGGACGGGTTAGCCTAGAAAATGCATATATCTGTATAAAATAAATACGCCCTACTCTATGTAAACAACGAGTCAACATCATATTTTCGGTTTTCACTTTTCCACCTGAAGTGGTCTCTACAAACGGAATTTGGTATTATTCCTACAGACCAAGCCATTCTAAACACTCGATCTACTATTCACACTGAACATCCTCATCTACTCAGGCCTGAAGTACTGCCAGCTATTTTATAATCATGATAATCCATATCCCCTCAACCATTGAATTTTACTACTACTAGTACCGTAAATATCCGAACCTTATTGTCGCACCACGAGCAACAGACCCTTGGAAGCAACACCCAAACCGCAAGTCCCATGTACCAGCAACCAACCGCACCCAAAGCCAAGGCGCGAATAATTTAGCGTACCTGACAACAGAAACCCTGGGACACACTATAACACCAAAGTATCGGGACTGGATCTGTCAGCTCGCACAGAACCCGAAGCGAAAACTTCCGAAGATCGGAAAATAATCACCATGCATAAAAGCATATACATAAACATCAGGATGTGCCGCAGATAAGCGGGTAGATCTACATCTGCAAGTACGTTGTACAAGTACCTGAACGCGGTAGGTGTTCCAGAGGAGTCAGATGACTCCTATAGGGTACACCATGGCTGGGAGCTGGTGTATGCACTGCATGTTGACTCAATGCCCTGGGTGCAGAGGAGGACAGATGCATGTCAGTTGCTGGGGAGGGGGGGAGGTTTGGGGTCCAATTATGTTGGGAGGATGGCATGAGTATGGATTAGAGAATGCAGAAACAGCGCGCTTGGTCCGTTTCGTCCGGTCTGGAATTCACATGTGAATTGAACTCTCAGCCTCCTGCTGGTGCATCTTATATGTATTATGTATACGGTGTAGGTGCTGATGTCGGGTGGGATAAGGTTTATATTGATGCTCGAGGTGATGCGTTGTTGGTACATACTATCTATCTCACTAGAGTACTCTATACAGGGTAATATGAGTCAATGAAAATAATAATTTATTAATATACGGAGTACATGTGTATGTTGTAGTAATAAGTAATATATTATTTGATTAATTTATTTTGGAGGTCACATTATAAGGCGGCTCCTACGTGGCCCCCCCCAGGTACGCAACTCGACACATAATCAGGTACAACTTACATGGATGGACCTGGTATGAGATGCAGAGCATGGGCTATGATTGGATAAATCAAGAAATACCCGGCACCATCAATGACCAGTCAGATAAGCAGACCGCTGGAAAGGCAAACGGATCGCCTCTCCAGGGGGCGAAAAAGAAACGGGCGGAATATATTATACAAAGAAAAATATTCCTTAGAAGGCGTGGAAGGTATGGAAGTTTTAGCCGTAGCCCTGGAGATCTCAAGTCGAAGGCGTCAGCATATCCAACCAATCCCGGTGGAGGGGGCGGGCGCTATAAATTCAGGTTTATCGATAAGCCCTGCAGCGTTTGGTACCTGGTTCTACTTGGCCGTGCGCCTTCCTGCTAGCCTCAGTGGCACCCTGCAGATGTACCTACAGGTACCCGGGGTCTGGGATCTTCCCCCTCTTTTCTCGTACATGATTATAGCGACGATCTAGGATCCACGCTTCTTCCTTTGACCCCCTTGGGTATGGATATACAAGATACATGGATTGTATATATTGTATTTCTCCGTTATCTCCATATAGGATTTCACATGGGACTTTTCCCGTGGGAAATAACGTCAACTTAACTGTCGATCATCTAGACTAGCGGCAGGAGCCCCATCACCCATTTCGCCTATAAGCACCCGGTTCCCCGAATCATATCTCGCAAACTATATATACGTAATGTACATTAATATATCCCGTACTTACCCAAAGAGGGGAACCATGTCTCCAAGAGTAGTCTGTATCGCCTCTTTTCTTTTCTTCCAATCGTGTCCGCTGGATCATAGCCCTCCGTGGACCTGAGGTACATAAGGAAATTTGATTTGCTATACAATATACAAAGTCTAGGGAATAAGCACATCATCCACATCGACCGTGGCGTCACATCTTTTTCCGATGAGGTATTCTTTCAAAGTCAAGTAAAATATAAAGTACATTAAAGTACATGAGAACCAGGGATGTGAGGATGTTGTACAGCGTTCCAAGGTTGGGGGGGGGGGGGGGGGTTTGCCGTTTGCAGATTTCCTGAGAGAAGTGGGGGGAAAGTTTAGCAGCGACGCAGGCACGATGGGCCAACGGGCTTAGCCCCAGGGGGTGAAAGTTTCAGAGAGTTGCCTGAATGCGGTTTCAACGGAGGTGCCGGATCATCGAGGTGACGACTTCTCTTTTTTTGGGGATTTTTTCTGGTTCTATAAGTGGGTTTAGTACGCAGTAATAAGGGAGGTACATTTCTTGATGTGCATATCGGGAAAAGAGATCCAAGATGTTTCACTTCTGTTCTAGAATGTATAATGTAGAATATATAAATGGAAATGAGATCTATCTCTTATCAATACCCCCGCAGTCTTATAATCTAAAATTATCACGGGCTCGGACCAACCCTGTGAGATCTTCTAAGGGCTCGAGCAAATGGTTTTTGTAGGGAGTATGAAGTATTCGTATCGGACCATTCGGAACTCTTTCCCCTACCGCGTAACCAATTTTTTTTTCACTAAGAGTATGACGAGTTCCAATACATCCACGCGATGCAAGGGGTTTGATTTAGAGGGTTAGACTGTTGGAGGGTACAAGGGTTAATATGGAGAGAGGTCTAGAGTGTTATATTGAGAGGTTAACCCTAAGATCTCCACCAAAAGAGTCTCGACCTTTTTTTCCCTCTAACCCAAACATATTAAGGCTTGGCAGACTATTTCCAGGGTCTAGCAAAGATGGTTAACGTCAAGAACTTCTCCCAGGGTTTAACCTATAAATTATTATATTCTATATAGACCTGAAAGGTCTAGACTTTTTATTGTCAACTTTAAGTAGCTTACAAGTACAAGTAAATCAAGCTCAAATATCTCAAGTAGTTCAAGTCACCTAATGAATCATGGAGGTGCCTGGTGCCTTTTGAATAAAATGGAGACACGCGGATATCTGGTGAAACACTTAATGATTCGCATCGGTAGCCCCGGAAGGTCTTTGAGTTCCTGTTGAGTTCCTGTCTTTACTCTTTTGCCCCTCGCTTCCGATAAGCCTCTTCTTCTTCTCTCTCTCATCGTCACCATTTTCTGTTTTATAACCTTTCTTCTATAGTCTATACCCTGCATATATACTGGGGGCTTTTTTCCTTCTCTTTTTCCTTTAACGGCTGGTCGGATCTCTATCTATTTTGGAAATATTTCTTGAGATGATCACGATCAGCTCACGACCTTCCCTTTTCTCTTATTTTCTTACATTCTTGACCTTTTCTCCCCGCCCTTGCGTTTGAGAATCCTAGTACACATTCTATTTTCGCCCCTCTTTCTCTCTCTCTCTCTCTTTCTCTCTTCAGAAGTAAGCGCACTTTCAAATCGTACGTGAACACTTCTCTGACTCTCTTTTGATCTCTTGGTTTTTTTTTTGCATCCTCTTTTTTTCTATTTTATTTTTTTGCACTCTAGTAGTGTCCAGGTTACTGAGTTTTGCGCAAATGTTTACAGTCAATCCGGCCCAGACTCCGCGTCTTGATCCCCGAGTTCTCCGTAGCGCTACGGTTTTTACGACTCGACATAGAAACATATAGAGCCCCCCAACTGGTCCTGGGGTGATTATTCCGATCGGGTTGCTTCGCGACCACTGGTGGTTAGGAACATTCTTCGCATTTGGCTCTCCGAGACCTGACATCACTCCCGCCTCTCACCCTCTTACGTCGCTATGGCTTCCTTTCTTCCTGTTAACAACTCGGCCCCTGAAGACCACGCGATGGACGGAGCAGCTACACCTCGTGCGATCCCAAATGGCGTGCCGGTCACACCGGACGCTTCTTCGACGGAACAGTTTCCGGACGGAGTTTCACACCACAGCCGCGGCAGCGACGCTTCATCCCGCACAAACTTAACACACCCGTCAACGTCTGACGAACAGATGCATGATTCCGAGGGAGAACGAGATGATTCCGATCGTGATCAGGATCAAGGGAATAATGCACCCCCCTCGAAAAAGAAGAAAGGTCAACGGTTCTTCTGCACATCCTTCCCGCCTTGCAATTTGAGCTTCACACGGAGCGAACATCTAGCTCGCCATATTCGGAAACACACCGGTGAACGTCCCTTCCAGTGCCACTGCTCTCGGCGGTTTTCCCGACTCGACAACCTCCGCCAACATGCTCAAACGGTCCATGTCAATGAGGAAATTCCTGGGGATTCGCTGGCGGCTACGGGCACACGGTTCCAACGTCAGGTCCGTACAGATCGAGTGCGGCCACCAGGCCGGGCACGGGCAGGCACCGGAGGCAGTGTTAGCGGTCATACCCGAGGTCATAGCAGGAACTTGTCAACCTCGAGCATTGCATCCACCACTTCGACATTCAGCCAACCTCCGGAACTTCGGCGGCGCCCTCCGCCTTTGATCATGGCCAACGACCCCGCAGCTCGATCTCGACTGGCAATGGATTCCATGGGAGAACGTCCGAGTACACCCCCGGCCCAGACCCGTGGTGCTCATAGTCACTCGACAACTGGATCACCATACAACCCCTCCAATATGTTTGCTGCTACTGGTAGCAGTCCCCAATTCGCTTCGCCCATGTCTGGCACAACACATGGGTTCTGGGAAGGAAAGACCGCCGCCCGTCGTCTTTCAGTGCCAACAAGCAGCAACCCTTTCCTCGCACAGCATGGCAACACATATCCTCCGGCATATCACACCCCCGCTGGCGCACCTTATCCCAACGCCGCTGGCGTATTCGCAAGCCCAACTAGCACGCATTATCCGGTATCTCGTGATGAGGGCACCTTGAGTGCAGCTGAAGCCGAGATGCGGAGAAGAACCTGGCATCCTTCGTCATACACAGGGTTTCCACGTCCTGGAACTAGTGGCCTGAATCAATACCATACACCCGACAATGTTCCAGCCTCATTTGGCGCAAACGGCTCGAGCGAGCATCCGCCCCGGCTCCCCGGGATTGAGAGTTTCGACAAAGTAGTCCAACGGCCGATAACCCCTCCCACCCGGAAAACCAGCCCAATGCAGCTTGATGGCCATCGTGCACCACCTAACTCAGGCTTTGGATCTGGGTTCAATTACACACAGCCAGCCCACCGTCCAGTGCCCCCCATCTCCGGCCCTGGTCACCGACGAGGCCATGTATCCTGGGATATGTCTTTGCATCATAATCTAACCGGACTGGATATCCGAGACCGCCGTCCATCCAATGCCTCCGCTTCTCAATGGAGTCAGCAAACACTCGCGGAACTCCAAAATGTATCTTCCCGTCCATCGTCATCTTACCAGCCTGCATTCGGCCCAACGGCCGAAAGAAGCCCTGAAGAGTATCGGGGACATCGCCCAAGCCTTTCAACGGGGAGCCGTACACGAACTTCCCCCGAGGATTCTAGTAGCAGTGAGGGTGTCCATACCCCATCCACCGCACCACTTGAGTATCATCCCGCGATTGTGCATAGCAGTGGATATATCGAATCCAATGATTCCTCACTTCCTTCCGATCACCCTCCACCGGTAGGAACCCCTGTTCGAACGGACGGCTATCGCCCCAGTTACTAATGCCGTCATAGATCTGTGGCCGTCCAACTGCCCACGTGGACAACTATGAAGTCCACGACCGGGAGCCCAGGCCAGATGTCTTCTCGGACTCTGCTACCCGACACTCTGGCATGGGTCGCCTGGAGGCTCTTGTCGCCGTTGCTACAAGCGAGCACAAAGGAGCAGCTAAGCTGTTTCTGTAAATTGTCTGGATAAAGCCATCCTATTCTATACCATTCAACATCATCCTACATATGAAAGTCATCTTCGCTTCCTGCAACTAGCTGGGGAGCGATCATCATATACTTGACATCCCACTTCTCATCTCCCATACCCTTCCAAACCTCACCAATCACTCTTTCCGCCCCGCTCTACTTCCAACATTCAGCCCATTGGGCCTTTCTCGGATCTTCCAATTCTCTTTTTTACTTCTCTCTATATATTTCGGGGATTCTCATATCTGCCATCTTATGACAGTGAAACCCTTGATGAACTGACGACTTTGACGAGTGATACATGACCGGGAAACATAGTCCATCTTTTACTTGTGTTTGTGAGTCTTACGTTTGTGTTTATGTTTTTTTTTTCCGGACGGTTCTGGATGGCAATCTTTTTCGGATAAGTTCTTAGTCCTGAGCTGCATGTCCTGGCGTTTCGCATGGGAAGTTTTGTATGGATGGAGTCATATGCATGTTTCGATACCCTGTCTATCGATCATTTAGTTTCTCTTTCGTTTTTGGTGGTCTACGGTGCGAGTGTTGGGGTATTGCAATCTCCGCTTTCTCCGTGGCCTCTTCATCTCTCCATATCGAGTCACCCTCTCTCTAGCCTCCCTTTCTCGCCTTCTCCTTTCGTTTTGTGTCTTACTATATTTTTGGGATGGATCGTGATGCTTTAACGGACTATTACCATGAGGACTTTTGATTATATGTTATGATTGAATATGACTGGAATGCATTGAGACTGCCATTCTCTTACAATTATCTACAATTACACAAGTATCAAGCTATGGAAAAACGTAAAAGGCATGCAAACATAGAAGGGCATGAGAATAAAGCATTGGGGCGGTGAGCTCGAGTAATGCGGAGTACACGATCGACCGGAACCACTACTATAGCATAGACGTACATGGATAGTCTAGAAGTTCTGGCTTCCTTCATAAACTTGTTACATAAAATAGGTAGAACCGGGTAGGAATGAGGCAGTGATGACTTGCAGGTGACGTCGACGGGAAGTTTAGGCTCTCCGGGGCTGGGCCAAGGTTCTAAGATCTCCACTTTTAACCTTGCACGTTTCTACGTTGAAAAGGATTGTAGACATTTTAGAGGGAATGGGATTGGAATACTTTATTGAACAAGATTGTATGGCTATTGAATAGCCCACAGTTATCAAATATCTCGGAGAAAAAAAGAAAGAAAGAGCGAAAGCAAGGAAATAAAGGGTAAGAGGCAAGTTCTAGTATATGCGGACAACCTTCCACTGGGAACAAGACGTCATAGTCGATTCGCTTCCCCGGTCTTGAGTACTACCTATAAAAACCAGGGATAGTCCAACCTGCCAATTCCAGCATTGAATTCAATACACTTTCTACATCCTCTCCTCCCAACACTACACACTATACTACACATCATGTCGAAGAACCGGGTTCCTATGATGCTGGGTCTCGCTGCGGTGGGCGCAGGCGGATACTACCTGTACTCTGCCGGCGGTAATCCATCAGCAGCAAAGCAGAAAATGAAGAGTATGTGCCCCGACAAATCCCTCCACATTGAACTGCCTCGGGGACAACAAGCTAACTCCCCTCTCAACTGTAGTCGACGCCGAAAAGGCACGCGAGAAGATCCCTGGCACAACCCCCCACGACCACGCCGAAAAGTTTGGCACCGATGTCGGCAAGGAAGCCGGGTCCAACATCGATGAAGCTGTAAGTTCGATTCTGTCCGTGGTGTCAAGCATCCGTCCTCGATACTCGCCCCACCAACCACATGAAATAATGTGACATACCATACTGAGTACTGACCATCCAATTCTAGATCACTAAGGCCCGTGCTGAAGTCCAGGAGGGCAAGGACAGGCTTGAAGAACTCCGCAATGAAGCAAAGAGCAAGTTCAATGCCAACCGGGAGAGGGTCAACAGCAGTATTGATCAGGTCGATCGCGAGGTCGAGCAAAAGGCTGCTGAAGCCAAGGGGGCTGTCTCGGGCTGGCTCGGTGGCAAGAAATAGGCTCTTTGAGCCCTTGAGCCTCGACAATTTAATGTTATGATTTATTTACGGCGCTGGTCGGTTCGAGAATATCACGATGAATTCCATGTCCATATCTATGAAACTTATGCGTGTTTCCTGCTGTAAATCCTATTGTAGTTGGGAGTTCATGTATGCCAAGTATTCAATGCGCCCGGTATTGGCTGGACTGCCCAGGGCGCGAGATGAAACTGTGTACTCCGTGTTGAGTTTCAATCCTTTCTTGATAGTAAGCGCCGGTTTGGAATTGATTCTCTACCGTATATTAGCATTGGCCATCTTATGCGCCCGAAGAAATGTCTAGGCGCTGAGCTTGGACGCAATGACATTCCAATGCCGGGGGTATTACCGTAGGGACGAGAATGCCTGGATTTGGAGCTCTGTTATATTTTATAGTCAATCCTTTTTTCTAGAATTTACTATATTAATACTTTTCTGTCCCTTTCCGACCGAGTCTCCTTATATTCCATACTTGAATTGAAGCTCTTATAGTTCCCGTTCACGCGTTGCCATTTAACCCGAAAAGGCTAGTGTGGGATTTTCGACGCGCTCTCGAACGCGTCTTCTCCTTTGCACCTTCTCTGACATCTCCCACTTCCCACTTTCCACTTTATTTCGGCACTTTCCCACATCTTGTTTGTTCTAATATCTCGGTATCTCTTACCTTGTCTATTATAATACATTTGTATTCATCGCCCTTGCTCCATTTATCCTCCCTCGACCGGCAAAAAATTTTCAGTAGTCGCGATGCCGCGCACTTCCCGGTCAGGCTGTGTCGCCCAGCCAGCCATTCAAGCATTCACTCGGGCAACCAAAGCCGGCATCACTCCGCAACTACCTGCAAAGAACATCACATCTCTTCCGGTCTCGCCTTCCAAGAAACGCAAGCTACAGGAACTCGAAAACTTCGACAACGGCAGCAGACAGGCGCCAATCGAGGAGGAAGGAACGCCCTCGAAAACTTTGCGACTGAATGAATTATCCGTCTCCTCACCACGCAGCGGCCACTATGTCTCGCCAAAGAAAGCTTCACCTGCGAAGACCCCAATTCGGACCCCGAGCCGACGGGCTGTCCCTGTCAAGAACGCACCTTCGACACCCGCGACCCCTTCGAAGCAACGAACCCTGAACTTCGAGAAGGTTATTCCGGTGCATGAGGAACCCCCAGCTATCGAGCGACCTGCGTTCTTCAACGATATTCTGAACCTTCACTCCTCATTTGTGCAGGCTTTTTCCATCCATATGGCACACAACGGCGCAAATTCTCCGGCCGACCTCCGAGAATTCCTTGGCAGCGTGACCCGCCTCTGGAATAAGCGCAAGGTGCAGATGAAGGATTTGCAGCGTCTTGTGTGGGTCTGGGAACAGAGTTCGAAAGCGAGACACATCTCGTATCGTCTGGCAAATTATGGACTCGGCAAAATCTGCATGGAGCGCACTGTGCAGATCAACGTGCAGCCTCCAGCTTTGCAGGACTCTTTCGAAGAAACTTTGGATTTGTTGTGGGAAAAGGCCCCGGAGGCCCTTCGGGGTGCCAATGAGGAAGTTCAAGCAACCCTGTTCATCGAGTCTCTCGGACTCTCCACAATTCATGAGTCGCTCACCCCTTTCACGGTTTTCCAGAAAGGCCAACAACGACTCCAGGATCTGAAGGGTGGTCTGCTCCGCTTGAAGGCCGAGAGAGAGCTCTCGAATTCAGCAGAGACGACCCCACTAGAGCGGACGGCAACTATCAGCCGTCGCCAGAGCCTGCTGGATCGCATTAAGAATAAGGAGCTACGACAGTCCAAGCTTCCCCCTCCACCTGCCAAGAAAGAGCTCGTGCGCCATGCAGCCGCCGATCGGGTAGAGGAGGTAGCTGGTGTTCTGGCTCTGTTGCGTCCTGCTGGGTATGTGGGTAATGGCATCAAAGCAATGCTTGCTGCCCAACGCAAGCCCTTCAAGCTCGATGTGATGGTCGAGCATGTCCGTGACTCGGTCCGCAGCGAGTTTCCTCGTGAGGAGGTAGAGATGTGTCTGGAGATTCTGTCGGATAAGAAGGTGGCTGGTGACTGGATCAGTATGGTTACTGTTGGCCAGATGAAGTCGGTCGTGTTGAAGTCTTGTAAAGACGTCTCTGCCAAAGACATTGGGGCGAGAGCTGCACAGCTGAAGGCTGACTGGGAGAAGTCTGCATCTTGTGTGCAGACTACTCTCTTGTGATTTACGTTTTTGGCGTGTTTTTTTTTTCATTGTTGGATACCTCGCATCCGCAGAGTTGTTCTCCTCGCGGTCTTGCATCAGCGCTCGATACCCTCCCTGTATTTTATTTATCATGTCTTTTTAGCATCGAACACTACCTTAGGTAGCACTTATGTAGCAATTAGGTCCTTGGACACCCAATCATAATACCATTAACTATCGAAATTATCTCCATTTAATCATCCTTTTAAATGTATTTTTAACCCCCTAGCAATACGTATAGATCCCGCCCACTTAACGCGCGACGCGTGCACGGACCACGCGAGCTCACACAGCGCGTCGAATTGGACTCGTCCAAACTACTTGATACCAGCATTTGCATTGTCTTTTTGCTGCATTTCTTTTCACATCAACCGACACCATGTCTTCCCGACCTGACTTGAAGGTATGATATGAGATATCCAATATACCTAAATCCATCAATGCAGCATCCACTAACTCAAACCCTGAATCAACACAGGTCGACGACGAAGTCGGCTTCATTGGTTTCTACCGTGGCCTCCCTACACCCGATAATAATGACACCATCCGCGTATTCGACCGAGGCGACTGGTACTCCTCGCACGGCGCCGACGCTGAATTCATCGCACGCACCGTCTACAAAACAACCTCTGTGCTGCGCAACCTAGGCCGCAGCGAAACAGGCGGCCTCCCTTCTGTCACAATGAGCGTTACAGTCTTCCGAAACTTCCTCCGCGAAGCCCTCTTCCGATTGAACAAGCGCGTCGAGATTTTCGCCTCGGCCGGCTCGGGCAAGAGCAACTGGAAGCTGGCAAAACAAGCTAGTCCCGGTAACCTGCAAGACGTGGAAGAAGAGCTCGGCAGCGTGGGCGCGCTGTCGATGGATTCTGCACCTATCATTCTCGCTGTAAAGATCTCCGCTCGTGCGGCCGAGGCCCGCAATGTCGGCGTGTGCTTTGCTGATGCGAGCGTGCGCGAGCTGGGCGTCAGTGAGTTCCTCGATAACGATATCTACTCCAATTTCGAGTCGTTGGTTATCCAGCTCGGTGTGAAAGAGTGTCTTGTGAGCATGGATGTGGCTCGTAAGGACGTCGAGCTGGCGAAGATCAGGGCTATCGCTGATAGCTGTGGGATTGCGATCTCTGAGAGGCCTGTTGCCGACTTCAGTGTCAAGGACATCGAGCAGGATCTTACAAGATTGTTGAGAGATGAGCGGTCCGCTGGTACTCTACCTCAGACGGAGCTGAAACTGGCTATGGGATCTGCGTCGGCGCTGATTAAGTATCTTAATGTCTTGACTGATCCTACGAACTTCGGACAGTATCAGCTCTACCAGCATGATCTGTCGCAGTATATGAAGCTTGATGCCTCGGCGCTCCGAGCGCTGAATCTTATGCCTGGTCCGCGGGACGGGGCTAAGAGTATGAGCTTGTTCGGTTTGCTGAATCACTGCAAGACGCCTGTGGGCAGTCGTTTGTTGGCACAGTGGTTGAAGCAGCCTCTGATGGATCTGGCTGCGATTGAGCAACGGCAGCAGCTGGTAGAGGCATTTGTTGTCAACACTGAGCTGCGTCAGACTATGCAGGAGGAGCATTTGCGTTCCATTCCAGATCTTTACCGCTTGGCCAAACGTTTCCAGCGGAAGCAGGCCAATTTGGAAGATGTTGTCAGAGCATATCAAGTTGCCATTCGTCTGCCTGGGTTTGTGAGCGCGCTCAGTGATGTGATGGACGAGCAATACCAGACCCCTCTAGAGGCGGAATACACATCCAAGCTCCGTGGTTACTCCGACAGCTTGGCCATGCTTGAGGAGATGGTTGAAACAACCGTGGATCTTGCTGCTCTAGAGAACCATGAATTCATTATCAAGCCCGAGTTCGATGATGGCTTGCGAATCATCAGAAAGAAGCTGGACAAACTACGATACGACATGGAAATGGAACACCGCCGAGTTTCAGATGATTTGAGACAAGACATGGATAAAAAGCTCTTTATGGAGAACCACCGTGTGCACGGTTGGTGCTTCCGTCTCACTCGAAATGAGGCAGGCTGCATTCGCAATAAGAGAGAGTATCAGGAGTGTTCGACACAGAAGAACGGTGTATACTTCACCACATCCAACATGCAGTCCCTTCGCCGAGAGCATGACCAACTGTCCTCCAACTACAACCGAACCCAGACCGGCCTGGTTAACGAGGTCGTCAATGTTGCCGCTTCCTACTGCCCGGTGTTGGAGCAACTCGCCGGCGTACTAGCACACCTCGATGTCATTGTGAGCTTTGCCCATGCTTCTATGCACTCACCTTCGGGATACGTTCGCCCAAAGATGCACCCCCGCGGGACTGGAAACACCGTTTTGAAGGAAGCTCGGCATCCTTGCATGGAGATGCAGGATGATATTTCCTTCATTACGAATGATGTTTCTTTGATTCGCGATGAATCATCTTTCCTCATCATCACCGGTCCCAACATGGGCGGTAAATCTACATACATCCGACAGATCGGTGTGATTGCACTCATGGCACAGACTGGCTGCTTCGTCCCTTGTACCGAGGCCGAGCTGACCATTTTCGACTGTATTCTTGCCCGAGTCGGTGCCAGCGACTCGCAGCTCAAGGGTGTATCGACATTCATGGCGGAAATGCTAGAAACATCCAACATCCTCAAGTCCGCCACCTCGGAGTCCCTGATTATCATCGACGAACTTGGCCGTGGAACTAGCACGTACGATGGCTTCGGCCTGGCCTGGGCTATCTCACAACACATTGTCACCGAGATCCGCTGCTTCGGCCTGTTCGCAACACACTTCCACGAGCTTACTGCCTTGGCAGACCGGTATCCCAAAGCCGTCAAGAACCTGCACGTCGTGGCATTCATTGGAAACGGCAATGAGGGCGAGAGTGAGGCTGAAACTGACGAAAAGAAAAAACGCCAAGTCACTCTTCTCTACCGTGTGGAGCCAGGAATCTGTGATCAGTCTTTCGGTATTCATGTCGCCGAGCTCGTGCGCTTCCCGGACAAGGTTGTCAACATGGCCCGTCAGAAGGCTGAGGAGCTTGAAGATTTCACCTCAGCAACAACTGAAGATGGGCAGGCACAGCCTCCTGCGCCATCGCTTGACAAATACTCCCAGGAAGAGGTGGAGGAGGGCAATGCGCTCCTCAAGGGAATGCTACTGAGATGGAAAGCAGCAACTGAGGGCAAAGACATGACAGCGGAACAGAAGCGACAGGTCATGCGTGATCTGGCTTTGGCTGATGAAAAATTACAAGCAAATAAGGTGTTCCAAGGTATCAAGGCTCTATAAGGATATGAGCTATTCATGGGATTTGGCGTTCATGGAAGGCATAGGTTTGAAAAGGCATTGTTGTATACTCATCTTTTACATGTTAAAGTAAACTAGAATTCCATTTTCTACTACAATCTCTTCTGCATTCTTCTTATAGTTCTCTTATACTAACCAACAGGTTGTCGATATGTATACACCTACCTACATCCTAATGCGGAGGCAGTCACGTGTAGGTCGGTCTAGACGATGAAACGCGGGATTAAGACGAAGTAACTTTATTACAAAATCCAAGTGATCATTCTTTTTTTTGTCTTCAATTCGTTCATTTGAGGCTTAAACTAACAGCAAAATTCCTAATACTGGACCTATACTATCGCTGTGCCTCCAATCCATCTTCGACCACCTACCTCATCTAGCTATGCGCGCAACCTAAACGCGGACGGCCTGAACCACCTCGATTCATGCACCCCTTTTCCGTTCTCACCCTTGGGATCTTCGTCGCGGGGTATATTACCGCCAGGTGGGACCTTGTTACCCGTCTATACGAATTGGCCATTTTCGCCTGGGACCACGGTGTCGTTGTATGTCTTCCATCGGCCATCGGACTTTAGCCCCTCCGTTTGCGACTTTACCAGCTCGATGCCAGCGCACATTGTATTTGCAACGTCGCTAATTTACCTTATTTAGACACGAACTGCGAAAGGGTTTTTGTTTCTCTCCGTGTTCTTTTTTCTCCTCGTTCTGCCGATCCATCATCTCGCGTCAAAGGAGGGCCAATTGGTGAGCAACACCCGAACCACTAAACCTTTTGGGCAGCGTGGCTTAGGAGTATTTGCTGACGGCTTGGTGGATATATAGCATCCGCGCCACGTGAATCTCGGCGTCTCTGCGCGCGAACAGTTGCGCCGTCGAGGTTCGTTCTGAGACTCAGGTGGAGGATGACAATATGCTTATGAGCGATGGACTGTTACGGGTATTCTGGCCATATGATCTCCCGCGATCCTCATCGCCGGGTGTGATTGTCGGATGGCGGAACTCGGAGCTCGATTTGTTTGTGCTCACGGTGCTGGAAGATGTCGAGGTAGGTGGTTGCAATTGTCTTGTCTACTCGTTCGATATAAGCTGATCGGCCTTGTGATTGAATAGCCTCGGAATGTCGACAATGCGCTCCGGGCGGGTATTCTCTTTCGAAACAGCCCTCACCCGACTGTACGCATCTTCACTCTCTGTGGACGCTCTCAGATGCATGTCCTCGGCTCGACCAACTCTCGCGAGGCCCCCACGTCTTTCAACCCTTCCCACCTTGATGTTACTACAATTTCATCTTCGAAGGTTCCTCGCATCTTTTGCCCACCAGAGGCGAATTTGTCTGTCCAGGTTGTCATGTACCACCGCCCGCACCCCACACGCATGGAATATATGTCGCTCGATCCGATTTCGCTGGCCTTGGGTGATAAAGCGACAAAGACGGAAATATGGGGCCCGTCATCAGATAAGATCGAATCGGAGGAAGAGAGTGACAAGGCTTTACCCAAGTTGTTGGTTGAGAAACTCAAGCTTCATACGGTCGTCAAGCACATCCCATCCCAAAAGGAGCAAGCCCTCCCGCTTATTATTAACCAAATCAATTGCGCCTATGAGATGGGGCAGCTCATGCATAAAAACAGCCATTTGATAGGAATTCGTGCGAAGAGAAGTATGAGCGTCGGAGAACGTGTCGTGGAATCGGCGACAACCATATGGGGGTTTATTGTCCTCTGCATTGCTCATGTCTTTTGGCAATGGCTCTGGCCTGTCGTCACCCGTGTCTTTGTCTTCGGGCTTGTATGCCACCGGTCTGTTGCGGAAGTTTTCTTGCAGGTTCTCGAGTGGCGCGCTCGGCCTGATGCTGCTGCTCTCAAGGATATCTCAGCAACAGCCCAACAGTTTGATATAAGATTGCAACAGTTCTGCTACTGGCCGATTCAATATGTCAAGCTTCGACAAAGAAAGGATAACTGGGAGAGTGTCACGACCAGTCATCCAGACTATATTCGGTTCTATAATAGTCTGTGGCTTGTCGCCAATGACGTGATCATTGGAATTGCGTTGGGATCCTACATTATTGACAATGCGAACTGGGTCGCATCGCAAATCAACACTGTCTTGACTGGCTGGACAGTGGAGGGGTTACAGCGCACTATTTCGTGGCTAATGGATTGGCCAGCCGGCCTGAAACTCAACAATGAGCTTGCTGCGTTCCTCGGTGACTTGTTCCTATGGGTCATTGAAAACTGGGCAGCTTGTATTGCCAATCTTCAACCTTACCTTCCTGCTGTCATCTACGTTGTTGGATGTTCAAGCTTCGCAGGAGCTAGTATGCCGATCGCTCTCTTCTCCGACCTTCTTTCGATCCTGACGGTACATATCTACTCTTTCTACATTGCCTCCGCTCGTATTTTCAACTGGCAACTCACCATCATCACTTCCCTTTTTCATCTTTTCCGCGGAAAGAAACGCAACGTCCTCCGCAACCGAATCGATTCATGTGACTACGACCTCGACCAGCTCCTCCTTGGCACTATCCTTTTCACAGTCCTATTCTTCCTACTACCTACTGTTGTGGTGTTCTACTTAACCTTTGCCTCAGCCCGGATGTTAATTATTTCAATGAAGGCAGCACTTGATACCTGTCTCGCGTTCTTAAATCATTTCCCGCTCTTCGCACTGATGCTCCGTGTGAAAGACTCACGACGGCTACCAGGAGGTATTCGATTCGAGCTTCGGAATGAACCATGCAAGAACGCAACGGAAAAGGACTCGTCTGCGCTGGTTTCTTACATCCACCTCGAGGTATGTTTCCATATTTAACCAAAATACCGCCTCAGAAAAGCTGACACAGGTCCCAGTCTATTCCCCTCTCTTTACGTGCAATGTTCGACCAGTACTTCCAGTTAGGCCACCGGCTCCGGAAACACTACCTTGCGCCTCGCGTCATCTTCTGCCTCATGACCGGTCGCTTTGTGCCACCTATCCACCGCCGCAGCCTCTATAGCATGCAGTACAGCATGCTACCTGCCCGTCGGGCCGGTATGGCCGATGTGTGGGCATTGCTCACACAACCGAAGAAAGGAAGTAGTGGTAGTAGTGGCTCCGGTTCTATGGGTGGAGGTATTGGATCCTTAAGTAACCCAGTACCCAAAGTCCCGGCGAACTACGGTCAAGGTGATCTTCGGAGACGGGGTCATCGCTGATATCAAATCTTGTTGTACTTAACGCCAATAATGTTATTATCCTAAGTTAATATTATTCTTAATATTTATTGTCTTGCCAGAATAAAGTCGGATGAGTAAAGACACTCACGGAGCAGAATAGAAATATCAATACATTCAGTTGAGAGATGAAATATATGTATGCAATGTACATAGAGCGATTTCCAGAGGGCCATGCCGTTGAACTCCTGTCCACAAACTTACATCTTGGAAAGACGATGTATACCCAGCGGCCCCGGGCACCTGGCGCGGCTCAATGCTGCAAATACAGCTTTTGTATCTGGTGTGCTACTTCCCTGGCACTGTACAGCGATGGGTGAAGTTTGGCATAGCCACTTTGCCATAGGCATGGCGTGGATCATCGTTGATTTCGTGAAGCTGGGTGTATGGATATGGAGTGCTCCAGGCATTCTTGAATCTTGAAAATCGGCATTGGGACTCACTCAAGATATAGCCAGACTGTGTAAATCAAACCACCAGTAGTTAAATAGTAGTACCCGAACTAAGGTGGAACCTCCAAGGCTCCAGGGCGTCCAGGGCCTGTAGGCTACTAGGCATCAATGACGAACCAGCAGGCACCCTAACCAACTTTTTGCATTCAATACTTTATGTTGCAGTCCCAGTCTGTATTCAGTACTATTTATAAGCCCTAGTCTCCCAATTTCTCACTCTCACTTTTCTCCTCTCCTCACTTCAATAAAGAAAGAACAAAACAACAACAAAATTACCACAAAAAAAGACGATCGATAATGACGGACACAAAGAAGACGAATCTGTCCTCGACAACACCAATGGCAGGATCAGCCTCGGCCTCAGCCTCAGGGACAGATACAAACGCAGACGAAACTATGCGCCTTGCCATCGCCCGCTTCCGTAGCAGAATGGCCGCCGCAAACCAAAAGTTTCTCCAGGACCGCATCAATGAAATCGAAGCGAAAGGTCTAGCAACTGAAGAGGAGAAGCGCCGCCAGTTCTGCATGTGCAGATGGATGGATCTCGAATGGGACGATGACGGCCCCGAGACGCACGTGAGGCACAACGGGATCCGGATCCCACAGCAGACGTTAGTCAAAGACCTCGATATCCCTGCTATTCTTAACGCCCTGCCATCCCATAAACCGGCTGACGGCGTGATCCCGCCCCTGCTGCGCACAGAGGAGTGGCGGCAGATGTACCTCGACACAGTTCAGCGTGTGTGCCAGCAACAGGTGGACGCGATCGTCCCCGAAGACGAAGAGGATCTTGACGTCGCGTGCACTTACCACAAAGACCACAGACCGATGACTATCCCGCGGTGTGACGAGCTAGCCCTGTTCCTAAAGTATGCGCAGGAGGTGGTGGACATTGACTTCCGGCTCTTGGGCATTGCGCCGTTCACACCGACGTGGATGACTGGGATCCACAATAAGGAACTAGACAAACTTGATGAGGGACAAAGACGCGACAAGTTGGCGGATCCCCAGCTACTGAAGCACGAGCAAGAGGTCTTGCAGCAGCAGTTGGAAGATGAATCGTCGAATATGGAGCTGGAAGTGTGTATCGACGATGACCTAGATGTCAGGGCTGGCTTTATCACCGGCGTTGGATATAACCGGCTGTATGAATGCGATGAGTGGTATAGTGCGTACGTGTATTGCCGGCTGTGGACGGATGACGACGAGGACAATGGCAAGCACGAGGATGGAGACATCCAGGATGCTGCCAACATCCGGGACTGGGGGTGGCGGGTGGTTTTTTTTAGAGCTGATGTTTGCAACCCTACCACTCTATACGGCCGGAAGGCGCGCTTTGATTCTATTCCAGAATTCTTGGATTGGTACGCCAGCTGGCTGGACCATCTAGATGCACGGAGTTGGCTTTCTCTGCGGCGCCACGCTATAGGCTGTGAGACGGACTGCGAATCAGACTGTGAGTATCATTGAACATAGGTCTATTCGGAGTTTCCTTAGCCTACCAGCTTGCTCCCTTGTACTAGTAATCTTTACTTGCTCGGTGGGCTTAACAATATATAAAATACTATCCTCACTTCGGGCTCCCTTTCACCTAAATAAACGTGCTAGTACGACCGAGGAAGTTATCACCACTAATCATCCTACTGGGATACATAGCTGCTGAGCAAGAGGTATCTAAAACAACTTTATCATATCGAAATATTACATAGTATACATGGAAAATGCAGTGTCGCTGAAAAGAACAAATGGCGCCAAACGCAGGCTGCTCCTACAAGCATCCGCGAGTAAGAGGCATTCACAGAGCCAGATATCTCTGTTCAAGATTTCCTGAGGAATTCTGCGTCTGTTTCACTGCTGCCGCTCTTTCGGGCATCCTCCACCATGGTATCAATGCCCCGTTCCTTGAGAACTTTCTGCAAGCATTACGATACCTTTGTTAGACACATACGACTCGAGATATATATGTAGAGATATATAGAGGACATAGCACAAGGCATGACTCACATTCAAGCAACCCTTGTAGTCCTTAAATAATGCTTCGCAGTCGTTGGATGAAGTGTTGCCACGCAGATATTCTAGTTAGAATTAGCTGCTGCTTAGCCATATGATCAGAGAGCATCAATTCATACTTTCGCTATACCACTTGAGGAAGCAAGTGTCATATTTCCTGTGTAGATATGTTAGCTTTTGATTTGTAAAAGCCAGGTAAGTTCACTACAACTCACTCTTTGATATCGTTACATTCGGGGGCGATAGAAGCTGCCATATTGTATGTAATAGAATATTATTTATCAAATAATATCCCGTAGAATTTTGTACTCTTCTTGCTAGTTGAAACTTGGGTAGTTTATAGAAATGAGAGGAAAGAATGCGGTGACGCCTCGAAGATCTGCGGAAGTTCATACAAATATCGCCACTCTGGGTAGGCGGTCAGGGCGGGCCTACCATTTCTCCATTATTTTCTCGCCGCGACTTTTTTTTCGGGACCTTGGATCTTGATGTTACTGCTATACCGCGTTTCTCTCTGTCATTATTCCTTTTGCCAGATCCAGTGAACTGGAGCTCTGCTAGCCATCATGGACTCTGCAGAATTTTCCCCGTTCCAGGAAAAATTAACCTCCGCTCTGGTGCAGGTAACTCGAACCGTCGGACAGCTCTCGTCGGAAGATCTGAACTTCCATCGCACCTCTAGCGCAGAGTTTTCCGAATCGCTAGATGAACAAAGTGCGCGCATTATTGCGCTGACCTCCGCCGTTATCAAAGCTGCCACCGCCGGCACCGATGTGACAGGACCAACCCTTCACGATGAGGATTCCGTCGAAGACAATTGGCGTGGCGTGGTGGATGTGATTGACTCACTTTTGGAAAAGGCCGATGCCTGCTTGGATGAATTCACGGGAGTGATCAAGAAGCTCAGCCCTTCGCAGGAAGAACAGGCACCGATCAAGAGAACGCCCAACTTCCCGACGATTTACGACTACGGCCCGTCCAAGATCCCCAAGCCGCAATTGCTGTTTGATCGCAAACCGGATAACACTGATATGGGTCCGTTCAAGCCCCTTCTCAAGACTAAGCCTCATGCGATTGTGCCGTTGGAAAAGTGCTTGAAGACGAAGATGATTGATGGTGCAATTGGTTATCCTCACCCCTACGAGGCAGAGATTATTGCTTCCGAGTACCCGAAGTCGGTCCATCAGGTCGCTCATCCGATTGAGTATCTGCCTTTTGAGAGCACCACCGCTACTTTCGTCGATACTTTGGATGGAGTCAAGGAAATGCTGAAAGAGCTCAAGAAAGCGAAGGAAATCGCTATCGATTTGGAGCACCATGACGTGCACTCCTACCACGGTCTCGTCTCTTTGATGCAGATCAGCACCCGAGACAAGGATTGGGTTGTGGATACCTTGCAACCTTGGAGAGAAGAGCTACAGATGCTGAACGAAGTTTTTGCGGATCCAAAGATCTTGAAGGTCCTGCACGGTTCCACCATGGATATCATCTGGCTGCAACGTGACTTGGGCCTGTATGTGGTTGGCATGTTTGATACTTTCCATGCTGCATCTGCCTTAGGCTTCCCAAAGCGAAGCTTGAAGTTCCTACTGAGCAAGTTCGTTAACTTCGAGGCTGATAAGCGGTATCAGACGGCTGATTGGCGAGCTCGCCCACTTCCAACGCCCATGTTCGACTATGCGCGATCAGATACGCATTATCTTCTTTACATTTACGACCGCCTACGAAATGACCTAATCGATAACTCCACCGAAGAGGCCAGCCACATTGATTACGTTCACGAGCGATCTAAGCATGAAGCCCTGCAACGCTATGAACGCCCTGTTTACGATGCCGTCAATGGATACGGCCCTGGAGGCTGGTACGATCTGTTATGGCGCAATTCGGGCAACCTTTCCAAGGAGCAATTCGCTGTCTTCAAGGCTATCCACCAATGGCGCGATGAAGTAGCGCGCGATGAGGACGAGGGCTGGCAGTGTGTTTTCCCCAAGCACATGCTCTTCAAGCTTGCCACGCTCATGCCGCTTGATATGGGATCTTTATTCCGAACCCTATCACCTATGACTCCCATTACGAAGGAACGGTCACACGAGCTTTTGGAGGTTATCAAGCAAGCCAAGGCTGCCGGTGTTGATGGTCCAGAATGGCGCGATGTAGCACCCCCGAAACACCTCGCAAAGGTTCTAGAGGCTGCCATCACAGAAGGTGTCGATTTCCCCATTGCTGAACGCTACGAAACGTCTCAATTTTGGGGCAATGTCTTGGAAGCCAGGGAATCACCCCCTTCTCCAGCATATGCACTTGCCGCCAGCGCCGAAGCTCTCCGTCGTTCTCTTCCTCTGCCACCCATGCCAACAACCGTCTCCGAAACCAGTGAATACCTCGGCACCACAAAACAACCCGCTCCTGCCCCCGAGCCCACACCTACTCCAGCTCCCCAGGAGCCAGAGGAGAAGAAGTACTTCACTGTCAAAGACCTCGGCGGTCCCCGCAAACGAAAGGTCACTCCGATCAGCGACCTAGAGCAAGCTCTGGACCTCGCAGCCGATCTCGACGATACAAGCAATGACGCCGACTCCACGCAAAAGAAAAGCAAAAAGTCCCGCAAGGAGAAGAAAGCCAAGAAATCGCAATCCGGCTCCAGGTCCGAGAGCGAGGTTCCCTTCGACTATGGCACCGCCGATGCCGTCCTCAACGCACCGTCTGCTGCCACCGTCGCCCACCCTCGCAAAAAGGCTTTTAACCCGTACACCAAAGCGATGGAAGCCCCCTCAGGCGCGCGGAAGACCAAGCGGGAAACCCCCGGCAAGTCTCTTACGTTCCGCGATTAGACGGCTGGTCCGAAGACAAAAAAAAAAGCATTTACGAATGGTGTTTTGGATGGTTTTCCTCCTTTACTTTTATTTTTATTTTTTAGTTAGCATAGCGATACCCGTGCGTCAGTTGGAGGCTCTGGGATTCTACTTGTGTGTACATGTATAGAATATCAGGTTCTTCTCGACAGATATAAAATGTGTATATTTTTGTAAGTTAGATTAACATTCTCTTTGTATTCAGTCAAAAGAAAGTTTTGTCTTTGATATCAAGCCGTAGTAGGAACTGAGACAGTGTTTCACTGATATCCCACTGGTTGGCCAGAATTCCCAGGCCTCGATATTATATTTATAGAATCAATGGACAAGGAGAATGCATTAACTATTGGCTGTCCTCGTCGTTCTGGTCCAATGGCAAAGGGTCTCGGTATGTTGTACTCCATATGGAATAAGATTCAAAAGACGGCATGATGGCCCCCTCTGCATTGACCATTCCCCGCTGTATAAAAAAGAAATATAAAAAAAGAAAAAAAAACTAATAAATGCAAAGTTGTACTTTGTACACTTCAGATCTTCTTCGATAGGTCCTAAAACATAATAGCGCGACAAGCATTTAATGAGTTCAGCGAATAGGATAACTATAATATATGAATTGGAAATATAGTTAAAAGGTGTGGTTGACGAACTCATATATAATTGTAGTATGCAGCAATATATATTGAAGTACTCCGTAAGCAATAGTAAGAACCCGTGGACACATGCACATATTGCCGATCCCTGCTTGCAAGACTAGCTGATGAACATGGATTCGAAGGCGGAAGGATTCCCACCCGAGCGCGAATTAGCGGAAGCCCGGCTCAAACCGAGTCATGGGTGTGTACAAAGTAGTAGAGTACTCATTACAAGTTGGATTTTGATATGCAAGTAACCACGGTGATACACAGGGGCAAGTGATCTACGGAGCTTTGGCGTGTTTCATAGGATGCATATTGGCCCGTGTTGAATTGATCGGCCGTGATATTGTCGAGGCACGGAGTAGTTAGCTAATGTATGTATTGATGCCATCTTTTTGAGTGTACGGAGTACAAAGTAATCTTAAAAAGCATGCATGTCTACTTTGTACATTTGCATGTGCATTCTCTACAGGTACATACTCCGAGTCATATGTACAAAGTATGATAAGGGGAAAGCTTGGAAAGTTGGAACTCTCTTTTCCCCCCCCCACTGACTCCACTCCGTTTTTTTTTTACCCCTGAGCAAAAAAGAAAGAAAAAAAAGCATAGATCAAGAACGTATCCGTGTCTATGGAGTATGGAATACGGAGTAAGTACCCCCTCGAACTTGTAACGTCTGTAGTTAGTTATGTTGTATGATAGTTATCTAATGGGTGAAAAAAAAAGCAAAAATGGTTCAGTGCACCCCCGCATAGCTTACTTTGCTTGTTAAAAAGATTATTTAATTTATTATTCATTAGATAATATATTAAAAAAAAACAATTAAAGATAATTTGGGAAGACTCAAAGTTTGGTCCTTCCCAGTCCCAGTCCACTGGTACTGCAAGCCTCTTGGTTTGATCCGGGATCTATATGGAGTAGAAAAGGGTAGAGATAGGGATATATCAAATATCAACTTTTAAAATGAAGGATTTAGTATATACTCCGTACTTCAGAAGTATATCGGATACAGCCGAGACTCCGCTATAGTCTGAGACAAATCCATATTCATGCACACTATAATGAACAGAGTGGTATGACTGGAAGCATGAGGCCATAAGTACTGAGTAGTACTAAGTACTAAATCAAGACTCAAGAAGGACTAAAGTACTAAATATACATGTAATTTACCAAGACTCCGAAAGGCCAACCTTAGAAATCACCTTTTGATTAACTAAGATCCAAATCAATCTGAAACCTCACCGAGTAGTTCACAAATTATCACATCCATATTTCATATAATCTTATTAACATTCCCTACAATATATATATATAATCAATACTATATAGACAGAATATAAACATTCCCGAAACATCCACATGGAGGTCTCGTGGGCTTAGCCTGAATGGTCCAATTCTTTTTACAATATACGGGAGTAGACGCAGGTACCGATTAGCCCCCCTGCAGACATGAAACTGTGTCACCTTCCTGTAATACATTTTGATAAAAAAAATATATTCTGTTTTGGTGTTTTTTTTACAAAACCGTTAAGATACAATATACATAGATAAAGAAAGGGAAAAAAAAAAACAAAGATCTGACGTCAAGATGTTCATACTCGTACATTTAAATTGTATAGTCCGAGTACGTGGAGCTAGTACGCATTGGCCAAATCCTTACAAGGGTGTTGATCGAGATCTTCCATAACAGAAAGGAGAGTGTACCTAGAAGTGGCGAAGTGCATTGGGCCAGGGGTAAAGAAGAATATACATAATCAAAAAAAAGAGGTCCCCTTGCATAACAAGATACGTATCATTCCTATATTGTTTTTTTTTTTACCCTTTTTTATATGGTTAAGAGGGGGAAATAATATATATATGTTGAAAAAGAATTTAAAAAAAAAAGATTATAATAAAATTAAAAAAATAATAAAAATACCAAATCCACCATCATTGTTCCCCAGAAGCACCCTAACAGCAAACTAACGAAATAAATAATCTCCCCTCTTTACTTTAACTCCTACCCTTCAACCCTTTCACCATTCTCGCTCTTTTTCTTCACTTTTTGATTCTCTAATTCCTACCCTGATTCGCCACAACCGAGTACCGTGGTAACTCTTGAGAACCCCCTGTCGACAACTTGGCACGGGTACCTGTTTCGTTTCCCTTAGGGGCTTTTTCATATACGCCATTGCCATCCCAGTACATAGCCACTTTGACGACTCCCCAAATTCCACAATGTCCGTTGCGACGATGCTCCAACCTGCATCTAGACAGTCGCGGGCATCCTCCTCCTCCTCCTCCTCCTTCCAGCCCGTGGCACGACAAAACACAATGTCGTCGCACGATACTCGGTCGCTCCGTCAATCCAAGCGGATGTCGGTCACAGCCCTATACCTTTCCATGTCCGCTAAGGATCGAGACTTGGAGATTTCAGATGACTTAGCACGAGGTACGTCGAGTTCTGGCTTCTCTGAATGGTCGCGCTAATTCTCCGACAGCACAAAAGCACCTGCGGGATTTGAAATCGAGAATTTCATCACAATCGAAAAAGAACTTCGTATTGGAAAAGGATGTTCGATATCTGGACTCGCGAATCGCGTTGCTCATCCAGAATCGAATGGCATTGGAAGAAGTAAGGATTCCATTTCAGCGGAAATCGGCACACATCCGCTAACCCGTTATCTTTCTGTCTAGCAAAATGAAGTCGCCAGCCATCTCGACGATACTGCAGACCCACAGGAAGGGTTCTTCCCCAATGATGAACGAACCCAGAAATACGGCAATCTTCTTTTCCTCCTGCAATCAGAACCCCGTCACATCGCTCACCTCTGCCGACTCGTTTCCATGGCCGAAATCGATTCCCTCCTCCAGACCGTCATGTTCACCATTTACGGAAACCAGTACGAGAGTCGCGAAGAGCATCTCCTGCTTACTATGTTCCAGTCCGTCCTCACATATCAGTTCGATAACACACCAGAATACTCGTCATTATTGCGCCAAAATACCCCGGTTTCTCGCATGATGACCACATACACACGCCGTGGTCCCGGCCAGAGTTATTTGAAGCAGGTGCTGGCCGACCAGATCAACGCTCTGATTGAGTTGCGGGATGTGGATCTGGAGATCAACCCCTTGAAGGTTTATGAGAACATGATTAAGCAGATCGAAGAAGAGACCGGCTCTCTTCCAGATTACTTGGCCCGATCGGTGACTGCTGAAGACGCTGCCGATAATGCGCAGGTGCAGGCCATCATTACCCCACGATTGAAGATGTTAACGGAGATCGCAAACGGATTCATCACAACCATTATTGAGTCGGTAGACGAGGCTCCGTACGGTATTAGATGGATCTGTAAGCAGATCCGCAGTTTGTCGCGCAGAAAGTATCCCGATGCCCAGGACCAAACCATATGTACTCTGATTGGTGGTTTCTTCTTCCTGCGCTTCATCAACCCGGCAATCGTGACTCCTCGCTCCTATATGCTGATCGATGCCACGCCCACGGACAAGCCTCGCCGTACCCTGACGTTGATCGCCAAGATGATTCAGAACCTGGCCAACAAACCTTCCTACGCCAAAGAACCTTACATGGCCAGCCTACAGCCCTTCATTCAGCAGAACAAAGAACGTGTCAACAAGTTCTTGCTTGATCTGTGTGAAGTCCAGGATTTCTATGAGAGTCTTGAAATGGACAACTATGTGGCCTTGTCAAAACGGGACCTGGAGCTCCAGATCACTCTCAACGAAATGTACGTCATGCACGGTCTTCTAGAGAAACACAGCGGAGCGCTTGCCCAAGATCAATACTCGCACCTGTCTGTACTGCTCCAAGAATTGGGTGGTGCTCCCCCTCAGGTTCCCCGCAAGGAGAATCGAACCATCACCGTGCCTTTGTTCAGCAAATGGGAGACTGCTCTCGATGATTTGACAGCCGCGCTCGATATCACCCAGGAAGAAGTGTTCTTTATGGAGGCCAAGTCAACCTTTGTCCAGATCCTGCGATCCCTACCTCAGAACACCTCAGTTGCGCGTCGACCTTTACGCCTCGACCGCATTGCCGAGGCTGCAGCAACCTTGAAAAATGATGCCGTGATGGTGCGCAAGGGCATCCGAACCATGGAACTCCTCAGCCAACTGCAAGATATGGGTGTGATTGACCGCTCCGACGAGTTCAGTTTGCTTCGTGACGAAGTGGAGCAAGAGCTTGTGCACCTGGGCTCCCTGAAGGAGAAGGTGCTGGAAGAGACGCGGAAGCTCGAGGAAGTTTTCGCGACTATTCGCGACCACAATGCTTACCTGGTCGGTCAGCTGGAGACATACAAGTCTTACCTCCACAACGTGCGTAGTCAGTCCGAGGGCAAAACCCGAGTTGGCAAGACGCCAAAGAACCAAGAACTTGGCCCGTACAAGTTCACACATCAACAGCTGGAGAAGGAAGGTGTCATCCGACGCAGCAATGTTCCAGAAAACCGACGGGCAAATATCTACTTTATGTTCAAGAGTCCTTTGCCAGGGACCTTCGTCATCAGTCTACACTACAAGGGTGAGTACATGGATTTAATTTTCGAGGGGGAAAGAGAATATCATTATTAACGCATTACTTAGGACGAGCCCGTGGATTACTGGAGCTCGATCTCAAGCTGGACGATCTCCTAGAGATGCAAAAGGACAATCTTGAGGACCTCGACCTGGAATATGTCCAGTTCAACGTTAGCAAGGTGCTTACACTCTTGAACAAACGATTTGCACGAAAGAAGGGGTGGTAAGGGCACACTTAATCGTTGCCCTAGGCTCCCCAAACCAAAGTCTGCTACCCTTTGATGAATGATGAGCTCGAGCAGAGATTGAACAGCTCCCCCATTTGCTCTGCCCGGTCCGGTCCTCTTTTCTCCCCGACGATCGACTGTGCTCTAGGCGCTTAATCTTGCGATGATGATGGACACCAATATTTGTCATTCCTTCCCACCGCTCCCAAATCATGGATTGGATAACTGCTCTATGCAGCAACTTCAACCTGCGCGTCCATGCAGTTCGGGCGAATGCTCTTTGTGAATGTTGCCGACGCACGAACATACTCTTAATGGAGAATGATCAGAGGCCCTCTCCCCGCTGGTACGGGGAATGTCGATGATACTGTGATTTTTTGGTAAATCCTTGTGTCCTTTCCCCTTTTTCCCCCCCATATTATGCTTGCTTTATTCCCATGTCTCTCCTCGTCCTTTCAATGTCTATACCCAGCGCATTGTTGTTGTCTTTTGTTTTTTCCCCCCATTTTCAGCCCCGAGTCCTATAATCCTCCGGCATGTCTTTGTGTTTTCATCACCGCCCAGGCCTCTTCGGTCTTCAGCGCTGTGTATAATAATGCCTTTTTGCGATGTGTGGAATGTTGAAGCTTTGAATTGAATACCCGTATGTTATGTTGTCGATGGTTTATTCCTGTAGAGGCATATTATAATTCATTTCGGGATTCGTGACCTACTCTGATTTGTCTTCTCGGTCAGATGTGCCTGTCAAGTGCTACCTAATGTCCACATGTAGAGTGGATTGGTCACTGACAACTCGACACCGCCACGTTTGCCCCTCGCCTGCTTGCCCCTTTTCTTGAGTGAAATCTTCTCTGTGGACATGCCTAATATTGCAGGGACATATATAGGGGGATATTTGATAAGAGAATATAGATTTCGAGTCTGGAACCTAGACAGGAAGTGCTATATATCCTATATATCCTTATATATGCTGTATATTGTATACAATATGGTTGACCCTTTTGGACCCCAAATGACAGCCCAATAGCTCACCAAAACAGCCAACTTGAAAAACAACTATAGTCTCACCCCTGTAAATATCTAAAAACCTATTTGACATAATGGCTCTATCGCTATTGTTCAATATAGATGAAAGAAGTTTAGTCGATCCTCAAGGGTTTTTTCTTTGATGTATCTTAAAGTGGCCACTTACGCCAATCCCCCCACCCTCCGCCTCCCGCCCTTTTTCCAGAACCACAACTCTCCCCTTCTCCCTTGACCATATACCTCCCATCAATCACAATGGCGGCCACAGAATCCCAGTTGCCTACTGACCCCAAGTACGACCAGTACGACTTCCCCACCACCGCTCCGGAAGCGCAGCCTGGCCACCCCGGCCACACCTCCCCCGAACAGGATGCAAAGGTGCACCAGCTCCGCGCTGAGCTCGAGAAGCTTGGCTACACTGAGCGTTTGGATACGTTGACCCTCCTGCGGTTCCTGCGTGCCCGCAAGTTTGATGTCGAGGCTGCCAAGAATATGTACGTTCTTCGATTCTCGCCCGAGGGCGTGAATGTTTTTTTTGGGGGGGGGGGGTTTTCACCTCCAAGCTTTTTATCCTTGGCTTTAGGCTTTCAGTTTTTATCGAGGCCTAATGGTCTAATTTGATATCCTAGGTTCATCCACAGCGAGAAATGGCGCAAGGAGTTCGGCACCAATGATCTTGCTCGCACCTTCGAGTACCCCGAAAAGGAGAAGGTCTTCAAGTTCTACCCCCAGTACTACCACAAGACAGACAAGGTTAGTCTTCCCTAGTTTCTACGCCTGTTTTTATTCTACAATTTTTTTTTTTAGATTAGTACTGACATAATTTCACACTAAACAGGATGGCCGCCCCGTCTACATCGAGAAGCTGGGCAAGATCGACCTGAACCAGATGTACAAGATCACCACCGCCGACCGCATGTTGAAGAACCTGGTGACCGAGTACGAGAGGCTGGCCGATCCTCGCCTTCCCGCATGCTCACGCAAGGCCGGCAAGCTGCTCGAGACCTGCTGCACCGTCATGGACTTGAAGGGCGTGGGCATCACCAGCATTCCTTCCGTCTACGGATACGTAAGGCAGGCATCCGACATCTCGCAGAACCACTACCCCGAGCGTCTGGGCAAGCTTTACCTGATCAACGCGCCGTGGGGCTTCAGCGGTGCCTTCAACGCCATCAAGGGTTTCCTTGACCCCGTTACCGTCAGCAAGATCCACGTCCTCGGTGGCGGATACCAGAAGGAGCTTCTGGCCCAGGTCCCCGCTGAGAACTTGCCCGTCGAGTTCGGCGGCACTTGCAAGTGTCCCAATGGCTGCGAGCTCTCCGATATGGGCCCCTGGCAGGAGGCTGAGTGGGCTCGTACCCCTAAGTGGGCTACCCCTAAGGAGGAGGCTCCCAAGGAGGAAGCCCCTAAGGAGGCTGCTGAGCCTGTTGTTCAGAAGGAGGACCCTGTATCTGAGAAGAAGGTTGAGGGTGAGGTGGCTGCTCAGACTAGCGCTTAAGCGTGCTGAGGACCTTTTCTTGTCTTATTTGTTGGGACTCCAACAAACTGATCGATTATCTCCTTTTATATGGCAACTGAAAACAAACCCCCAGATAGGGATGTTGGAGGTCCATTTACAACCCTTATCAACCTGAAAACCTCAAAAACCTCAAAAAAAAAAGATTTACCTGGGGGTCCGACAACTTCCAACACAACCCCAATTTCCCCAGATATACCAGAATCTCTCTCTGGTAGTTTCAACACCTTTTCGCCGATCCATCCACAGCCTGTGGACTCCTTGCCCTACGTTCGCTTTTTGCGGTTTGCTTTTTTTGTTCCGATCTAGATATCATGGAGAGCTTGCTTGTGTTTTTGCTTTTGCCTATCAAGATAAGCAGCGTGTGCTGCCACTGCTCTCAGTATAGAAGGGAGAGGACGTGATGAAATTTAAAAGGGAGTTGGTGTGCAGATGGTGTTTAGCTCGGTTGTTCGTGTGTTGGTAGTGTGTATACTATACACGAATGAGCATATATTGGAATAGTAGTTGCCATGCCCAAGACACAACTTGTATCTTTTGCTTTGCTCATGTAATGTGTGAGTGGTGGTAGAGAGAATAGACAAGTAATAATATTTGCCTTTGCTATAGATAGCAGACAGAGTTCAGTCTGAATAAATGAAACACGATAGGATTTCGACTCAACAGAGCCATCAACAATAAACAACATGGTATCATGATCCCTAGGACAACCCCAGGCCCCGAAACGCCCCCAACATTGCAATAGCACCCAATAAAGAAAAATGACACAGAAGAGAACGCTAGTCAATCAATCAGCCCTCGACGCCCTTACTTATTCATGTTCTCCACCACTTCAGCTGCACGCCCAGCCCTCTCGGCCTTGCCTACTGTCGTTGCCAACGCATTACCCTCTGCACCAGCCTCCGCAATAGCATTGCCCTCGCCCTGCAACCGCAGCAGCATCCGTAAAGAATCCTCATAGACACTCGCAATATCCCCGCTCTTCCACCGCTCCTGCTCCGCCTCCGTCCCGAGCGCAACCTGCAACGTCCACGCCGGGTCGTGTTTTCCACGTGGGCGCTGCGAGCGCGCCTGGGCACCTGTCTGCGCCGATCCAGTTCCGTTCGGGGTAGAATCAACATCCATACTATCGGGCTCTTGGCCGGGTGTTGTGTTCTCATTTTCGTTATTCAATTGGGGCTGCAGATTCGCAGATTCGCTCATCTCCGTATCGTTATCGGCGTCTTTTCCTCCACTCTCCGCCTCATATTCATATTCATCTTCATATTCCTCTTCCTCTTCAATCATCTTCTTCAACTGCGCGGCATATTCTTTCGCCGCACGCCTCGGCGCATCCCGTCTCTGCTGCGCGACAGTCGTATTGAGAGATTCCAGCTGCGCGTATAGCGACGTCACACGCGACGCAAGATCTGTATCGAATGCCTCGTATTCGATTTGTTCTGTTGGCGCGGTGAATGCGGCCGGGAAGGGGAATTGTGGTGAAGTGGAGTCTATGCCGTTGATGCTGATTGAGTTCGAGGCTGATTCGAAGGTTTGGTTTATGTACTATTTTGATAATTAGTGTCTAGAGGTAGGCTTAGGGGTACGTAGATGCTTGTTCTGGTCTCACCTCGTCGATTAGCTCCTGGACGCGTTCGCGCATCGGATCGGGAGTGTCATTGTCCGCTGCGGAAGGGGGGAAGTAAAGGTCGAGTTTTCGGCGCGATAGCGCGACCGTGTTGGCGTATAGGTAGGTGAAGTCTGCTGGAGATTGGAGCTCGACTTTTCGGTAATGTGGTGCTGCCATGGCGGGTGGTTGTTGATGTTTTTTTTTTCTGTTCCCGCGATCTGTTGCAGGAACTGGCCTTGGCGTTCATCCCCGCAAACGATGTCATCGAGGTTGCGTCGACTTGCTACTGGTAAGGTTTTGGGGGTTTTTTTCCGCTCCCTATTGTTTCTTGTTTTTTGATTTCTTATATAAATTTCTTTTGTTACGATACCCTACAGCTTTACATTTTCATCTTATATTCTCTTATATCCCTTCTTTTGATACAAACCCCTGAGATACTGCGAGTGCAGCATACTCATACTCAGTAATACTCTACACGACTCGAGGAGCTGGGATGCGTCAACAATATCCGACACATTCCTTTACATAAAATTACACCAATCATGGAGGACTCGTCTTCTATTTCCCTCGTGGATAATACCGTTTCACGGCAACCCACCGGCGAAGGACTTCAACCGCGCACATCTACCCTTACTCAGGAAAGAAGCCTGACGAAGCACCTGAGCCGTGCATCTGTCCATGACCAGCGCGCAAAGCGGAAATACGCAAAATGGCAACCCGATAGACTCGGTATCGCGCCTGATACAAACGACTCGCTCAGCCGAGAACCGTCCCAGGTGCGCGGGGGTTCAGTCTCAACAAGCTCCGCCGGAGAAGGCAGCAGGAGCAGAGATATCGAAACAGTCGACGTTGCGCCGTCACGAGTCTCGACTCATAACACTAGTGGCAGCGGCCAGGCGAACGGAGCAGGAGACCTAACCAACAACCGCGATGACACCAAATCGCACTCGGAAATGGACATTCTCTACGAGAACCAGCGGGGCTGGTTCTTTTTTGGCGTACCGCGTTACTCGCACAGCTCGCTGTTGAACTTTGACCCCAGCGCTTGGATGACACAGGACCGCAGGCCGAGTCCTGTTAATATCACGAATGCCCAGCTGCCTGATCCGAGCTGGGAATGGACGTGGAAGACATGGTATGTTGACATGTCTGGTGATACCGATGAGCAAGGCTGGCAGTATTCTTTTTCGTTTACTTCGTCTTCGTGGCATGGTACGCAGCCGTGGTTTCATTCGTTTGTTCGGAGGAGACGATGGGTAAGACTACGGACTAAGGCCCTTGAACGACGGGACATTGATCGCTCGGACTTTGAGAAATCACATATGCTTACTCCGGACTATTTTACCATTCACTCGTCCAAGATGAGAAGTCGGGAACAGATTGCGGGACTGGCCCGTGTTGGATCTGGGTTGTTGAATCATGCGAGCATGACAGTTGATGAGGAGTCACATGTCGATGAGATTTGGGATATACCCAGCTTGATGCATGCTTTGAAATTAGCTTCCATTGACCGAGAGAGGATCGACGCGCTGAAAAGATTTATTGAGGACGGAGGCGAGGAGCTCTATTATCTGAATGACAAGGTGAGTTGGACGATTTCCCCTAATCTATATGTTGAGACCGGGCTAACTCTACTTTGGCGGTAGATGCCCGATATAATGCCCATGTTTCTATTCCAAACCTCCCGCTGGCAATTTGCAACATATCTTTCTGGCGTGATTAGTGAGCTGTCCAAAACCTCCACCGATTCCGATAAAGACGCCGATGCAGTCCAACGCAAGAAGGACAATCTCGCCCGCGCTGCAGAATCTTGCAAGCTTCATATTAGTGGACCGGATGTTTTTAAAGATGATCATGGAGACTCAGGGACGAAATTGTTAGACTTGACTCCGGTGACCAAGCATGATACATTGATGGCGAAACGGCCAGTCTTGAATCAGCGTGCGAGGCCGACGCGGTGGGTTTTCAGGGGCATTCCTAAGGCTGCTGAGATTGGCCGTGAAGGCCACATTTATTAATGTATTAAAATCACCCTGTATAGGCGAAATAGACATTATTATTGGAAGAATATCATATGAAGTATAGCAGCTCACCCGGCAGAGCCAAGCTCCGGCCACCGCCTACCCGTTCGGCGGCCAGCAATTTTCGGGGCAAAAAGGTCCATCGAAAAACACCTCAAACATAGTAACGCGCCCAATTCTTACCTCCTTTCCATTCATGTCTCCGGTGCCATTAGAGCATCGTCCCTTATGCTCTTGCGTGGCTGCCCGTGTCTAAGGAGGCGTCTGTCTGCCGTCTTGGACACTGTCGCGACTGGCCCCGATGAGCCTCTTCTGTTCCTCTATCCCCGCTGGGCTGCGCCTGCTTTGCAACGTCGACGGATATCTTCCCTAAGACCGATTGATTCTCCAGCGAGGTTAGGTCATACTTCCGGTTCTCCATTTTGCGCAGCAGTCCGTCCCTCTCCTTCGCTTTCCCGACACTCGCGCCAATGGATTTCCTCTGAGTCTTCCTCCCGGTCTCCTGACGGTTCAAATTCGCGATCGTCTCCTACGGTAGTTGGAGAGCGTCCTGAAGTAGGCAAGGGCAAGGAAACTGGCTTTGATGGCTTGAATGAAAGTGGTGGAGGTCGGCTCTCCGCGGGTCAGAAACAATCTGTCGATTCCTTCACAGATACCGAACACGCCACTTCTCGGAGACCACTACGTGGCTTCGCGTTGACGAGAGCGAAGAGAATACAGAAAAGCCGACTGCACAATAAACCCCTGAATGCCAAACCTTCGCCTCTTACGCAGAAGCAACTCTTTTTACGAAATACATCGATTCGAGATCGGAAGAAGTTGCGCTTTCGCGAATATATGAAGAAGAAATATCAATCTCGTTCAACAAAGCTCTTCGACAATGCTTGGTTTGAGACTAAGGACATTCTGGACCAAGTGCACCGCGATATCCGGAAAAATCCCAAGAAGAGTTCGAACAAGAAGGAAATACTTGTACCAGAGGAGACCCTCGCCCTGTTTTCTGGCGTGACTCGTTATACCTTGAAAGAGAATATTTGGTACATCCCGCTCCATAATGGATGTCGGGTGCACATCCTACCTGCAAGTCAGAACAAGGGATTACTCCGTCGAGTCGTTTTGAGTGCTACAGACCATATTATGGCGCTGGTGGAAGGGCATTTTACCCGCGCGCAGAGCTTACAAGCTATGGGAGATCCCCTTGTTGATATCCACAAACCACCGGTTCCGATGTGCATCTCTCGGGGCGCGATGCAGCGTTTGAAGCTGCCTGTACCGTTAATTCGTGGAAATTGGCATTTCGGCGAAACGTCGGACAGCAGCTCGAATTTGGACGAGATCCTGCTGCCTCGTCCGGTTATCGCTACCGTGAAGGAGTTCACCGAGCACGTCGAGGATGTTACTTCTGCGAGGCAACCGACGCTCGATGAGAAGGCCATGTCTCTATCAAAGCTTCCGCACGTGGTCCGGATTAAACTACATCTGGAGGCGCTTTTCATGGAAGAAACATACTCCAATTACATCTCGACTGCGGCTTTGAATAATGCACTGGAATTCCTTTGTCGACATGAGTTCCTTCAAACTGCCCGAGCCCTGTGTTCATGCACAGAGCATGTGGCTACCACCGACACATATAATATCCTGTTGCGGGCTGCTGCGCGACGCCAGGATGTGGGTGTCTTTCGTCATTTCCTGAGGACGATGCCTCGATTACACATGCGTCCAAACCCAGAAACATGGCTCGCATTGCTCAGCGCCCTGGTTGTCCCCAGCGAAAAAGCCCACCTCATTGAACATATGGTCCAGCGTGGTCACATGTCCAACCTTTCCACCATTCACAGCGCACTCCAGGAGACAATCCAAGATTCTCTTTTGGCGCATTTGGACAGTGGGCAAGATGTAGGCTCCTTCATCGGCCTCATGACCAATACATGGGGAGCAAATTGGTTCAGCCCTTCAGTGGTCGGCCAGATGTTCAGTGTGGCCGCTCGATTGAAGGATTTCAAATCGATAGACGAGCTCATGGAAATCTGCATTGACAATAATCTCACTGTTGACAGTTACCCACTCAGCCACATTGTGCAAGCCTTGGGTGCGAACGTCCATGTTGCTTTACAGTATACCCTCCGGTTTTTCGAGCACCCTTTGTTCGAGGTAACCCCACAAAATTGGGAAGATTTGTTTTTGGCTGCATTCAGGAGCCGCCAGTACAATATCTGCCTAGTTATATGGCGGTATTCTTGCATGAAAAAAAGCGTGACCTATAAGATGAAACAGGCTGTCTTGACTTCCTTATGTCGCAATGCATCCTTTGGTAAACCCACGAAACTTAACAAAGATTTGTGGAGTTCCGATGCCGGCAAGGTCATTATCGGTATCGACCTGCACCATGAAAACTACAGGCTTCCAGACTCCATTCTGGACGAGCTTCCCTCCGAGTTCCGTCAAAATCCTATTCTATACCTCATCGGATGGAAGCCTAGGGGCGAACAGCGTGATCTCCAAATCCGCCTTGCCAACGCTCTCATCAAACGTGACCTCATTCTTGGTGCAACCCGCTATGCCCCCCAGCATCCTTCCCCGATTATGCTGGATGCAGCGTCCATCTTGGATAAGGAATGGCGTGGTGTACCACGGCCTCTGACTTGGAAGATGCAAAACGCCATTCAGGTTCCCATCGTCCGCAAAGACAAAGACCGCGACGACCGCGACCAAGACAAACACAAAAACCAATAATCTCCCAATCCTCCTCCTTTTTTACATCATTCGTGCATTCTTCGATCCTTCTACATTTTTGACGCTAGCGTGTTGCATGAATATCCCATTCGGCGGGTTTGTTTTGGCTGGTGTTTGTTTGATGTACTCTAGTCTGCCTACTTCCCCGTCACCTTGTATCTATACTGTACATTATCTGAAAATATAGAATCATAGAGGTGCAATGTCCAGAATAACATCTTCTGAATATATATTCATCCAGTCGTGGGCAAATACACTTTCCTTTTCAATTGAAGCACCATCAAAATCTAAGCAACCCATCAAAATCTAAGCAACCCATCAAAATCTAAGCAACCCATCAAAATCTAAGCAACCCATCAAAATCTAAGCAACCCATCAAAATCTAAGCAACCCATCAAAATCTAAGCAATGCATCGAGATCATTCATAAAAACAGCATAGTTAGAACTGGAGTCCCCACGACTTGGAAGTCTCTCCCTGGCCGGAGCAGGACCCCCGTGCAGAACCTCAGCTTCACAACCTAACGCCTTCTCCAAACCAGCCTTTTCCTCTAAAGGCGCCGGAGACGGAGACCGAGATGGAGATTGAGAAGCAGGTATGCTGATCCCCTTTATGGAAGCCGTCTGCGCCCGATCCGTGTGTAAAACATCAGACTGAAAACGCTTCGAAGAGTCCAACCCTGATGAAGACGCATCCCGCTTTCTCTTGTTTGGTATAGTTGGCGCGTGTGCAATATCCTCTTCGATCTCGGGCGACGGGGACGGAGAAGCAGAAGTAGGCGTGAGAGGAGGCAGTAGCCGACATATTTCCGAGTACGACGAATATAGCGCACTCCAGCGAGGTATTTCGTGGTGGTCGATTCCTCTTGGCAGAAACCCATTGAGGGGGGATTTGTTTTCGTGACTCTTACTAGGTTTCTGGGTGTTGTTGCGTTTGGGGACTTGGGGCCGGGTAGGTCTTCCAATGGTTTTGTAAGTCTTGGAACTAGTATCTGTAGTTTCTTGTTTCTACATACCTCTCAATTGAATCTCGCGGGACGCATACTTGATCTTCTTTGCGACAGTGCGTGCACTGGTGATATGGCGGGGCGATGTCACATCGCTTCTTGCGGGCGTGGCAAGCTGTGCAGGCTATTTTTCCAGGTCGACGACCTTGTTTGTTTGTTTTTGTTATCCCAGATGGGCCTTGAATGCGTCTGAGTGCTGTGGAATCCATAGGGGTTGAGATGTTTTGAATTCTAAATGAAAGTTGGGGGACTGGGGGACCTCGGCAGTGGCAATGTATATAACAGGCACAGGTTCCACAATTTCACAGTCAGATCCATGCTTATAGGCATAGAATCGCATAACCGGGATATCCGACGAAAAAAACAGACGTGGCTAGACACGAAGTTCATGTACATTGTAAAGTAGAAATGCGATAGCTTTGATTTAGCCTATACTACAACAGAAATGGCATATATCACATGTTTTCACATGTGACACTATGTGACATAACCTTTTTCTTGTCCTTCCAACTAGCCACAATAAGGAAATATCTAGAACCTAAGACATTTAAAAACAGAATAAGTGGCTGACTAAAGACTCTTGTTCACAATTGGATTCATTTTCATAAAGATACTGTGTAGCATCCAATTATATATATGTCCTTACAAGGTGCAGATATAACGTATATCACTTCAACCTCTTTCCCCCAATTTATTGTCCTAATAGCTTCTAGTCCATGAATGATACGCTTGATTTATCATGATTCCAACATAAAGAACCTGTTTTGTGAAGAGCTGCTCCATCATGGAGTGCCTTTATTTCCGGTCTATATATCTATGAGGCCACTAGGACAAAACAAAATACAAAGGATATTCTGCAAAATCTTTTTGAAAAGGGGTAGGATATCATGCTATCGATGGGTTTAATGGATCTCCCGATTCTTAGGTGAGTCCAACTACTAATGTCAAAAGTTGCCTCCCTGTGACGCCTGATGTTTAATAGTAATGCATCAGACCAGGTCCTAATCGCTGATGTAGTGATTTTCTTCCGAGTATATTCATCAGCACATTGCATAGCAGTTCGCTTTCTGACATCTTTGACATTAGGGTCCGCTCCTTCTCTAAGAAGATAATGAATGACATCGATATTGTGGAGTAACTCTGTCTTGTTTCTCCCGTGAGGAAATTAATGTTTCAAAAGGTTGACGATCTTTGATAATGGAATGCTACACTTGAAAATCCGCAGTGCTTGTTCAGCTTACTCCGTACATGTCCTGGACTGACTCTCGTTTGGACCTCGGAGCATACGCAGAGCTACCAGCCTGTTAAGATATTCTAACCGTCTTTTTCTTCTTTCTATTGGAACAATATCGATATTTAGCTGGGGAGCTGGGCTTAGTACTAAACTTTGGGCGCCCAGTAATGACCGAATGCAATTGAGTCAATTCCTAGGTTTTCTGGGCTATGTTTCGTAAGCCTGAGTAGTTCGTGGCTGTTATCTCAGCCCCTCTCCTCTTCCCCTCCGCTCATCTCGATTCGCAACTCCCGACTCAGTTCCATTCAAGCATATCCCTAATTTGATCGAAACTTGAAAAAGAATGTCTACGCATGACCTTGGCAACTTTGGACCATGGCTACGAGCCGGTGCGAACGGTCCCAATGGGCAGCGTCTAGTTCCTCGGTTTCACACAAAAGGGCGGCCTCTGGCCTCGGGTCATGTTCAGTCGTTGTTATTGCATCACCGCACGGTGCGATACTCGCACAAATTGTACCACTGCCAGCGGCAAGGCCTGATCCTTTTACTGGTGACGCCAATGTCTAGTCTGACATGAATCGAGTCATTGCACTTCACCAGGAAAAGAGGGCTTATTTCCCTTCTGTCAAGACCGCCGTCGTCTGTACAGAATTCCGAGGCTCTGTAGCCTTACCAGATCAGCTAGCTATTATGATGGGAAGCCTAAACCAAGTATAACTCCAACCGCGCACATTATCATACAGTGTATAATCGCTCCGATTAACGGTATCATGTATCAAGACCATCAACCTTCTTGGAACATGAATTTCTTCATGGGAGAAACCCCTCTTCACAAGGCAGTGTTCCTTCGGAAAATCGACGTCATTCATTATCTTCTTGGGGAAGGAGCGGATCCTAATGTCAAAGATGTCAGGAACCGAACCGCTATACAATGTGCCGATGAAGATATTCGGAGGGAGACCATAGAATGGTCACGATACTAGTTCCTCCGTAATATGTAGCAACATGGCTTGAGCTAGTAATGCAAATATTTTATATATAGTTCAGGTTAAAGCTAAATAATGTTTTTGCAGGGCCGTTTCTTTTCTCTCCATTATTTCCTTGCTTGAGACATACTCTCGTTGAATGCTCACATCATGGGTCAGCATAATGCATCTGAAGTCGCCATGACAGGCTTATTGGCTTGTTTTTCCTTTGACTGTTGATCCCATTTCTTAAAAAGTGGCCATAGTGGAGCGCCAGTCAAGGCGATCAATACTGTCCACATTTCCGTGATATTGAGGATGATGGGTATTTCAACATGTGCTATGAATTATGTTAGTAAAAGCTTCATGTAAGTGCTTCCCCTAGCAAGCAGGACCAATACACATACGTTTAAATAGAGTATAAATTATCAAGTTAGCGATACCAAGGACAGTGCCTATAGTACCTAGACTGAGCAAGATGCAGATGAGAATTTTCTGTTGTATGCGGATCCGACGATTCCACATCATGACTATTGGGTATATTATGAGCAAAACGTCTGTCACCACTACCCATACTACGAATGGTGTCTAAATTAGTTGTTTATTGTAAAAAGAGAGCAGACCTATACATACCTTCAAACCAGATTGACTGGAATTTTGCTTGTTGTCCACACTTCCTATACTGGATCACGGATTTGTCCATCGAAGGACCACATTGTCTAAAGTAGAGAGGAACCAATGCAATGATACTAATGACCTGCATCTCGGTATTCAGCCAGTTTCACGGCTGAAGTGATCAAGAGACAAGAAAAGCCACTCACATTTAAACTCATAGCACCTAGTAAAATCCACCTGCCAATTTTGTAGATCCCCTGTTGTAGGTGAAGAATATACATTATTATAGAAATCTTCATAATCGTTACTGCCGAGAGTGTAGTGAAGTCCTGGATAATTCGAATTATCCATGAAGCAGTGATAATTTGGTAGTAAAGAGAAAGGCAGGAAAGCAGTGTACTTGATACTGCCAAAGCCTGATCCTGTCAGTCACTGTGTACAGACTCGTTGATTTCCAAAATCCAACGTACCCAACCAACAGTTGCCCAAGTAAGAGCCCAGCCACTCTTATGGCGGGCCACAAAGAAATAAGTATAAAATCGCAGGGCCATGAGGACAGTTGCCACGAAGAACAGTGACACACTGAGGCCAATAATAGTCGGCGTATACCGACTTAGAGCATGCATCGTTGATGTATATAGTAACTGATTCCTATCTGTAATAATAATAAAATGGTTGCCACCCCTCAGGCTGAGAATACTATTAGGAGCATAACGTCTATATTATATTGAGCTCTGTTCGACAGGGTATATTGTGTTACCTGTCATCTTTCAGGCGTTCCATTTTTCTAATATCCCCCGAGCTGTCCCTTATCCCTGGGTATATATGGGAAAGTGGTGCAAGTTTTACTTGTCTTCATTGTTTAAAAGGCTATTTGATACTTTGTTAACCACCATATTCAGTTGCCACTATCCAGAAGCCAGCTAGGCTTGGTGGATAGCTCAACTAAGCTCCAGCCTGCGAAAATTGTATCAGTGAATGGCTTAGTCAAAGGATGCAGCATCACAGAATCCTGAAATATAGCTAAAAATAACAGCTTATTATGATTGGCGTCGAGAGCCCAACAGATACTCACAGGTTCTTAGTGGTCTCGTCACAATTGATCTTCCCAGGGTACCTGAAGGCTGAGTCTATGTGTCTAAGCACACATTGCTAGCTTTCTTGTTTGTGTTAGCATCACGTTATGTGGAGGGGATTGATAAAGATACTCATATGCAATGCGAAATTGCTGCCGAACTTCATCATATAGTTAATATAGCCGCCTGGAACACAACTTTCGTCATCTTGCTGTACCTCATGGTAGCCTATATTCTCATGTGGGGTACTACTTCACACTTCTGTTCTGCAAGTCTCTTGAGTGCCGCCAGTTCCGTATGTGTCTGCTGTGGGACAGCCTGCTGTGCTTGGGCTCTAATGCCACGAGCGATTGTTCTAGTGACAGGGATTTGGATATAAATCCGCATGATACTCTTCTCGGAAATGCCAGTAGCACTATGGCAAGCGAACTTGGTGGTCGCAAATGGAGAGCCAAGACCATCATTAATCTCATCTTGGGTCATTTTCTGGTACTGATCAGTTATCTTTTCATCTGGTACCTACGCTTGGGGAGACAAATTCTTGTTGAAGGAGGCTTCTGTGCCGGAGAGGTGATTAAAGTCCCCAGGGTCGGGCATGGTGTTGAGGAAAAATGTATGGAGTGATGCTTTGAGTTTTCCTTTGCAGAAGTTGCAGAATAAAAACGGAGTAGATTAGTAAGTTATATTAGGGTTCCAAAGGGGGAGATCGAGGTGAAAAGGAAATAAGAAGAGAGCTTCTCTCTTCCTACATAGCAACCTTGGAAACAATGATCTATAGGATCATGACCTGAGGCGCTAATCCGCTGATTTCAAGGTTTATTGTATCGCTAGTCATATATATAATAGTGAATTTGTTTCTGGTACTCTTCCGAGAAGAACTTGGGCTCCGTATGGACTCTGTATACCTTACTGTATATATTAATGCGAGCCCTCAACTCCAAGATATGATGTATACTCGTTATTGCATCCCTCTTGTGACATATCCTCAACTAGAGCAGATTAGCTATTTGGGACACTTCTCAGCAATTTGTCTTTCTATACAATATAAAGTTCCACAAGGACGCCAGCTCCTGTGAAGTATATATCTATTCTGGTCATTTCACATAAATTATCATGACATGTCATGCCAGCACAGCTTGACAGAGCAACGAGTAAACTTCATAGCGCTGCTTACAACCAAAAATCAAACCAATGACCCCATATTCGCATGCGAGTGCTCTCCACGCGCGTCAGGTAAACCAGGTACTGACGGTGGAAGACTGTATGGATCAACAAGTCCCGTCCGAATCGCGCCCACGCCTTCTTTGAGATAGAGCACAAGCCGGTAGGCTGAGTTGCCGTTCAAGTAATATCGGTGGAGCTGTTTGCTACGAAGGAAACCCAGCCGCTCGTACAGTTTCATCGCGCCGGTGTTGGTGATTTCGGTTTCGAGCACAATCTACCAAACCACGTACAAGTCAGCCACCGTACCCTCTAGACCACCCTGTTTTGGGGACTAGCAGTCACCCCCGCCGTAGAGACATACCTCATCTGCATCCCGCTCGATCATAGCATCGATAGCCATGCGCACTAGCTTGGTTGCAATTCCCCGGCCTCGATACTCTTCGCGCACGGCCAGCATGGCGATATATCCTCTCAGCGGGCCGTCGCGGTGTGGCTCAAGCTTCGATACCACCACCCCGACCATCTCGTCCTTATCATCCATCGCGAGGAAACACAGGTCGCCCCATTGGTATAGGAAGTAGCGGTAGACGTAGATGCTGTAAGGTTCGGACAGATCTTTGGAGATCAGCTGGCGCATTGCGGCGACATATTCATTTTCGCGCGACTTTTCGTATCGCACGTAGCGAAGATCGGAAGCATTGCTCATCACAGCGAGGTCATCGGACTAGGCTGATGGTTGGGGTTGACGCAGGGTGGGGTGTGTGTTTGTGTTGAGGAAAGTCAACTCTTTGCCATGTGATGCCGATCCGCCCGTTCGCGGACTTTATGCATTTCCGTGCATTTTTTATCCCCTTCGTTTTCTTATTTCATTCTTTTTGTTTGTTTTTTTTTTCAAATCTGTTGGTCTTGTTCTTAATATTAATCTTCCAGGCAAATCGATCAGGTCCTCTTCTCCTACCGTCCTCGTGGTTGGTCGCTATGTTCCGCCGCCGCACAGGCAAGAACAAGGTCCCGCCCTCTGACAAGATTAGCGGAGATACAAAACACGAGGAAGAACGGCTTCGTGCGGAGTTCGAGGATGCAAAGGTCAAGCAGCTAATTATCAAACCCCGGAGTAAACGTCGCAATGGGTTCATTTTCATGCTGGGCGGGATCTTCGGCATCTTTATCGCATTGTTCTTCGCGAACCAGCATGAGGTCATAAGCCTGGATTTGTTCATGGACCTGAATCTCGACTCATGGATTGAGTCCATTCCACAGGGAATTGTGAGTGAGGTGAAAGAATTCTCGGTACGTGTTTTCCAAGGGAGCGTTTTTATTTCTACATCTTGTTACCAGCTGACTGACTTTATATGGGAATATAGCAACGCGAACGCGATACCGTCAGCTATGATTCGTTTGCCGTTGGACTACATCTTCGGTCCCAGGGCGTAGAAGCCAAACATCCCATCGTGATGATCCCCGGAGTTATCTCGACTGGCTTAGAGAGCTGGGGCACGGGGGAGAATTCACGACAATACTTCCGCCGACGATTATGGGGCAGCTGGAGCATGATGAGAGCGTTAGTCATGGATAAAGCTGAGTGGAAGAACCATGTCATGCTCGATCGGGATACTGGCCTTGATCCGCCTGGCATTAAGCTCCGTGCTGCGCAGGGATTCGATGCCACGGATTTCTTTATCACAGGATATTGGATATGGAATAAAATCCTAGAGAACTTGGCTACCATCGGCTATGATCCGACCAATGCATTTACTGCTGCATACGACTGGAGACTCTCATATCTCAACCTCGAAGTTCGCGATAGGTATTTCACTCGACTCAAGTCCTACATTGAGACCGCGGTGGAGACACAGGGGGAGAAGATCACACTAGCATCGCACAGCATGGGATCTCAGGTAGTGTTATTTTTCTTCAAGTGGGTAGAAAGTGAGGCACACGGAAAGGGCGGCAAAGACTGGGTAAACAAACATATTGCCTCGTGGGTCAACATCAGCGGCTGCATGCTGGGTGCTGTCAAGGGATTGACCGCAGTTTTGTCCGGAGAAATGCGGGATACAGCGCAACTGAATGCCTTTGCCGTGTACGGACTGGAAAAATTCCTATCGAAAGAGGAACGTGCGGAGATCTTCCGCGCAATGCCTGGTATCTCCAGTATGCTACCAAAAGGTGGCGAGGCCGTATGGGGAAACTCGACCTGGGCACCCGATGACCAACCAGGCCAGCCCCTGACCTTTGGCAACGTGCTCTACTTCCAAAACACCAATTCATCCTTGACACAACGCAACCTCACCACGTCAGACAGTCTTCAATACCTCTTGGACCATAGCGAAGAATGGTACCGGAACCAGGTTCTGAATAGCTACTCGCACGGCGTCGCGCATACAAAACGCGAGGTCGAAGCCAACGAGAAGGACCCGCGGACATGGCTCAACCCTCTAGAGGCGCGCCTGCCCCTCGCCCCAGACATGAAGATATACTGCTTCTATGGCGTGGGGAAAGCCACTGAGCGGAGCTATTTCTACCAGGAAGAGCCCGACCCACTGGTCAACCTCACTATCAGCATGGACACCACCATCACCAACAACGAAGGCGTCGACCACGGCGTTTTAATGGGCGAGGGTGACGGCACCGTGAACCTGCTTAGTACAGGATACATGTGCGCTAAAGGCTGGCGCATGAAGCGTTATAACCCAGCCGGCACAAAGATCAAGGTCTTTGAGATGCCTCACGAGCCTGATCGCTTCTCGCCCCGCGGTGGTCCCAACACTGGTATGTTCTTCTTTTGCTGCTTCCTTACTTACTCTTCCCTACGCTATATGACCGACAACTAACTTCATATAGGTGACCACGTGGATATCCTAGGCCGTGCCTCACTCAACGACCTTCTTCTCCGTGTCGCTGGCGGCAAAGGCGATTTGATCGAAGAGACTTTCTTCTCCAAAATCCGCGAGTATGCGGATCGTGTACAAATTTTTGACGAAGAGTAGATCGAATTGGTTTCATTATGACTGTCGTGGATAATTGTTCTTTCATTTGGCTTGCGTTTTCTTTTGATACACACACTTACCTGTTTTTAGACACGGGATTCTCTAGATAGATGGGGTTTTGCTTATGACCCAGCATTCTTGTACATTTCTTTATGGCAAACCCTTATATGAAACCATTATATTTCTTTCGGTGACGTATTTCAGTTATTACGGAGTATAGAATACCTAAATAAAACCATGTCATCAAGTCCATACGTAAATTCCAACCTCTTGTATTACGGATAAGGGCGGATACATTCTTTCCTAGCGCCAAAAACTACTCCGTACTTCGGTGGTATATGCAAGCTACCAGCAACTGCCCAGGTGATCCCGTGTGATCGACGGAGCTAGACTGTTCACTGGCCGTGAGAAGCAGGGATCACATGTTCCGTTTGCTGGTCCTTATCACACAGACGGGGGTTCTCCAGGGCTCTTCATATGGGCCTGGAGACGAGGGTTTAGATAGCTGCTAAGTTACATGTATACTACAAGATGCATCTAGTATATACAATAAAACCCAGAAATGTAGATAATGTACAATGATTCATTAACTCAATACGCTGATTAAAAATAATGCTAGCAATACCCAATGGGATCTCACCGCCAAAAGTAACGATAAGAGGCACAGGACCCCAACCGAACAAGTCGTATAGGGGGTGTCACGGGAGGTGTGGATGCATTAGGTTGTCGGATCAGCTTTCATCCTCAAAAGCCAAAAGCGAAGAGAATGTGCGAAACTCGAGGACAGGAAGATGGCCTCCGTCAAAAGTACCAAAATCCCGTTCACCCTAGCTGCCATGGTCACTCAAACTTTGAAAGCAAGGGCAACAAGTTTCAATGTCGCCCTTCTTTCCTTTCCTCGGATCTTTTCCGTGTCGAATCCACACGGAAAGAATCCACACAATGTCAACGCCGATTAATCACCTGCTAGGCGTAGGCACGGGGGGTAGATCGAGATGATCTTTTTGAAAACCCTCCTTTCATGTACCGATGCAAAATGTCGTAAAACAGCTGATATTCAAAAATCCTTCTAGTGCACAGCGAGTGGTGGTGCAGCAAAAAGCACCGAAACTTTTTGTCTTCCCAAAAAAAAAAAACAGTTTCAGGGTCCCAGGCGCCTATGATGAGCGAGCGAGCGACACGAATGGTAAAAATATTTGTTCATCTGGACGAGCCGAAGGCAAAAAAAAAAGGTGGCTCGCCCAGTTCATAAAGTCGTAGCGAAAGACATGGGCCGGAAAAAATAGAGGAACACCCGAGGGTGTCCAAGAATGTGTACAAGCGAAGGTTGCCAACGGTGGCGGTGCAGGGGATTGGTGAATGCAGGCAGGTGAACAAGGCCAGATCCCTTCCGCCACCGGTATTAATATTATAGACGGAGTTGCCAGCCCCAAGTGGGGTGGCGAGGCATATACAGCCAGAAGGTGAAGAGTACCTTCAGCTCGGGGCGGAAGGACCGCACGAACCGGAGGTTTTATTAAAAACCTTAGGGTGTCGAAGATTGCTCGATGCAGATAATGTTCCCAAACATTGTCGTCAAACGTAACGCCGATTCAAAAGAAGTAGATGCAAGCATGGATTGTGCCAAGCGACATGGGCAAGTGAGGCTCGAGGATTAGCGTCCAGCCTCGATGTCTTGGTTCGAGGTGAGAGTTTCGCTTTCCCAGGTGTAATGATCATCCACGGGGCTCAGAGAGCCCGAGGAAACGGAAGAAGAGGAGCCCACGGTCCACTCGTCGCTATCCAAGTTGAAATCACCGTCCAAGCTGGCAAGATCATACCCGAATTCGCGAGAAGAGTCACCGATCTCAACATAGTCATAGTCCCAGCGGAACATCTTGTCGGCCTGGACTCGAGGCAGGAATCGGGTCTTCGCAAAGTAGAAGGCAACTGTGGCAAGTAGACCACCACAAACAAGATCGACTGCGTAGTGGTGAGAAAGATACATGGTAGCCCACCACATCCACAGAGTGTAGGTAACCCAGAGGGGCTTCAAACGCGGGAAGACGTGGCTCATGAACAGTGCTGCCAGGGTGGAGTCGGCAGCATGAAGCGAAGGGAATGCACCGAAAACAACGGGGGACTGCTTGAAGCCCGAAGTGTACAGATCAATACCCAGCAGCTTGTCAATGCGAGCAAGACCAGCTGGGTTTCCTTGCATTGAGTAATCGGCTGGAGCCAAACCATACAGATTTTCGTACCAGGGTGGCGAGCAGGGGAAAGAAAGTTGAATGAAGACAGCCAGCATGCTGATGTATCCGAGAGTCCGGGCGTACAGAGGGGTCGTTCCCGGGGGGCCGAAGAAGAAAAGGATCAACGAAACGACGAATGGCGCTCCGTAATGGCAGAGTCCATAGGGAATCCATGCCAGAATGTCAAGCACTACATTTTGGTGGGCGGATAGAATGTTGCTAATGTTGGCACCGTATAGGATGTTTTCCATGGCGGGTAACACTCGAACCCAAATGGCAGGCCGCCAATCGCTTGGAACGAATCTAGAGAAAAACACATGTTAGCAATGTTCGCACCCCTGCACATTCTGCTCACGGCACAAGGCCATGGCAGGCGCATCTGCCGCAAGAAACTCCACAGAAAGCAAAAACTTACTGGCATCCATAGAAGAAGATAAGCCATCCGGCAACGGGGAGGAAAGGCAAGAAGAATTGGCGGGTGACTGGCATGAGAAGGGAGCACAAAAGACCGGTGGCAATCGCCGTCTTTCCCAGTGGACCAGGAGACTGGATAATAGTCAAGGAGAATATTCCGATGATGAGAAGCAAAAGGTATTGGAAGTCATACACCGTCCATCGGTGAGCTTGTAAGGATCTGAGGGTGTCGGCTGGCGAGAACGAGGTTTGCAACCTCGATATGGACGAGGTAGGTGAGATGCGGCTTCGGAGTTTGGACCGGAGCTTGCGACGCATGCGATGTGGCACCAGGAGCTGGAATGAGCGCCATGGTATTTGGATCTGAAGCTTTCCAAACTGGCTTTGCGTGCGGTCTTTCCATGACGGATAGGAAGCGCTCATCTTCGCGGTGAGTCTCCTCCAGGAGGCTCCGGATCACTTTGGAAAAGGGATGGTTGAGAGATCAAGAATTGTCGCGGGACGAGATAGAAGTGAGTCGCGTAGTGGAAAAAAAAGTCTATCGTTGGCCAGAAAAGAGGCTCTAGAAAAGTTGAGATGGGCCGATAGGAAGGTGAAGGATAGGGCCGAGGGGCGTTAGTCCCAGGGAACTCAGGAGGTCACGTCGACAAGGGTCGGTATGCAAGGAGAAAGGGCGCAACCAAGAAAAACCCAGGATAAACAGAACTCGAGAAAACCACGGAGACCACTTAGAGCCCTGAATCGGAGATATTAAGAATTAAAGAAGAGATGAGAAAAAGGAAGGGGAAGAAAAGACCTGGATTTCAACCCATGGGAACTTGAAGTATTGGGGCGTATTGGTATTTACCAATATCAATCGTACTAGTAAATTTTGGGTGTAATTTTGGTATTACAGGGATACCTCAAATGTTACTTAAAATTACCTCGGACCTTTAATTTTATGCTCAATCTATGTAAGCCGGCACTATGTACGGAGTAGTGAGTTGTTAGTAGTTTTAGTTTATATAGTATTTGATATTTTAAATAATAAATTACTCCGTTTTTTTAAGTACTACGAAGCTCCATTCAAAAGTATTCAAATGGTTTCTCAAGATCCATCTCATTTCTATTGCAATTTTGTCCGGAGCTCTCGGCAGTATTTAATAATACAATCGTGGAGATCCGGTCTGGGAATTTGGCTCGGAAGCTACGGAAGCCACGGAGATCACATTTCTGGGCACATCTCGGGCTTTGTTGTGTCGATGGTCCGATATGTTTTATTATGCAGATGTGCTTGCTCCGAGACTCCCGAGGATATTACAATTTGCACTATAACTTTTAATATTGTATATGGGTATAGTATATCAAATATATCAATGGCCTAGGCAACTTTCACTTAAGCCATCTCCAAATAAATATTGCTCAATACTACAGTATGATGGTACTATGTACTCCATATGTATGAGTCTACTGCAGAAATACAGCTGGTACGAAAATTTTCGTAATTTTCGCAAATTTTCCATATAAGATCCATCATCGGACCCTGATTGGCTGCTTCTCCCTTGCCATCGAAGGTTTAGTCCCGGTAACGAAACTCATCACAATTTCCCAATTTCGCTTATGCACAGTTTGTAACATCTAAATACCAGCCCTGGAGCTCAACAATACTACATGTACGGAATAGCTCCTATTAAGGCTATTGGCCCACGGCGCACGTTTACTCCGTACTCCGTACTCCGTCGTAGTATACTCCATAGTATGCATTGACGTTGAGACTCAGCCCCGGTTTACTCCATATACGGCTGAGCCACACGCGATCAGCACTAGATGGTCCCGATTTGACAAGCTAAACCGGTTTAGGAGAAAAACATAGCACTATCGGGGCCGTTTTACATGGGGCCAGCGCGTAGATGAGGATATGCAGCTCAGGGGATAACGGAGAGCCCCTTCTTCAGGGGATACCAGCCTCCTGATTTAGACAACCAGTGTACGGAGTACAGCATATTCCGTACTTCGTACTCGGTTCGGAATCCTAATGAATAATGCAGCCTTCTCTGCCGTAAAAAGAAATTGCGCCCGAAAAAAAGGACAGCTATGTGGTACACATGCGTTTCAGAATTCAAGTGTCGCGCTGCCGTAGCCAATCACCCTTGATCTCATCTCCAATCCAGCGTCAAAGCTCCCAAGATTCCTGGGCATTCTACGGAGTACAATATAGGTCATTACTCCATAAACTAATAAGTAGACCTGCTTACTCCGTATACGAATCTCCAGGGCTAGTATAACTCTGTTACCTAGATATTATTATTTATAGTTGACTATGTATTCGTCTTTCAAATAATACTGCAGGGCTGACAGCACATGTTCGTATTCGTATGGGGCGGCAGCCTAGAGTGGGTTAAGAAGTGATGCAAGGCTGATGTCGCTGTATAGAGCTGCGCCACAGATATGAAGTAATATTGGGCAACCTTGGAAGGGTTGGTTCGCCTTACTACTAGACCTCATCAGGATTAGGGTGCAGGTCAGGGATGTAACATATAAATGATACTTGCTCTTCAATGAATACTCTGTTGAGGTTACTACCTAACTGCTTGTCAAGATAGATCATCTGCCAAAGACTCGATTTGTCCTTGGCATTGCACGGACTTTATTTCACACTACCTTTCATGGTAATTATTTGAAATGCCCGTGCCCATTTGATATGCAACACCATGATCGACGTTCTGCGTCGTCGATCCTACCAGGCTATCATATGTTGAAATCCCCGCAAAACTAGATGCAGTGGGGAATATATGACTGTACATCGTACTCCGTGCGTTCTACATCATCCCTCACAAATTCAGCTTGGTACTGCGCCCCTATGAAGATATATTCTTCAAAAATATTAGCCAAATATCAGCCGATTCTTCTCAATTCCTTAGATGAGATGCTCCAGCCCATCGTGGCCTTGTTATCCAAACTTTTGCCTCGTGCTTCAAGCGTCGCAACAGGCCAGAGTCGTTCTCACCGTCGAGTCATATGATAGCCGCACGAGCTTTATTTGGAACCCCTCAACGCCCAGCCTTCTCCTCCATCTAGAGAAGGGTATTGACAAATGCCTGCCATACGCTAGCTTGTCGCGTAATCTCTAGTGCTTTGACTGCCTAATACATATGTAGGCACTGACTAATATATGCAGCATTGCAAGGTTAATCTAAGATTCAACGCTTTTCCCAACATTGTTATTGGGAGGTGTATAGTATATACAGTAAGGAAGCCTCATGCAGTACGGAGTATAGAAATCGGAATAGCTCCTGCCGCGTCCAAGTTTCAAATCTTGAGAACTGCCTTCTATTTATCAAAGGCAGCTACTTGAACCATTTGAGGCACAAGAGAAGCTTCGAGGTTAGCTAGGATGAGTCTTTCACATAGTCAAGTCTTTTTATGGGGCCGCCAGGAGAAGTCTCTGTATGCTAGATGACGTGCCTCTTGACCAAAAAAAAAAAGAGGTGGAAATATCTAAAGAGCCTCCATTCTTCGTGGTCATAAGCTATACCTAGTGTAGGCTTGTTGCCTACATATTTAGATATATAAGCTGGCATTTGTGAACAAGAATGCTAATGATACCTTTTTTTGGCTAAGCGCTTCTCTCACTCATTGGATATGCCGCAGCCACCAATACTAAAAAGGCAATAATAGAGGCTTGTGTGTTATGCTCGGCGCTTATATTTAAGAGCCTCCTACCCTGAGAAAGATTTGATGTACAAATCGTGACAGCAATTACTACCTTCTACTTCAGTTCATATTCACTAACCACTCCACCTATCGGGGTAAGTAAGCACTGCTGAGGAGTACTGCTTTCGTGCTAATCAATTAAAAACCATAGCCTTACCTTCCTATTCATTGCGTTCAATATGTCACCGAAGGTTTCGATATATGTCGCCATCAGCGTCAGCGACGGCGTTTACAAACACTGGGGTGTTTTTATCGATGCGCCCCGAGAGGAAGACAAAGTTTTGCTCCAAGTAGCGGGTTCAGATGGTCGATTCCGCTATGAGCTGGAAACGACAGATGTTCGGCAATCGGAAAGACTGGTGGAGCTGCTTCCCTTGTATGATGTGGACGCCACGCAGATCAACTCCATCAAGACTGTCGCTAGTCAAGTCGCCGTTCACAATGAGATTCGGGGCTGGAATTGCCAAGACTACGTGCTTGATCTTCTGGAGGCACTAGAAAATGAAGCGATAATGAACAGCAAAGACGCGGGTTACAAGAAGCAGAGGGATTTGCTTCATGGGAAACAGGAAGGACTGGCATAGGGCGCATTCTCCTTTCTTATGCCTGCGATAGATATTTAGCTAGTTACGGAAATATCTGGGAATTACCAAGTTGTTTATTGAGGTTTTGTGCGTTGAATTTTGAATCAATTGAACTTTTCATAGTGGAACAAGATCCCAATATCAATGACTGCATTAATTGCTAGAATCATTCGACTGGGAGTAAAGCAACCATTGAGTGACCAAGTCAAACTCCCCATTCTGTTTGGGTCTGATAGTTTGCAAATCAAGAGGAAGTAAACGCTAACGCCAGCCGATGTATCGTGATAAATCGAGAAAGAAAAAGAAAAAGAAAAGTCGCTCAGCGCCGGCACCAGGGAATATTAAAGAAACTTGGCCATTCAATCGTGCTTTTGGTGGTGGTCTTCAGGACCATCGGCCAGCATCTGGAAGCCCTTCACCAGCCCCATTGCAGAACCAGCGGCGATGCCACCGACCAGTACCATTTGTACTCCGCCAATGAGACCCTTGCGGATATTTCGACGACCACGCCAGCCACAGACAAAGCATGTCTTCACATATCCGAAGATAAATAGTGCAATGACCATGGTAGCAATGGACCACCTTAGGGCGATGAAGGCTTCATTGGGCCCGACGAAAAAGTATGGTATGAGAGGAATAAATCCTCCGATAAAGTAACCCATAGCAATTGTCAAGGCACAAACGATGGCTCGTGAGCCTGAGGGTTCGGGCAGAGTGTGGTGGAAGTTCATGAGGAAGGATGGAAGCATAGGAGAGTCGGATAGATGATTTTTGAGTTGTGAGACCAATTCAAAAGGCAATCCATAGGGCTCAAAAATATCGGAGATGGTGTCAGAAACAGATGCGGGATCTGTCATAGTCTGCGCCTGAGTTTCCTTCAGTGTCGCTTTGTATGACTCTCTACAAACATGTCAGCTGTTGAGTCTCCGGAATATCTCCCGGCGTATTTTCATAGCCGGTAGATTTCGGGATGTAGGTAGGCTTACTCCTCACTCTTAGCACCCAGGTATCCACCGAGTCCCATCGATATAGCTCCTGCGATGAGTTCTGCGAGTCCACCGAAGACAACGATTTTGGTATCCCCCAGTGCAGATAGACCAGCAGTCAAGGCGAAAGGCACAGTCATGCCGTCGGAAAGACCGATAATGGCATCGGACACAGTGCGACCGTCGATGAAGCGGGAGGGTCTTCGCTCCAAGTCATCACGGGTTGTGCTGTTCCCCGCTTCAACATCCGGTCGAAGTTGAGCACGAGAGTCCTTCTCATCCTCCGAAGAGGGACTGCGATCAGAGAGGGGCATGTAACTCGACATGAGGCCGCTTGAAGAACTGATTGACATGTTGAGGGAGGATTGAGAAAATGAAACCTTGCATCCCTTGAGACCTGAGAATGTTTAAGTGAAAGCGAGGGAGGAAAATTAACCAGTCAGAGCACGCGGTACAATCATGGGCTTTTCCAAGCTTCCAACGCTGCAACCTTACATTTCCAACACAGCAGTGATCAACCCTTGGCCACACAGCCTATCGAGTGACCCCAAAAGACAACGTGCTTGGCATTCCCCTCTATGATCAGGACACGTGCAACGCTGATTCGAGGAGGACCAGCTTTGGTGCGGGACCCAGTGGATCTCCCCAGGACTCCCGCTGCTTAACTTTGTGACTGCAACCAATCAGAGATCATTCATTCTAATCCAAGACTTTTTCGTCCACGGGTGGACTCTACATGGCTCACGTGTCAATATAAACTATACCCGTTGGCAGCTGTTAAGAGGGGGGTAATATCGATGTTCCTTGACATTCTAGTAATCTCCAGGATTTGCAATATTGTTTAGTCTTGGCTATATCTCGGAGGTTCTTTGGTCACCACGTGTCTAGCATAAACATACTAAATGATCGTCAGTATATCACTACTCTTAAGATCTCCATCTAAAATAATATCTATGGATCTATGGATATATATACATATACATATGCAGGTATATTCTAACCTTGGTTCCTGCATGGATGTTCCAAAGTTCCAAGGATCCAGCATACCCCTTCCCCGTTGAGAATATGAAATTCATCTCCACTCTCTGCGGGAAGTATCCACGGCACAAATAGTTGTAGAAGAGTATGTACAGTAATCATGGCAAGAAGGGTAGTTGGAAACATATTGTCTTTCACTTCACTTCTCCGCTTCTTCGCTTTTTCTTGCTTTCTGTTTCTTCATACTTGTCCGTGAAGGAACTCACAGTCTCGCACGTTGAACAAAAGTCACTATGATTCTCTACTGGAGCATCGTTTTTCTACTGGCCTTGGCCAGCCTTGCATCCACCCATCCAACTAGGCATACTCAAGTGTGGAGCCAGCTGCGAGAGAACGTGAGTGGATCACACAGTGTCTCTAATCCCAAAGAACAAGATGGCTTATAGGAGCACACTCCCAGATCAAGCATGTCATCTATCTGACTCTTGAGAACCACTCGTTTGACAATATCGCTGGCTACTGGGACATCCATCCGGAAATTGACAATTTGCGCAATCTCACCTATTGCAATGATTACACCAATCCCAATTGGACAGTCTATGGGGAACCACTCGCAATCTGTGCCGAGCCGTACGCAAGCGAGGTACCACTAAAAGACCCAGATCATAACTTTGGCGGGGTCACCTACGAAATCTTTCGCCAGTGGAACCCGACGAAAGAGGATGTCCCTAACATGGAGGGCTTTATCGAGCGCCAATCGGAGAAGTACAATGCTACACCGGGAGATTCGGCATTCGTGATCAAGGCCTTGAACCAGAAGAAGACTGCCACTCTGGCGGAGCTGGCGAGCAATTTTGCCTTCTTTGATTCATATGTAGGTTATCATTTGGCCTGAACTTGACTACAGAGTAGTATATTGCAGATATCTGACTATCACCCCTACTTTTTAGTTCGCCGAGCACCCTGGTCCCACTAACCCCAACCGCCAATTTGCAACCTCCGGTTCATCCTGTGGTTTTGTCGATAACACTTATCAGTCGGCTGGGCTCTGGACCAATGTGACGGGCACTACCTGTGCGGTCTCAATCTTCGAGTCCCTCAGCAAGAAAAATATCAGCTGGAAGAATGTGAGATAAGCCTTGTTCCTTTATACTGACGCCCAGCTAAACATCTCTATATAGTACTATGAGACTGACATCATCGATGCATTCATGTATAAAGTCAGTCACTCTCCATCCCCATTATTACCTCGACGACTAACGATGATATAAAGTGGGTGCAAGACAATGCAATGGACCGTCTTGTCCATGCAACCGAGCTCTACCATGACTTGGAAGCCGGAACACTGCCTTCATTCTCGTACCTGAACCCGGAGTGCTGTACCGTTGACTCGATGCATCCAACCAGCAATATGGCAGCAGGAGAGCAGATGGTCAAGCACTTGTACGACGCCCTGCGTCGCTCCAAGTACTGGGACAATGCGTCCGTCTAGTTGTCCCCATGCTGACTGCAACAATACATACTAACACTCGAATACAGTGTCTTGATCATCAACTTTGATGAGCATGGTGGATTCGCTGACCATGTCCCCACTCCAGTCAACGTCCCTCAACCCGAAGACGGTATCATCTTCAAGGGCAAGTCATCAAACCACAATTTTACCTACGACTTTACACGTCTGGGAGTCCGGTATGCACACTAATCTCAATTTAAGTTTGGCCGCATGAATATTCAGCTTATCCTTTCATAGTGTCCCTGCCTTCGTAATCTCGCCCTGGGTACCCGCTAACCTCCTCATCCACGATCAAGGCACCATGTACGCCGACAATTCGGCCTATACTCATAGCTCAATCCTGCATTTCCTACAGGAGCTGTGGGGCCTCGAGGGCCTGAACAACAGGGTCCAATGGGCCAAGACTTTCGAAATGGCTTTTACTAATAAGCGGCGAGATGACACGCCCCAGACGTTGGTTAAACCGACCTGGTATGGTGGTAGTGGGCAGCCAGAACCAGAACCGTTCTTCCTTTTGAACCAGGATGAGAGCTACTATGCACGTCGCCAGGCTCAGGCCAAAGCAGCTAAAGCATAGGGGATGAAAATGGAGAATTGCCATATTGATAATGCAAGTATGGTGGATTGCCGAGGAATGAGCCTTGAGATCTCTGGCTAGAAATGCGGATCTCCGATTCTATGATATCAGTATCAGTTCAATGGATTGCAACAATGCTAACACATTTATCTACTGGGCCGTGAGAATTTAATCTAGTCAATTGAAAACAACTCAAAAGCTTGATTTGTCAATATGCAATACACTTAACTTAGTCCAGGCACGAGATCACAGCAAAGTCGAGATCGGAAACCCGTACTGATTTACGAAACAGAACTTGGAGTGTACGGCGCATCTTGCTCGCAGGTTTGAAATGGGAGATAAGAGCATATATCAGGACCTGCCGTCATTCGTAAAGCCTTTGCCGAAGACCATAAAGTAAGAAAATCAGAAATAGGTATGAACAAGAATGTGGAAACGTCAAAGAAGTTCATCCTTCAAAGCAGGAGTGCACGCAATTTTCGGGGACCAGCCCTTTGCCAGGGACTGGAGCATGCAATAGAATTTGTAGATGGAGGATAGAATCATAAAATATGTCCAGCGTAAATCTGCGACCGGAGAAGTGTTACGAAACCTAGTGCAGAACCAGTCAGTCCAATAGAACCGGGGAGATAATCAGAAAGGAGTTTCGACATACTACTTGCGTTTCTCGGCACCCTCATTTGACTCCGACGAAGATGTGCCAGCCATATCCCACAGCCGACTCTTGTATGCGGGGAAGGAAGTGTGGTTCCACACATTGTACAGGACACTATGAAATAACAGGTCAGTTGGGGCGAACAAACAAGGGGAAAACAAAACACAAAACGCACCTCTGGGTTCGGTCCTTGTAGGCCTCGTCTTTGACCTCCTTTACTTGCACTTTCATGCCATCTCTGGTGAAAGCGATATTCTTGCGCTCCATCTTTTCCCGTGTGTTTTTGCCTACATCCTGAACGATGCTGTAGGCAACAATTCCGACCGCGGCAACAATGCCAACGAAGATGAGGAGTAGGATGAGGGGAACGAGACTGCTGGCGCCCATGGTGGGGTTGTTTATCGGGATATCGGAGGGTTGGCTATTGAATCGGTGTTTTAAAATTTGGGGAAAACGAGGCGAAGATCCGAAGACTACGGATAGGGCTGGGTGGACTCAAGCGAAGAAAACGGCACGGGTGAGAAAAACAATGGAATATATGCCAAGAACAGGTGTCTCGTTGTGAATAGTGCAGCCTTGTCTTTTCTAGGCACAGTTGCTGCCTGGAGTGGATCAAGATGTTTCTTGCAGGAATGCTATTAAAATTCCAGTGGAAGGGCTGAGCATGAAATCTGAGACTCAGGGGCTTAGGTTATAGGACCCTTGTTTCACTCCCCCGCCAGGGTACGGAGTGTCCAGAATGACGTTTTGATTCGAGGGAAAATGACACGCATTGTGGCTGTGCCTGTGGTTTCTCAAGCCACTTGCTGAGTCATTTTTATTGGGAAGCTCCGGCCCGGTCCCGGGGGCTTTGAGGTTAATTTTAGCCCTGAAAGATGGGTACCTGGATCTATACTGATGGAGTAGGCTTAATCTATGTACTATGATTAGGTTGATGAGTCTGATATACTACACTCGTTATCTTTGATTGCTATCCCCATGAAGATCACATCTAATACTCTAACATGGACTAAACCTCCTCACTACTACCTAAAACAGTGGATCTCGATCTCATCTGCGTCATCATTATAGAATCCCAAGCTCACGGTTACAACGTAACTGGGCGGTGAATCCTCCATCCGGGGAAGGTCTTTTCTTCGAGATTATCTGCCTGGATGGAGGCCAGGACATTTCTCTACATATCCTAGTTCAAGACTCAGCAGCTTAGCCAAATCAGACACGATGTGTGACGTCCCTTTCATTCCGATCTTCCCTATCTGTTTCCAATGCGGCACTGATCAGAATCCGTGTCGCTGTAAGGTGGTTGGGCCGACACTTGGTAAGTTCAGTTCTTCTGCAGCGTGAATCACCGAAAAAGGACTCCATGCCTGACGAAATGAACAGGGTTTTTCACTACTATTGTGGCAGCGGTAAGTAAATATAGTCTGTTCAGACTGCAGTACGGAGGCACTCTTGCTTGACTCTAGGCTCATGGAAACCCTTTTTTAGATCTTCTGCTACCCTCTATCGATCTTCTGTGGTTGCGGCTGCACTCAAACTGGAAAGGAGTATGTCCTGCTGTTTGTTACTTCTTGATATCCAGGCTAACAAATAACAGCATGCTGGGATTCCCTGTCAAGCTAAACCAAAAGATCAGTAATGCCATTCCATTCTGAGATTAGGAGCTAGACGCTTAGATTATATCTGAAAGCCTTTTCATTGTATCGGAAATTTTTACCTTAACCTGACTTTATTACCCTACGCTTGATAAAGCTGAGTAATTTCTTGCCTTCTTACATTTCTGCCTACATCATTTAGAACTCTAGACCTCTCGCTCAATTCTGGTTCTCTCCATGAAGTCGCAGGACATTAATGCTCGAAAACTATTAGGGACATTGCATTTGACTATTAAATATAGTAACATATACTGCAAGAGGAAGGCCCAATGCCCCGAAATTAATCCCCCATCTTGCTCCGTGACTGTATCCCCAAGGCTCACCTAGGTGGAAGATTTCTTGGGGGGAGCAGGCAGATAGCTCGCAGAGTATTCATCAGCTTCATCATAATCTTGCAATTCCAGTCTTTTCAAGAATCCACCTGTCACCAGATCCATCACTCTGGACTGAGCCAAAATCTGCGACCCAAACCCAGGCTGCTCAAACCAAGGCGCAATGGGTCCCAAGAGAACGTCAAACTCCTTGACCACCTCGTAGACATGGTAGTTGTACGGGAAGCTGCTGTCAGATGGCGCGAAAAGATTGGATGGTGGCAGAGATCGCTCAATATATGGAGCTCCAAGAGGCGCCAGGAACGTTCCATACTCAGAGCCAAATCTATCAAGCTTCTGACCCACTTGGAGTGTGAAATTTCCGAGGATAGACTCGTTTTTGGATGTGATGGCAAATCCTTCGTTGTCTGGATAGACCCAGTACCCCTTTGGATCGGAAGCGTTCAGGGTCCATTTCTCAAGGAACTCAAATGGGCAGAGCTCGCCAAAGCGGGCGTATGTCTCGACCTGGTTGGAGAGAGGGAAGAATTTAGGGAGGTTCTTCGGACCAAGTCGTGGGTCACCGCAAACAGCAGTAGCGTTCACGTAGGTCACTCCTTTGCAGGGATTGGGGTAGCATCTTTTGGGGTAATCCGGCTCCTAAGAAGCATGAGTAAACATGGAGTATGAAAAAGGGGGTGCTAGAACCAACCTTGTTTATATTATGTCCGTTAGGAGCAACGAAGGGCGCGGCCTCTGTTAGGGCAGCTAAAAGAAGCACGCTTATAGTTGAGAGATGCATGGTGGATAGGAAATGTATAATGGCTGCCGTCAGTGGGTTGACTGAAAAGGGGAGACATAGTCATTTATATACTTGAAAGTGCCAAGGAGAATTGACTTTCCAATCTCGCGATCTGCGGCGCTATTCGAATAATGCACCCAAGCCATGCAAGCAAATGGATCTGGTCTGCGGTTTTCCTCCAGAGGGTTAGCCACACACCTCTTTGGGCTCGCTTCATTCCCATCGGCATTCGGTGTTCCTCCACTTGCTACTCTACTTTATCATTACGCAATTAGTGAGCTGGCATTTCTGCAAAGTTCAGCATATAATATCAGCGTAGTACGTACAAGGTTGAATGGAATGGTTTACAATATGTTGAATACTTCACACTCCATCCCTTGTGTAACTTGAATCGCCCCTGAAAGCATCACATATATTCTCTTTCCATTACCCTAACGGACCCCTGCAAAATATTTAGCATATACGATGTAAGTCAATAATAAAAAGTATATACATATTGGGGGTACGGAGTACTCCGTATTACCCCACAGACTAATGTACCGGTCGTGGTCTTTATCCACACCCAGCATGCCACCAACAAAGCTCAAGATAGGTCGCTGTTTGAACGGAGTACTCCGTAGGATAAAAGTGAATGGTGTGTGATGAATCGTCCAATTTATCGGCAATTAGCTCTAATCATTCCTTATTTGAGAGCGAGTTTCAATTCCTTCGGGTAACTATACCATTCAAATGACTCGAGAAATATGGCGCACCTGAAGAAGTTATGTTAGCTGAACTCGTATAAGCCACAAAATATTTCGAACAAATAGCCATTCAACCATGGGCAAATTTGATTTCAAACTGGCCGACTAAGGAGACTTGAGAGCGGAGTACACAATATAAAGGGATCAATAGTTTGTGAAATACTCCTTAGGTGCATCACATATGCATATGCAGGTAATAGACAGTATGAATCTATTCGGCCATGAGATTCAAGACCCACACAATGTCAGGTTTGAAGACGATTTCCTTCACAGGCTGAAAGCTGAGATCGAAAGTAGGAACTTAACCAATTATTGTAGAGTGGATCCAGTAGTCGCGTGCGACATCCGCAAATTCCCAGAGCTGAATAGATTCAGCTTTTACCAGTTTAGTCACTATTTGCTTGTAAGTAGCCCAACGCTAACTAATGTAGGAAAAGGCCATAGGACCACTCATCAACTTGATACGTCCATTTGCCTCTGCATTAATTGCGAGGCCCTTTCTCTCTCACGAGGGATTAATCTACTATCCCCGTTCTATCCTTGAATTGTACTTCGTACGGAGTATTTTCTTAAAGGAATAGACCCGCTATAGGGCCGCTTATTTTTTCCACTGATGTATGGAGTAAGTAATAATATTAAGATCGGCAAGATTATACAACTATTGAACGAGACTTCAGGGCTGCAAAACTCGGATTTTTCTGCCCTACCCTGTTAGGCTGGCACATACGGAGTACTGCGTATACTCCAGCAAGTACAACATGCAACATATAACAACTAACCCGCTGAACCTTGAAGAACATTTTTTAAGAGATATTGCTCGGTAGTACCTACAAAAGCCCCTTCCACTCCATCACGCCAATCGACATCTTCCCTCGTCCCTTGTTTGGGCTTGCCGAAGCCCAATCTTTAAATATACCAGCCTCCTCGAAATTGTTCTTCTCAAGTACTCTCCTGCTTCCTATATTCCCAACAAAAAAGCTACCTTTAAGAAGATGAAGGTTCATCCGAGGGATAGCCCAGTCTTGGATGACAGTTCGAACCACAACACTCATAACTCCTCGGCTCTGTTGAGTAGGAGAAAGATAGTCTATCAATATTGTTAGCAACTGAGCTCGAATCTCACTGGGGTGTCCATACATCCTATACCCCAGACGATATCCTTGTGCCCCGCAGGCAACTCATTATTGTGCTTCTGTACCAGTGCAAACTCCCAGCTACTGGGTCGCAACTCATAGAAAGCATACCGCGATAGTGTGAAGTCTCCGACCAAGACATCTTGGAGCGGCGCGCCGGTTGTAGGATCTCTTTCTGTTACTTCGCGTATACAAACAAAAGGACATTTATCGAAGAATTTTGGTTCCTCTTGACCATTTGCACTGTCGCTCTGCAATTGACTTTCTGATCTTTCGAATTCTTTTCGCAGAGTAGCCAGGATATCTTTGTGCTCTGCTATTTTCATTTTTACCCAGTCCACGCCGTGCTCGGGCAGAAAAGGGTAAGGTGGCCCTTCTAACCAGCGGTATACTCGTGAATCGTTGAGAATTTCAGTCATAACAGCAGAAGTCTCCTCGATCTGGTGTTCGCGATGTGGAGTGATGATGATGTTTGCACATGGTGCTGGTAGTTGGAGATAGGGCTCTTTGGTGAGCGGGTTATAGTGGACCATTTTAACAACTGTTGTAAGATTCTCGAGTGGAATATCTCTATGTACTAATTGCAGATGTGACTTTATATGTTGCATTTCAGACACTACGCAAAACCTCCTAAGATCTTTGTGAGTCACTCGGTAAATGAGGACTAACCAATTGTGGGCAACACTAGTTAGCTCGATGTCACCTTCAACCTCTTCACTGATTACTGATTTCTGTTATTCCCATATCGCTTCGAACTCCGTGCAAGGATATCCTACCCGAATAAGTGCCCCAGAACGGCATGCAAAGCACGAGTAATACCATCGTTCCCACGTTTTTGCGGCGCTTTCATCCAGAACTCGTAAATATTCCATGGCCGCCAGGTCACCCAACTGACTGCGCTACAGATGAACACACATGTCACGTACACCTGTGTACTCACCTGCGGCCAGACTGAGCAATAGCCTCAACAACAGCTGTGGGAATAACTAGAGCAAGACAAACCGGCGCGAAGCTCGAAGACAACAGGTTCAGATCGCCTCCACCCTCACAGACGTGATAACGAGAACATCTCACAGGAAGTGCCTATTTGGAATACAAAGACAAGGTGCTGAGCATAGAAATACGCAGATAGGACAGCACATAACTCCACAGATTGCTTTGTGTCCTGGCAATGGTATTCAAGTCACCACTTCTCAGGTTTCTGCTTGATTATGCTGTCAAATATCAGAATTAATGATTCGACCAAATAGAGGCTCATCGATATATGTCACTATCTCTCTCTCACATGCACCAGGCTAAAATATTGTAACGTGTGCAGGTAAGTCGCCGATGGAGTATTGTGAGAACTTGGAGTAAACGAGGTAACAATATTGGATGCATTTGTATGTGGGTAGTGTCAATTAGACAGTCTACCAAAAATATTGAGAGTATGAGAGCGCTTCATAATGTTCTACTATATACAGACCCCGCCAGGTGCCACGCCATCTCAGAATGGCATTGTACTTCTGCTTGGGTATATGAATGTTAATTTACCTGCACCCGACTGGTCAATTGTTCCAGACGTCCTGCCAAGGCTCGATGTTTGCGCATGACCTCCTCCCATTCGGAGGCCACATCTCCGGTATCTTCCTCCCCGCCAAGCTCGGTCAAAATCATACCAAAGTCACCGCCAAGGCGACCAAGACTTGCGGCACAGTACAGAAGTTGGGTGAGAAGACTTTCCCTCGAACTCCGATCACGGACATTGGGAAGATAGGAGCGCATTGTATCCGTGAGCAATTGCACGAGATGCATTGGGAAAGTGGCTAAAGCCGGGGGTAGACGTTGCAAAGGATCATCTGAGTGTGCTGGCTTTGACTTGGCCCTGGAGTGGGCCTCCGCACCTCGTAATCCTGATATAGCAAACTCCGATTCGGATTGCTCGGAGTTAAAGATATTCTTATATAGCGAGACAATTGCGAAACTCTGCTCACGGAAGATTTCGATGTATCTTTTTAAGTAGCGGTCAGTCTGCTGACCGCTAGACCACGAGGTCGTCTCTGATTTGCCCTTTCCGCCGAGTCTCCGTTGGGTTTCTTGGTCCGCGAGCTCACGGAGAGGATCCAGGGCTTCAAGGGTCGTTACCAAATGCGCTAGTCTACAGACCAGGAAGATGGCCCCAAGAGCGCCTTCTCCCGTCCCGACTGCCCCATCGCTCTGGAGCATCTCTAAATCCGGGGCTACTCGCCGCAGCCAACCCACGGTTCGGATACCAGCTGCTAGCCGCAGGTTCTGGGCTCGGAGCCCCGTGATCAGATTACTTGTCATGTCCTTCATAGCATCCTCCGCCTGAGATGCAACATCTTGAATCAATGGTGATTCGGGGTATAATGTTTGTAGTCGCTTGATATGTGCATGTAGGTCAAGTGCAGAGGAGTAGGTTGTAGAGGAGACGCCGGTACCGGAGTTGACCGAGGCCGCGGAGACTGCTTTGGATAGTAGACTTGGTAGTTCCAATATATCTGACAATCGGTCGACATTTCGAGAGAGCTGCATTGCCTTCTTCCGTCGTTCTAGGGCGGCATTGTCTGTGATTTTACTGTATTTGGTGGAGAACCCAACGGCCTCCTCGTCGAGTTTGGGGATAGCATCGCGTAGCTGTTGCGCTTCGCGGGTCAACTGCGGAACAGATGTACATAGTGTGGACAAATTATCGGCAGAGGTGACAAAAGCCCGATGCGAACGGCTCGATAGGGCTTGGAGGGAAAGAAGGTTCGAGTGGGAGGATTGAGCGAGCGATGGGGGTTCTGTGGTCTGGAGAGCTTCGAGCGACAATGTCGAAAGACGAGTGAGATATTTATCGGTAGTTAAATCGTGCGATTGAGTTGGATCTAGATGTGGAGCGAGTAGCTCCAACAAGTCGGCCATGGCGAGTTGATGCTATTCGGAAGTTGCGTAAAAGAGGCGCGCTGAATGGATCACCCGCTGTTGGCCCGTGCGGGGCCAGTTGTATCTCCGACTGGAATGGACTTTTTTTACTTTTTTGATTTCTCTCTCTTCCAGACTGTTCCGCTTTAGATAGAGGGATATTTTGATAATTATTGCTCTATTCTTTTATTTTCTTTCCCTCGTTGTTCTTCTCGCTGCAGATAGGTTGCTTCTACAAGCCCCTCCCCCGCATTCGCAGGCTATTGCATTCCCCATGACCCTTCCACCATGGGGAAGCCACGGGTAAGTCTCAAGTCTCCATTTCGGAGTGATTAAGATGTGTCTTGGTTTAAATTGACCTTTCTTTACTTGTAGATGATTATTTTGGTGCGCCATGCACAGTCAGAAGGCAACAAAAACCGCGACATTCATCAAACTATTCCAGATCACCGTGTAAGGCTCACTGCTGAAGGGCATCGACAAGCCCACGATGCAGGCCGTCGACTACGTGATCTCCTCCAACCAGATGATAAACTTCACTTTTTCACATCACCTTATCGGCGGACAAGAGAGACTACTGAGGGAATTATTGACTCTTTAACCTCCGACACAACCGCTCCTTCGCCCTTCCCAAGACATACAATCAAAGTTTATGAAGAACCTCGTCTGCGAGAACAAGATTTCGGTAATTTCCAGCCATGCTCTGCAGAGATGGAGCGTATGTGGATGGAGCGGGCAGACTACGGGCATTTCTTCTACCGGATTCCCAATGGCGAATCTGCAGCAGATGCATATGATCGCGTGAGCGGGTTTAACGAGTCCCTTTGGCGCCAGTTCGGCGAGGACGACTTTGCAAATGTCTGTGTTCTTGTTACGCACGGCCTTATGGCACGAGTATTTCTAATGAAGTGGTATCACTGGAGCGTGGAATACTTTGAGGACCTTCGCAACATTAACCATTGCGAGTTCCTCGTCTTGACGCTCAACCCTGAAAATGGAAAATATACACTACAAAATAAGCTTCGAACCTGGTCAGATCTTCGAAAAGATCGAGAGGATGAAAATGCATCCAAAGAGCAGGTTCCTGCACCCACCCTGCCTTCTGGAGACCATGTCCCAATTCGGCGCAAGTGGGGCGGCTGCCCAGATGGCTGCACTCACGGCTTGACTGCAGATGGAAAACAAACGCTGCGATCGAATCTACTGCATTCCGTGCGTCACGAACATGGCTATCCTCAACCAAAGCATGTCGATGAGCATGCAGGCAGTTTTGGCTCCAAACTTCACAAATCTGTATCCATCGACGAGGTGATATCATCCTCGGAAGAAAATGCGATTCAGAACGATACCAGCCGCAAACCGAGCGCTCAGTATGTCTCCAACGGAGACACCACGAAGCATTACAATCCTGGCTTAGAAGCCCGGCCAACCGTGAATCCATTGCATCCAAAACGACCAACCCTCCACGGACTGAGCCGAAATAGCGAAGACCATCTTCTCCACCAACCAACAGCCACGTCCTCGGCATCAGCGCACCTAAGGTACGCTCTCCTCCACCTTGGCGGCCGTGACGGTGGAGGCTCCATGAGCGGAGCAAACAGCCTCGCCCCATCCGACGACGAAGGCGACGACCACGATCACCACCGTCATGCTATACCAACCTCTTCCAGCCTGGCCGCTGGCAATTTATCCCATGGGAACCAGCAAAACTTTGAATTCTCGTCTAGCGGGCAAACCCAGCGGTCACCTCCCTCCCAGGAGCTTGAAGATGATGGCGATGACGAGATGAGCGTCAATGCCACTTCTATCGAGAAAATGAAGAAATCTCGCCTGCATTATCCCCATCACCACCACCACAACTATCATCATCACAATGATTCTTCTTCCTCTGACCAACCTGAGCACCGCATGGCCAATATCCTAGGCGACGGAGACGAGTTATCCAACCACTCGGAATCACAGACGCAAAGATTAGAAAGTTCGTCATCGGATTCTGCGTCTCATCTTCATATTGAGGAATTATCCTTAGAGGAACAGCAGAAGCAAGATCAGAGTATCCAAGGGAGCGTCTTCTAATACTGTTTCCGGTTGTTTCCGTTGACCTGTTGACCGCTTTTTACTTCTGCATACTTCTTTTTTTATTATTATTCTTTTTTTTTTTTTTTCTCGATGCTCACTCTTACGACCCGCGATGACTATCTGGATGAATTCTGATTACCCACTAGTACAACTACATTCTTACCTATTATCTTATTTTAGTCTGATGGCCCGTTTCGTTAGGCTAGAATCAAATTATATCACAAAAGCAATTACAATATTTGACGCTCGGTTCACAATTAGACATTATTCTAGATATCAGCATCCAAAAGGAAACTCACATGACCATAGAGGTCGCCAAATCCAGCGAATACAAGTAGACAGAGCTTATGCCCACTGCTCAGACGGAAGATACGAGGGAGGTATTGATACAAATCCTACGGCAAAACAGCAAAAATTTGCAGTCCGACAAAGACAATAGTTTGCCGCTAATATAGTGAGATATCTTTCTTTACAGAACTGCGCATCAACAGCCACAGCCACAGCCACTGACCCCAGCAGCCAGATCAACACAGGACCGACGGAGATTGGAAATGTGGAGGCCCTGCGTCACCACTAGCGCTGCATGGCAAAGGGCAGATAGATGGAAACAAGCCAAAAGAGAAGACAAACTCAAGTAGACTACATATATGTCAACCGCGTGGACTGACTGGACTCTCGAAATGAGACCAGATAGAAGATGCATCGAGGGTACTGATATCCCCCCATATACATGCGAAGATATCCCGAGGAGAAGCGGAACCCAAGAGCAATTGTTTCCCATTTGTCACAAGTGAAAAGTGAGAGAGGCGGCAGTGATGGTATACATCATGCAGCTTAGGGAGGTTTGAAAGGATCCTTGAATTGCTGATTTCATTGATTGGAGAAGAATGGCTCGTCATAGAAAGATAGAAACAAATCGAAGGAATCGAGAGAAAAAAAAAAAAAAAAAAAAAAGTGAATGAACAATTGAAGATTGAGGTGAGAAGTGAAAAAAAAAAAAGATTAACGTCGGGCACTGCATGTAGCGTGGCGAATGGGAATAATGTACCGAGATGAAATGGAAGTGAAAAAGAAGAAAGAAAAGCACTCTATGGGTAATCACCGCGAGACACAAATGCCAAGCATAAAACAAAAGGACCAAGGATATAAACCGAAGTCGTGGGTAATAAACAAAGAAGTCAGATTTTGGGGATTCGTGATAGTCGTGACTGCGGCCCCGGCAACCTTAGGAGTGAAAGATGAAAGACTCAACAATGAGATTGAAGGACTCGATGAAATCAAAGTGATATCAATACAACCAGTCGAGTCGAGATTTTGCTTCGTGGGTTTGCCGGGAGCGTGCCAATGTCCGCTGTGGGAGCGTTTTTTTTTCCTCTTTTTTTTCCCGTTTTTTTTTGAAATTTTTTCGCTTTGCCAAACGAGAACCAGCGGACGCAGAACAAGAGTACTTTTTTGGAGACGCGGTAGGCCAATTGCTCAGAAGCAAGTGAAAGCTAAATGAGGCAAAAGGTGGAAAGGCGCAAGATTGGAAACGATTCAAGCAGAAGAGGAAACGGTATCGAAATAAATCCCATGCGAATCACCCAAACAAACGTTGGAAAGAAGTCTAGAGTAGCAGTAAGAAGAAATTCAAGGCAGCAAGAGTTGTGGTCTTAAACCGTCGACACCGTCTGTTCCATCCGGGGTCGTGGGCGGAACATGCCAAGTATCGTCAACTAGGTTGCGATCATCGGCTGCTGCATAGAAGGAAATGCATTGTTGCACATGTAGTGCTCGAGATGCTTGGCACAGTAGGTGCAGCCGCACGACGAACCATGACCCGTCCATAGGCTCTGTGCGAACGGCAAGCCGTACGCCGGAGTGTGGTGGTAGGATGGGGGCTGGGATCGAGGTGCGGAGTGAGCCATGTACTGTGAGGGTGCGTTCCAGCCTCGCGAGTAGGGCGGAGGCGGAGGCGGGTTAGCGTATCCCCAAGGACCAACCGAGTAGTAGTCGGGGGTAGTGGGGCCGCTGGAAAGCGCAGAGGGAGGCGAGTATTCGGACGCGGTCGGGTTGAGCCAAGAGTTCTCGATTTGCGAGCTGCGCTGGTACTGGGGCGGGATGGGGCCTTCGGGGGACATGAGGGGCTTGGCGACACTCTGGCCGCGGACGACATTGGTCTCGAGAGGTGCCAGAGTCTGGCGAGACTCCTGCGCCCGGGCCGTTGCCTTGGCCCGCCAGGTATCCCAGTGTGCGCGCCACGTGGCAAAACCATCCTGCTTGTCGTAGATGCGGTCGTGAATCTTCCAGTCGAAGGCGAAGAGCCATTCCAATTCCATGTGGTTAAGCTCAGCAACGGGGATGTTGCTAACCTCAGCCCAGGATTTGTTCTGGAAGGTGTTGTCATCAAGGAACTTGCTGCCTAGCAGAAGAGCCACGGTCAACATGCGATAGACCTGGCTACTGTCTGTCTTGGTGAAAGCGCGTTGGGCTGACAACAGGCGCACACGACTGGCCAGATAGAAGAGACCGAGCAGAATGGTAGAACTGGGGAGGCGTGTCGAGGACAAAATCTGAAAGACGTATTTCCGAAACTGGGGGGGAACCGAAGATCCTGGGTAGATGCTTCGCACGAGGTCAATATCTGCAATGGTGATGTTGGTCTCGAACAAATCATACATTCCCTGAGCCATCTCTGCCACAAAATCGGACATGCGATCCATCTCATAATCCAGGTGAGCTGCGACACCTCCAGTAGCCTTCTCCTCCTTGCGGGGTTGTTCGGGCTGCTGTTGCATCGGGGCCGCTTCCTGTCGACGGTATTGAGGCGGGATCGTAGCATCCATGGGCGGAAGTTGGACGTTGCTGCGGATTGAGGGCAATCCAGTGCCAACCATGGGGTTGAACATGGGCTGCTGGTTCATCATATGATGATCGCGAGCAGTGTTCATCGGGTGGGCGGACTGGGGGTAGAGATTCATCGAAGTGGGTTTGGTGTAGCAGAGAGACTGCGAATATTGTTCGATGAACTCATTGCCGCTCTGGTGGTAGCGAGGAGGGAATCCTGCGTGACCAACTGGGTAGAATGATGGGTCTTCCATACGACCACCGTTGACATGGGGAGGTGTAGGCAGGCCATGGTGGCCTGGGACGAAGAAGGACGGCATCTTGAGGGAAGGGGAGGCGAGGTTACCAGTTCAGGATGGGAAGCTAGACGTAATCTGTTGCCAAGGAAGGCGATAAATTAGCACAAAAGGCCTCCGGGGTAGGCAAAAAAAAAAAGAGCCAGATGGACCGAGACACAAGAGTTAAAAGAAACAAGGAGACGAACCGTCTACTCCACCAGATCCTGATCCTGGGGGGAAAGGGAGAGGAGAAGAGCAGTGCTCGGCGAGCGGGTCGCTCTGTCGTAGTCCTGGGGGGGCAGTCTCTAGTTGAATGACATCGAGGTGCGTTCAATGATCCAATAGACAAGTGACGGGTAAAATGAAAATTGGAAAGAGTGTATAGTGAACGGTGAATCAGACACAGTCCTTGGATTGTCGAAATGACGCAGCCTGGGAAGGAGAGGTGATAGATCACAATCCAGTCAATTCAAAGTGCTTTGAGAGGCGAATAACCAGGTCGAAGCAAAGCGGACGAGCACACGTAGAAGAGTGAACTGAACGCGTTGGGAGAACGGAGAGCACCGGGTGGAAGAAAAAAAAAATTCCCCACACGTAGACACAAACCTCACAGAATGAGGTGATCAACGACACTTAGTGAAAAGCTCGTTGACACGGGAGAGGGTTGATACAAAAAAAAAGAGGTTGGAGAAGAAGGATGAAGAGAAGAAAAGTGTATAGGGGCGTTGTGTGAGAAAAAGGCCGTTGGGTTGCCCCGGTAATTTTACATGTATTGAGTATACAAGGAAGGAGTCATTCGGCCCACATATAGGAAATTCTAAATTCAAAGAGTTGGTGTTTCGCACATTTTGTCTATCAGTACATTACTATGTAGGCTCCTACAATGGATATGAATTTAGTATTATATTCAATTCTTATTGGTTTTCTTTAGATTTTTTTTCTTCTTTTTCGGGGGGTTTTTTTTTTCTTTTCTTTTCTTTCTTATCCTATAAAAATCCAAGTACAAAGTATGCGGTTTCCTATAAGTTTGGAACGTGCATGTAATTGTATTGTAAGGTAAAGAAAAAGGGCCCTAGACCCTTAAGGCAAATCCGGTGATGCAACGCCCGTGTCACTGGTTCAGTATTCTAATCTTCTTAATATAAGTACAGTCATATTTCATGAGTATTTGCACCCCAGTACTTCCTAATGCTTTTAATGTACTCTCTTCTATTGTGGCCTGCATGCTGGAGCTTCTACCATACATATATATAAGCGTGTATGTAAGCCTTCTACTTACTAATTATTACTTAATGCGTTCAATAAAGTATTAACAAGCAGAAGGAAGGTGGCCTGAAAATTTTGGTAGTACTGGGGTGCAAATACTCATGAAACGCCACTGTACATACTTAGTACTCCGTACGCTGTAGAAGAAAAAAACTAAAAAAAGGTCACTCCACTTAGTGGACTTCCAAGGTTTTTGGGGGCTCATTAGTAAGCTCAGTTATATTGCAATTTCTTTTTTTTTTAAAAAAATCCAGCGAATAGTTAGAGTGAATACAGCATAGTTATGTTGTACTCTGTAAATAATAAATATCCTATCATGATATTAAATGAGACTATAAAAAAAAATACCCTATAAACATTGGATATTGCATTCCCTTACCAAGTCTACCCCCTACGTAGTGCCACCGGAATGGTTCATCCGGACTCTTCCACACCGGTACCATGAACAAACAGACTCAATTACCGATTACAGAGTATCTGTAAAGTTGAGCACCTATATTCAAAACCAACATCCTTACAGCTGTCGCCGGGTCATTTCCTCCATATATCCCTCGCTATGCAATCACACGCGCCCATTACCCCGTACAACCAAGCAAGGGCAACCGAGAACATGCATCTGACAAGCATCCAGTACTCCGTACTCTCCCTGCCTCTCTCTCTATCTGGTCCCTCTGACATGTCAGACATAGTTTGACTGGCCACCTAGAGAGGCACCACGCTCTGACTCACCGTAGGCAACTCCGCCCTCAGCAAAGTACCTGGATGTTGATCCATGCAGTCTCCTAGTACGGAGTAGCGTCATTATGCATGAGGGTATTATGGAGTATGTATATGTACTGGGAGGCAAAGATAGTAGTTGACATGTATTTCTGCGCTGACAACCTATATTTATGTGCCTATCTGCTTAAAAGGCGCATACACCGTTGTGCCAACCAGAAGTCCCACATATTTGAACTCATTTATCTCCAAGAGGTCTAGAAATTCATATCAATCTTTAAATACTTAAAAAATACTTAAATACATCGAAGCCCGTGCTTAATCAATTCTAGAAAAAAACAAAGTCCCTCGGACCTCGTGTCTTGCCATGTTCTTATTTTCGATCTCTTGTTTCAAGGTATCACGACTTAAATATACATATAGTACCTGCCTACCTTGCATTACTGTGATAGACAATAAATTCAAGGGCTGAACCTATGGGGTAAAAAGAAAAAAAGACCAAAACAGGATAAGATCAATGATGCCCGACCGGCTACATTCGGCAGCTTTTTTCCCTGAAACAAAGCATCTCCGTATTTCTTAGCTGCACCATATGATTCGAAAACAATGTAGGAGAACTCCCAAATTGGAATCCCCCCCCAAACCCCGTAGTCTAAGGGAAAAATCGGAAAAATCGGGCAACTTCCCCCCTCCTTTTATCTGAGGGCGGGGGAGGCAAATAAGAGGACACAAGTACTCTCCGTACCAGATTAATATAACGTACGTTGTACATTAATGGTTTCGAGTGGATAGGTACTTCGTGTAGCATTTGTCATAATCGTAGTCTATAATTTCATGTTTCTCACTTCTGTTCTGGGTTGTTCTTGTGCCGATATTGTATATCACTGAAGTATAGGTGACCGGTCTGCCGATGTGATTGGTATACTACATCTAGATCTACACTCTTATGTCAGGCGGCCAGGTCATGCCTAGATTATAATCATATGGAAGGGAATGATTCACAACTTGGAGGGTTCCCTACACTGCCTCTAAATGGGCTGTGACAAGCCCGCTGATAAAGAGAATATTGAGAGCAACCAATTGCATAGGCGTATATAAAAACCTTATAGTAAAAGCAAAGGAATATCAAATGTATATATAATAAAATAAAATATAAGAATTATATTGAATGGGGGCTATGTGAACTGACTCAAAGGATTGTTCGTGTCTTAATTTGGGATTTCAAAAGCTCAAGCTCGAGCTTCTAGATCAAGGTAAGTACATAGAAGCTTTACTGGATATATTACTTTATACTCAATTATCGAAAAACAAAATTGAAAGTCCATAACCCATATCCAAAAGACCCCAAGGAACTAGATATGTACTCAAAGGAAAAGCGCGAGAGCGGCGAGAGCGCCAAAGCCAGACACAGCGCTAGAAATAGTGAAGGACGAAGCACCATTGAACACGGGTGATGTACTTGCTGGGCTGCTGCTTTCAGTGGTAGAGCCCGATCCTGAGCCTGCGTCCGCACCTGCACCCGTGGTAGTAGGAGGAGTGGCTGTGTGGATGCGGGTGAGGCTTGAAGGGATAGCTGAGCTGATGCGTGTGCGTGTGAGGCTGGGTAGGATGGAGGGGTGGCCGGTACTGGTGCCAGGGGAGACGCCTGAGCTAGAACCGGTCGAACCTTCGGAATCGGATCCATTTCCACCAACGTGAGAAACACTAGTCTCACTGACAACACCTCCCTCGGTAGTGGCCGAGCCTGTGGCGGTGATGACAGAGTAAAGAGTCAGAGTGCTCGTCTCAGTGCCAACAACAACATCCGTCGTCTGCACAGGAACAGATGATGTGTACACTGCGCCAGGTGCTGTGGTAGTCACGGCGGTGTTGATGGGGACCGAAGTGGTACCAACAACGACGGTCTCGGTCGTGACGTGTGTTGTCTGGTCACGGCCTGGGCAGTCGGTCACAGTTGCCGGGCATTGAGTCAGAGTTACGGTTCTGGTTGAGAAGATTGTTGAGACTGTGTAGTCATTGCCGTTGCCGTTGCCAGATGGGCCGGTAGGGCTGGGTCCCTCGGTAGTGCTGGTTACATCTTCAACAGGGCAGATGGTGACCGAGACGAAGATAGTCTCAGTTGTAACGTGAGTTGTCTTGTCGGTGGCTGGGCAGTCGGTGACAGTCGAGGGGCAGGCCGTGATGGTCGAAGTGCGGGTGCTGAACACACTAGAGGTTGTCATATCCGGTGTAGGGGTTCCAGCTGGACCGGTAGGGCTAGGTCCCTCGGTAGTGGTTGTTACGTCTTCAACGGGGCAGATGGTGGTCGAGAGGACGATAGTCTCGGTTGTAACGTGAGTTGTCTTGTCGGTGGCCGGGCAGTCGGTGACAGTTGAGGGACAGGCTGTGATAGTTGAAGTGCGGGTGGTGAACACAGTAGAGGTTGTCATATCCGGTGTAGGGGTTCCAGCCGGGGAAGAGCTGGTAGGCCCCTCAGACACAGAGGTTGTCTGTGCGATGGACTCGGAAGATGTTTGGGCTCCAGAGGTCGAGGCCGAGGAATCAATGGCACTGGTTGAGGTGGTGTCTACGGGCCCGGTGCTAGTGGTTGTCAGTGTGGCGGGCTCAGAAGATGCTGGTACACCAGAGGTTGAGGCCGAGGACTCAATGGCACTGGTAGAGGTGGGGTCTACAGGCCCAATGATGGTGGTGGTCAGGGTAATAGGACCTAGAGTGCTACTTGGCGAGACAGAGGAGACGTGCGATGAAGATCCCGATCCCACGGAGCTGGTGTGGCCAGATGTGGAGGCAGAAGGAATAAGCGGAGTGCTGGTAGCCACAGACGAGCTCGATGGAGTCTTGGTAGGGACCGAGACACTGGTCGAGGTGGATGAACCACAGCTCTTCTCGAACGAGATGTTGTTCACATCCACTGTTGTGCCCCAGGTTGTCGCATCAGGACAATCAATCATGATGAAAATGTCGACATCTGAGCTAGCAGTCGTCCATTCCTTGGAGATGGTCTTCCAGGAGCCGGCTGCGAGAGTGCTGGTGCCGACATCTGCGCCGTTGAGTACGAGATTCACGGTACAAGTGGTTGTATCAACAACCGAGCCAGCTTTCTGCCGGAAATCGAAAGAGACAGTATAGCTCTCTTCCGCAACGGCGCCGGTAACTGTCTGGACCAACAGGGTCTGTGATTGGATAGCTTCAGCACTCAGATGCCTACCACAAAACACGAGTCAGTTCACATTCTACAAGGAACCTTACATATGGCTAGGTAAATACGAACAGGTATCCATCAACAGCGGCACCGCCGTTAGGGGGTAGGACAGTCCACACACTATCATCGAGATCAATGGTCTCAAAATTCACATCCTTAATCAAGTTCTCAGATTCACAAGTAGGCGTGGTTATAGTGTGTGCAACTGCCGGAAGAGCGTGGGCAAGCCACACCAAATGGCTTCGGAACAACATTTTTGTACAGAAGCTAGCGAATGTAAACGAATGGACGGGCGAGTAAACACCACAAAGGGTCGGCAAAAAAATATAATTTTGGATGAGCAAGTAAATCAAAATGAGGAGATCGCGGGCTTTTAGCCCGGATCTTTACTTAGTACCTAGTCTCCCCAGGTGTTGGAAAGTAAGATGCATCGTGGTTGAACCGTTTTGTTGCCATCGCCGGCTTGTGGCGTTTGCGCTCCACTCGGCGGATAACTGGCAATTTAAAGCGAGAGGATTGTCTCGTTCAACGCAAGGCCATTGGTTCCTGCATACACTTGGCTGACTTAATATTGAAGAATCAGGTACACATCAACTGAGCGCCTAGAATGGGGAAATTGGAGTCTTCTGTTGTCCTTCCACTTAGGGCTTGGCATGGCTTGCTGTCTCTTGCCGTCTCGGATTCTCGTATCCTTCGGGAAATTTGGGAAATTGGGGAAATTGGGCGTATTGTCAGACGCTATATTTCTCACTACACGCTCGTCAAATCAGAGGAAATTCATGAAACGAAAAACCTGACAGGGAATCAAATGGAGGCGATCAAGGCTGGGGCGCGGATTGTCTAGCCACGTTTTGTCTCGATCGGCGCTATGCCGGTGGCCCCTTCCTGACTTTTTGAGTTTCCTAAAGTGGCATAGGTCTTTTAATAGCCTTGTCTATTCTTGTACAATAGTTATATGTAAACGCTATGGCCCATCAGTAAGCGAGAAATCCAAGACATGCCATGAAATTTAAAGACAATAATGCATTACACGAGACCACCAGGGAATAGGAGGTCTCGGAGTATAGGCCGAGTCTATATGCCAGCCCCAAAACGCCCGGAAAACACACGTCGGATAGCGAATGAAGGCGAACGCTTGACGTACTAATAACACTCAATGCACCCAGACAAAAGACAGGAAAATAAAAGAAAAGCTAGGAGGAAAAAAATAAAGCCCTGAAGTCATCACATCATGTATATCATACCTTCCCTGCGCAAAAAAACGTGGGCAAGAAAAAAAAAAAAAAAAAATAAGAGAGACGCATATAGACAGCCATCAGACAGTGCCGTATTGGCCACGCTCTGCGCCCAACAGAGCCTGTCCCTCTCGAGGGACCGAAGATACCCCGGACTCTCTCCGAGGCGAATAAGAGGGGATCCAACCGCGCATCCAGCCGTGAACATGCCTCCAACGGTCTCGACCGCGTTTTGGATCACCCCCATCGTCGTGGTCCGGACCATCGCCATACATGAGAAACTGAACGCCCATGAACCCATCGAGTCCCAAGACACCGAAGGCACCCAGGAAGAACGGGGTAGCGCGTCCGATCCACTCCAGACGGTCGTTACCGTGGTCATCAGCCCAACCGCCACCGCCGTATGGGGAAAAATCGGACCAAGCGTTCGGGTTGGTGAGCAACGAGCTGGAGTAAAACAGGTTCCCACAGAAGGCGGCCATGAAGAGCAGTGGGGAGAGACCTTCGGTGCTCTTGCGCTTATAGTTCTTGTATAGCTGTGGAGGGCGCGAGCCGAGATACAGGATTGTTGACATCCAGGAGAAGACGCGGCCGATGATCTCGACGAGGGCCTCCTGTGGTACGTCAGAAATGGGCGGATGAGGTTTATCAGTGGGAGCAGCATTGGCGAGTACGGCACAGAGCAATGATGCCATGAGCATCGTGCGGGGCAGTGCGAATGGCAGGCTGTGCGCGCTGCTGCTCATCCTCACGGATCGACGCGAGGAGCTCAATTTCTCGTTTGAGTATGAGGCCGCTTGCCCATGGCTCGAGTTAAGTACCGATCCTACCTGGAAGCCCATATCCTTGGCCTCGGAGCGCTTGTTGTCCATCTTGACGGGAGCTGGGGTCTGACGTGCTGATTCGTCGCCTGGAAGAGGCACGCCTTGAATGACTCCTCGCGCCGAGTCGTGCGAGTGTGGCAGGTTGCTATACGAATCATTTCGGCGAGCTTTATAATGGGTGTACCAGAAGAACTGGAATACCAGAGTGATATCAACAAAGACGTAATAACCGGCAATCACCACCTGCCACCCTGCCTGCCGGGTGTATAGCGCTCCAACGAGGTTGCTCGCATCACCAAGACACCAGATTACCAAGAAAAATATTGATAAGCCCGACGTCGATTGCAATTGGAAGTTCTTATAAATCTGGGGTAGTTGTGCGAAGAGCCATGAGACTATGCTGAGGGTCCCAAGAACGGATGAGATCGCCGCGAGAGGGGTGGGGATACAGATGTGGAGATGCGAGGAGACGGCGGTCAGGAAGGGCGAGGTCGGTTCACAGTGGGAAGGAAGGGTCCCAGAAAGGAGGTTTCGTAATAACGGAGGAAACATGGTTTATCAATGGGGGATGTCTTTGATAGATGCAGTGGCTTGGTAGAGCCTCAGGTAGTGACTAGTGACTCGTGTAGGGGGCATCAAAGTATGGGGTAGAGGCGATAAGCGAATCTGATGTGAAGGTGAATAACAGAGGTATGTATACTCCGTACTCTAAGTCTAATAGAGCTAATAGATTGATCAAGCTTGGAAAGAGAAACCAATAAGTAAACGAACAAAAGCAAGAACAGGAGAGAACAACCCTGGAGGTCATTCTGCAGTGTCACGAGAGCTGAATCGTCTTATCGAGTTCATCGGGGCAGATCGGATGACTCATGCGATAAGCATCCATCCATACCTAAATGGACGTATCAGGGCTTCTCCGAACTTGGAAATGCAGGGTGCAGCCCAGCTGTATTTAGGTGACACATCATTAATGATGGTATTGTATGATGGAGGCCATGCTGGCTATCATGATCAATTAGTCAAATATTTTATACAGACTCCAAGATTCTACATCACCCCAACCTCCCGGGCTTCCAAGGTTGGAAGTCGAAATGACACATCTCAAGTCCATGGATCTCCATATGCCTGGATGTACAGAAAACCATTAGAAGCTACAATTTCAATATAAAAAAATCCATACATGTATACAGCATAGTAGAGAAGAACGCGTCTGTGGACATGACATAGGAAGAATCACTAGGTAGTTTTACTCTATGCCAAGCCAACACAATAGACATGCGTTATTAATTATGTACATAATTATTCATGTTGACCTCCTCCCTCACCACCACCATGGTCAAATACTCCCTTGAGAGAGAAATTCGCGTGGCAAATGCAATCAAGGCATACAAGGAGCGTGATAAAGCAAAAATCGCAGTATTGGCCCGGGAATTCGACATTTCGTACGATCTGCTTCGCAGACGAATCCTCGGCGCCGGTCCTCCTACTGCGCTCCGCAAAACTCTTAATTCTATTCAAGAGAAAGAACTGGATCAGTGGATGACTTCCCTTGAGGCTGCTCATACTCCTCCTACCCCTGGTATGGTAGAAGCCGAGGCAAATCGAATACTTGCTCGCGATGGAATCGAGAAACAGGTTGGCCGCAACTGGCCTTACAGATTTATTGCTCGCCGCCCTTCACAACACCCTGATCTACAACGCCCTTTGAGCAATCTCAATAGCTTTGCGTCAAACAAGGACCAAATAAAGAAAAAAATTCGGAAGGCTATAGAATTGCTTGAAGAAGTGGCTGATGATCTTGATAATCTCAGCCCGAAGCTGCGAAAGCGAGTAACTAGCGTCCTCGATGCTGGTTTAACACAGACGGCAGAGGTTGCTCGCTCTGAGAATCAAAGTCGCGAAATACGTCCGCGCCAGCGGACCCGGAGGCCAGTCTCTCGGCGTGTCTCTGCACCTGAAACAGAGGAATTGGATGAAGATTAGAGAGTGTGGACTCTCTGACATGTCTATGGCTGCTTTTCATCACCAGGCCAAAAAAAACCATCCAATGAGAGGGAAGAGAGCAAATCCAACATTGCGAGGGACGGAGAAAGAGGCTGGTGTAGACGATACTCGGTGGGAGAACTGTGACATACTCATAAGAGATCGAGGGATATCTAGAGTTACCACGCCGATTTGAGGAGATTTTCTAGATGCAAATATTGAACTAAATGACCGAAGCTCTCATTATCTCCGGCTGACAGGCGACAAAATACGGATTACGAGGTCGGGACCACGAGGACTGGAACATGCACATGTGGATTGATCACATGGGTATTTCGTTTGCAAATCCACATGACCAAATATTCATTCTCTCATTATACATAATCGTCAAATTGATAAAGGATAATCAACCACCAGGAAGGTCTGGATTTATGTTACACATGTCGAAATGGAGTCTTCGTCGGAGAGTATACAATATGGTAATTAAACAGATACTCCTGGAGACAAAAATAAACCATGATCGAAAGGAAATGTATCAAGATAAGAATGCTGTCTCTAACTCGATACTAGACCTCGAGCAAAGGAAAGCACATAGCCCATTTTCCATGACATGTGCCTAGACTGTAGTACGATAGAAGAAAGAGGGGGACAAAAGAAGGCCTAGGCAAAAGAACACTGTCTGAGATCGAGCTTTACTCAGTATTCATCCTCATCGTGGTGCCTCGAATGGCTGCTACGATGGGAACTATGAGAGTGTCCGCTGTGAGAGTGCCCGCTGTGAGAGTGCCCGCTGTGAGAGTGCCCGCTGTGAGAGTGCCCGCTGTGAGAGTGTCTACTGTGAGAGTGCCCACTATGACCGCTATGACTACTGTGCCCCGAATGGCTCCGATGGTCATGATGGTGGTGGCGGTGGTGACGGCGGTGGCGGTGATGATGATCACTGTGATCATGCCCATTCTCATCTTGACTATCATCGTCTTGCTTCTTGTGATCCTTCACCTTGTCCTCCAGGAAGTTCCCGAGGAGAGCACCGCCAATCGCACCCAGCAAGCCATGTTCCTTCTTATGACCGAGGTAATAGCCCGCCACGCCACCAGCGAGCGAACCCCCGAGTCCACGGTCCACACCCCGGTCAGCGTCGGTGTCTGTATCGGAGCGTTGCTCGCCCATTCCATCGTGCTGCGAATCTTCTGGCTCCGATACATACACCCCGGGTGGGTGGGGACTTGTGGAGGGTACGTACCGTGGTTGGTCGGCTGGATGGTTGTTACTAGGATCGGTGTTAATATGAGTTTTCACAGCTAGGTGCATATATTGCCCACTCACTAGTATCCTGCATTTTCGGGGATTCTGTCTTGCGTATTTTGGTGCTCTGTAGGAGTCACCGGCCCAAGATAGTCTGGCTGCCCTGTCGGCGTATAGCTTCTCTCCATAGAGGATCCATATGGATCAGGCGCGAGGTGGTAGGAACTTTGCTGTGGAGCATAGGCTTGGTTTGGGTTTGGACTGGGCTGGTAATGCTCTGATCCCGGGTTATAGTGCGGCTCTTGGGTTCCATAGGGCTGATGACCATATGCCGGGTACTGAGACTGATCCTCTGGGGGATAGTAGCCAACCCCGCTCGGCGTAGTTGAGTTTGAGTTGTAAGCGTATGGATCTGCCATGTTGATGTGACGAATATGTCAAGGAAATTCTATCGCATCAATAGGAAAGACAAAGGGGTTTATTTATGTCAGACAGATGACTTGTGGCCTACTTATACATGGTGCGGCTGACCTGCCCGCAAGACCGTCGATCTTCCGCCGGAAGTTGGAATGCACCTTCTCTCCAATCAAATACTGATCACTTGCTTATCTGCATACAGTGGAGGGGTGTCCATTTACCTAATATTTCTTTGCTTTTCTAAGAAAATATGTTTGGCAACTGATATTGTGTTGAGATACAGCGGTTCAATCTTGAATGACAAGATGTGAAAGAAACAAAAACACGGATGAGTCGGGGTATTCCGGTGAAAATCGAAGAAAAAGATGGAAAGCATGGTGTAAATGGAGCTGGCCGTTAGACGTTCAGGGTCACGTCGCTCCTTGGGGCGATGGAAAAATGGAGAAAAAGAATTTGCGCCAAACAATGGCATCAAAACCCAACACGGAAAGGAAAAAATAAAGGTGAAAGGTGAAAGGAAAGAATGAAGGCCGACCAAAAGTGATGCGCCCAGCACATTCAAAATATCCTGGCCTTCATCGACATGCAAGGCGGATCGTCTATCAACACATGGTTTCGAGTGTACACACCTTAGTTATACGGGCGGACTCTGAATGCGACGAGTGGAGGTCGAGCTGTTAGTCCGCTGTGACATCCAGTTCACAAGCATTTCATCAAGCTGAGTGTTCATCTCCTTGAGTCTCTTGCTTTCCTCCTTGAATAAACGACCGGTGATGGGGTGGTCAGGGCCAGCAGGAGGTACATTTGATTTGTCGTGGACAATAATAAACAAGTCACGAATGTCGTTTTCTTCGTCCATATATGATCGTAGACTGGAGTCACTCCACGTCGGAGTGTCCACGGAAAGGGTGTCGAGTGAGGCTGGAGCAGCCATGCTACCCTTGGGGTAAATAATGCTCTGACCGGGTGATGATGGCGGAGATGGGGGCGATAGAGAGCGCACTTCTCGAGGAGAGGCATTATTTGTGGAGCCGCGTGCGCTCATGGGAGAATATGCTTCCACGGGAGAAATATTGATAGGGGACTCTGGTTCATTTCCAGCCAGCGTAGGGACGAATTTCTGGGGTGGAGATGTAACAGACGCCGATCTAGCCGTTGTTTGGGCTGGATCATTGGGACCTCTCCATTGAGCTTCACTAGATGGTCGATCAACAGGCGATTCCAGAGAGTCCATGGATTCGAGCGGAGTAGCAAAGGGGTCCTTGGAAGGACTCGATTGGCTAATAGGCGATTGTAACACAATTTCACAGTCTTCGTAGCTGCTTTCTCTTTCTTCTTGCAGTGGCACCTGCCGAATGCTCTTGCTACCCTGACTCTGGTTAATAGCCTCATTGCCTCTGGCGAACTCGGCCATCGCAGGGTCAAGGACTGGATCAACCTTCATGATTCCTGGGGGCTGCTTGTGTAGCTTGTTGTTCGAGAATTTCTGGGGCTTAGACGGCCGCTGTTGTTCGGGGGACATAGACTTTGATGAGATAGACTCCATCGAGGTCTTAGGTTGGGGCGATGTGCGGAATGCCGGGTCTGCAGGAGACTTTTCTGGGTCTTCAATGTCATCTTTGCTCTTCTTGCGTTTGAATAACCCGCTGAGCATTCCAGGTTTCTTGTCTTTTCGTTTCTTCTCCTCTTTCTCTTTGATTTTGTCCTGTGAGTTGGAGCCCTTTTCGATAGATTCAAAGCTTCCACGAGGCTTCACCAAAATGTCAGTCAATTAACCTTTAGATAAACTCACGATGGGAAACGTACCTCTTTCCATTCAGCCAAGGTGTTTGTGCTGTTTTCATCGCGAATATCGCGCAGGAGATTTGGCGTGAGAGAAATCTTCTTGGGCTCGGCAGTGTCGTCTTTGAAGAAGGAATCGGTGTTTCGTACAGTGCCATTTCTGGATCTACTGACAGGGGGTTCTACTTTATAAAAGTAAGTTCCAAATACTATCCGAGGGCAGTAGAGTTGAGTGTTTTTACCTTCGGCCTCAAAGAACTCTTCACTGGATGGGCGTCGATCAGAGCTTGAACGCTGCGAATCTTGTTTCTCCGCACCGTTGACATCGGCATGCTCTGGGGAGTTTTCTTTCTGGGCTTTGGGCCTCAGAGGTTCCACGACAATATTATCTTCGGCTTGCTCTTGGACATCTTCCTCTTCTCCGTCCAGAGTCTCATCGTCGTTGAAAAAGTCGCCGTGTTCGGAATCATCGTCCGTTGAGTAGTCGACATCGGAGGCGTCGATGTATGTCGGGGCCCCGAAGTTGACGGTCTTCGCATTCCGACGGCGCATAGCTTTTTTCAAAGGATTCTTTGACTTTTCGTTATTGTCGCCCAACATGGTCGCAGATAAATCCACGTTTCTGTGTTTATTCAATCTAGCCAGCCTTTCAGTTGGTGTTTCAATGTGTTCCGCAGGGAGGTAACCGATGCTGCCATCCTTCACCACGCGCACAAGCCACCAGTAGCTGTTGCTGTCGTCGAGAAGAACCATGGTATCACCCTTTGCGGCATTTGCTTGCCCATCGACTGTTGCGACGAAGTTGTGAAGCGCATATACAAACTCAAAATCGATGTCCTCTGTATAACATCAGCTAATACCCGATTAACACCTATAATCCCCGAGAATCCGTACCATCATCGATAGAAGGTGAGCTGGAGATTTTGTCCATCATATCATCGTCCATCATATCATCGCTTTCACCATCTGCCATATCACCATCTTCATGGTCGTAGTGATTTTCATCCTCATCATCTTCCTCGTCGTTGGGTTCTCGATACGCCTCCTTGTCACCACGGTATTCGTGATTCTTGTCTAGTCCGCCCTTTATCTCCGCTTGCGAATCTTGTTCAGCATTGCGAATAGAAAGTTCTTGATGGGGAGCAGGCCGGCCGCTCCCAAGAGGATCTGGATGTTCGGGTTTTTTGGTGTGATCTTTGGCGGAAGGGGTATCATGATCTTGAAGATCCAAGGTATCTAGAGGTAATGGTCAACACCTTTAACTTCGAACCAATTGGCCTCGCGCCCGGGAAGCATTCGACCTACCAGCTCGGATAATTTGAGGCCTAGTCATGCTGCAGTGTAAATGAGTGTGGTGTCAAGAGCAATTGGATTGAAATAAGTCGTGAGCGCAACCAGTGACTAGCGCAGGAATATGGAAATTAAAAGACAAGCGCCCGACAAAAGCAATGCGCGAGCCTTCAATTTCCTGTATCCAAGTAACACACGAATGCTAGACAGTAAAGAAAAAAGTTCGAGCGATTGTCGCGAGCACTTGGAGAATTGGTCTGAATGAGAGACAGTGCCTTGAATGAGAATGGTGGGGGCTGGTCTGCACTTCGGTCCAGCACGGAGGTTGACACAAGAAATAAATTACTGCCAGAGCGACAAGGAGAAAAAGAGAAGGGAAAAAAAAGGACAAAGAGATGTCTGGCAAGGCGACGTCGAGTCTGAGTTGTAACTCCTTTCACATCTCCAAAAGCCAAAAGGAGGTCTTCCCAAACAGGCGCCCCTTGCGCGCGGTTAAACCCATGGTTTGACCCCTGAACCCATGTGCGGGCACGCAATAGTGGCCGACTGGCCAGAGCTTCTATGGTATATCGACCTTTGTATGCCTACTATGGTATTGTAAATAGATTGGGCTTTTTTCCAGACAGCTAAGTATAGGTAATATCTTCTGGGCACTAATCAAACGAAAGGTCTATACATACTACACAACACTGTGGAGAACAATAGTAATAATTACCCAGCATGGCCCTATTTCCCGCTGTATCTCTGGTCATGTAGGGAAATTAGGGCCAGGGTTGCCCTTTAATCAGGTGATTTGCAGTTCTCGCCATCGTCCGGGTTTCCCCGGTTTTTCTCCCCTCTCAGTAGCGGAGACTACTTCATCAATACCTCACTTTCAATCTCTCTCTTACTACCTTTGTTTGTACCCATCGTGTTTTATCTCGAATTTTTTTTCATATTCAAGTCCAAAAAACTTCCTCTTCAATCACGACTTCCTTTACATCACCACTATATCAAACCTTTTGTCCCCACTTTTGACGCTATCACCCCCACAATCATAATCATCTTCAACAGCCATCAGAAAGCGTAACAGAAAAGCTAAGTAGAGGGTTATATAACCCTTCTGCGACCCTATCACGGGCTGACAATACGACAATTTCCGCCTCGTGTTCCTCGTTAGGGCATGGCACATAGCGAGAGGGCCGGATTGGCAAGTGGATTGTCAGGTTTAAGGATTGAAACGAAGTTTCATGAGCGTAAAAAGTCATGGACAAATGAAAATGCTGGGAGGAAAGCGACAACAGTGGGCGATGGTATCGAAAGCGATCACACCAATCAATCTCATGATTATGCGCGTCGCCACGATACTGATAAAGACCACAGTTTGTTAAGTGATCTACACTCAGCGACCCCTCCCATCTCCGTCCCTCGCCCCGGTGAGCAACACCACGTAGACGATGCCGACGACTTCCCACACAAGCCCAATGAAGTGCAGGGGTCCCCTCTCGATAGCTATCTGCACACTGGTCGACCCTCGATTTCTTTCAACCCGAAGGTCTCTGTGGACTCCGGTAAACAGATTCCATTGGAGGAGCCACTGTCGATGGGAGATGTGAAGAACCGTCCACCGCAAAAGTTTGAGTCTCGTAGTTCTGGACTCCGGAATGCTCTTTCACAAGATGATGAGCATGTCGAACTGAATCACGAGTCCCCATGCTGGAGCCCCAAACGATCTTTGGATCGGAGTTTCCCGACCGGGGAATCCAGAGCCCAGCCCTTTGCGAGATCTGAAAATGGCTCGACCACGGGCTCAGAGCTTCATCGTCCCACATCCCTTACATCGCAATCGACGGTATCTCCGGTCATGGACGAGGTACGAACCCCTCCCGATGACTCTAGCCACACGTTGCTGTCGCCATTTTGCGTGCCGTCGCCAACATCCTTTGCATCGCCTGAAGACCGCAGCAGCTCCTGGTCTGGAGGGATCGCAACTCCTTTCGGAAGCAAGCGCAGCTCTACTTTCGATCGCAGCAGCAGCCTTCGGAACTCCACCCGGCACAGTTCTCGACGATCGACTAACTCGAGTGGCAAGTCGCCCGCCAGTATGTTTCTTTCCATGTGGAACAACGTTGAAGAGCCTGCTCCTCAACCTGATGATGAAGGCCAGATGGTTGGAGACGACTATGTTCTCGGAAAGCAAATCGGGTTTGGGGGTTTCAGTACGGTGAAAGAGGCCTATAAAGCTGAAAAACACGGTGAAACCAAAAGACTTGCGGTGAAGATCGTGAAAAAGCAGCTTACAGGGCGAAGTGAGCACGAAAATGACGAAGTGCAAGCCGAATTTGACCATGAAGTGCGAGTCTGGCGGTACCTCAGCCACCCACATGTATTGACGCTCGATGCCGTGTACGAAACAGATTACGCCACGTTTTGCTTCACCAAACTTGCTATTGGTGGCACTCTCTTCGACCTAGTCCGCCAAAATCGGTCTGGTCTAGATACGCAACTAGCAAAGAAATATGTATACCAATTAGGCAGTGCAATCCGCTACCTGCACGAAGACGCCCGCGTGGTTCATCGAGATATCAAGCTAGAGAACTGCTTGCTCGATCCTATTGAGTCTCCTGATGGCACAACATCTTCGACCTTGGTACTGTGTGATTTCGGGATGGCGGAATGGATGTCCATCGATAACGGTGGCGACTCTCCTGATCCGTACGAGGATGCCGCTGACCGTCCGCCGCCTCAGCAAATGGGCCCTGCTGGGTCCAGTACCAGTGTGGCGGGTAGTCTAGAATATGCATCGCCCGAACTGCTTCAATCAGTAGAGGTTTTCGTTCACCCTTCAGTCGACATCTGGGCCTTTGGCGTTATCGTCTATACAGTCATCGTCGGTTCGCGACCTTTCCAAGACTCTTTCGCTCCTCGTATTCAAGCAAATATTCTCAGCGGAACCTGGGATTCTAATGCCGTATTCGGTGACACTATAGATGGTCACCTTCGTCGGGATCGCCAGTACGCCCTCGACTTGATCCGCGGGTGCCTCGAAATGGATCCCAACAAGCGTTGGACTATCCGCGATGTACTAGCTTCGTCCTGGCTACGAGAGGTTCGTGAGGCAACTGAACCCTCACCTGATGCTGTGTGGAGACTATGAGCTTTGCTCATCTTTTCTTCCATTTGATGATTAGCAACCTCACAACCTGCCCTTACATTTGGACTCCAAAGCAGATGAGATTGTCTTCACGTTTTAACGTCAAATTTCTTACGGTCTTATGGCCCTCATTTCAGTCGCTGAACATTCAACAAGCGCCGATGCTCTCGGGACCCTCTGAAACCACTATGATACCCCTTTATTTTATTTTATTTTATTGCTTCTTGCTTTATTTCGGCTCAAGATTGTCCGTACGTGCCTTTTATTTCTGTGTTTTTCCGCAATCTACTCTCGATATCCCCCCTAGCAGTGCATTCTTGATTTTTGGATTTGGGGGTTGGTTGGATTCTGGCTTAGGCCTTCGCATCACGAGACGGACGATTATGATTTACTCTTATAGCAAGCGTGGCGTTTCATCTTATTATTGCCATTCTGTCGGATGTTGCATGAGCATTCGTCAGTTTGGTTCTTCGCTTTGCGTGGTCAACTTGGCTTGGTCACTTTTACTGGTGTACTTTTATACCTGTGGATCTTTGATTCATGTTTACTGATCTGGCTTTGGTCTTCTCTTCTCAATTTTTGGTGAAATATCTGTCTGGGTGGCTGGTCTGTCCTAAGTACGGTACAAGACATAATAATCAAGCTATTTATTATATCTTGCAATTCACAAGAATGGTCGGCTGGTCATGCGGCCTCTGTCCTTGACGACGTAGGACGAATAATCTAATTCACTTGGCTCGTGATACTATGAACGTTTTATTCAGATAACATTCGGATGTCTTTTCGGTGTTATAGCTGAAGGTAATAATTACATATGTAGCTATCAAATCACCAGGAGTCAGAATAATAGTACAGGGTACATAGACATGCTCGCTTTTCACAGGTCCGGCAGTTGCCTTTTTAATCTATAACCAGATACATTTACCAAATGCATGAACATCGTGCTCATAGGTCATTCCGCGGCCTTGGAGCTCTCCCAGAAGAATAGAAAAGGGGGAAAAAAGGCCAAGAAACATCTAATTGCAAAGCCTAACGTATCCAACAGAACATATTTATACATATACAGTAGACCAGTGCAAACCAGCCTTAAAAAAACAATGCCAAACAACCAAACGGAGATCAAGTATGAGATTCTCCCCAAACCCACTCAAATCTACCAAAGCCTATTCGCAGGCAGAACCTTCTCCTTCTTAACACCAGCAGTCGACTTTCTCTCCTCGGGAGAACGGAAGAACAAACTAGGACCCTCAAGCGGCTTAAGCAGATGCGCAAGATATCCCCGATGCGCAGGATCACGATAATACTCAATATCCTTACGCTTCGTCGGATCCGGCAGCCGGTACTTCATCTGGTGGTGGTTGAGCACAGTACTCCACTGCATCCAAGAGAACGGCGAGCGAACCCCAGCGACCTTGTAGAGCTTCTCTGAGCCACTAGCGCGCGCCCACGCAGCCGACAGGAAGGTATGTGTCTCGCCGTCGAGGATGCGGCGGATGGATTGCGGAGTGTAGTAGCGGGTAGTCACCGAGCCGCCGGTGGATTCGATGGCGGCGATAGCGGAGGCGGAGACGCGCGAGGCAACGACGTGGAGTGGTTGTTTCAGGGATTCGGCGCCGTCGCCGAGGATCTTGAGGCCGTCGATGGGTCGGCTGATGCACCCGCTCTTGTAGAGCTCTTTCATTGTGATGGGTTGTTTGGGGTTGAGGCGGCCTTGGTCGATCCAGTATTGGATTCGGTCGAGGTTGACGGTTGCCATTTCGACGGAGAAGCTGGATTCCGAAGAAAGGGGTTTGATTAGAGATGTGCTTTGTGGGGAAAGAGAATTGGGGTGCTTTTGACAAGGGAGGACGATTTACATGTTGACGCCGCCGCGCTCGCCGTGCACGACGATATCCTTGGTCTGACCACCATTGAAGCCTGCTGGGACTTTGCCGTGCTGGCCTTGACCCTTGTGTCCACGACCGGAGGTCTTACCCTTGCCTGAAGCGGGACCGCGGCCTCGACGGATGCGCTTGTTGTAGGCAGTCGGGTTGTCGGAGAGGGAGGCTAGGATAGAATTGTTGCGGGTTTGCTGGGATTGTGGGAGGAGGAAGGCGAGTGGGGAGGCCTGTTGGAATGGCCGGGCTGAAAACTGTGCCAGCCGCGTGGGCAGTCCCATCAACCGGGGAGACATAGTGTGTGGTTGTGGTTATGGGCTTGCTGGTGCTGAAATCGCGGGTTTGGTGGTGAGTTTCGAGATCTCTGTCGGGGCGGGTTATGTTTGATCCGACTCCGGGCCCTAACTACAGTATGTATAAAAGTCGACCTGTGCACCAAGAACTGTGTTGCTTGTTTGGACTTTTTTTTTAAAAGGATATTAGGCATTCTGACAAGTGCATTAGACATGTTTTTGTTACGTTTCATTTTTCAATATACATATTTATCGATGTGGATTCAGACGGTCGGGTAACTGGGTCACTCTTCAATTTGGAGCTTTCTTTGCTAACTATGTAGCTACCTCCACTACAATAATTAATTGATATTATACAATAAAAACGTTGATTTCAAGCGAAGAGAAATTACCACTTGGTAAATCTAGATTCATATGCTGCAGAGCTAAAGCTATGTCTGCCAAAGTAAAACGCCGTATGGATGCAAAATGCGAGAGCAGTACACTGCCGATGTGCCCTGAGGTACATTCGACGGACATGGGCGAAATCAAAGTCAAGAATAACGCCGCAGATGCCATCCCCGAGGTTAATCTCGTCTACAGGGAGGCGAAAACCGATTTCCTTCTAAAATGGAGCGCCGAGGATATGCCAGATACAGTCGTGAAAAGGGGGGGAAATCTGTGCAGTCGAAAAAGGAAGACAAGTAAAAAGAAGGGGATAAAAAGGGTGTACAGCGAATGAGATGGTCTTTTTTTTTTCTCGTGTGACGGGTCGTGGCGCGGTCAAGTCATAAACTCAGGAGATGAGAGTAGTAAAGATAGGAGTACAGAATGCTTCAACCAGAGTAACCGGAAGGTGGGTAGATGGGGTGCAAGTAAGGAGGTTGGTTCCACGCATCAGGCTGGATGTAGGGTAGAAGGCCGGTCTTGCGAGAAGTGGTACCCTTTCCAAGCGGCTGGTAGTGCATATGGTCAAATGGAACATTGCGCTGCTGCTGTAGAGAGCTTGATGGAGGTGGAATCAGCAAGGTGTTGACAGAACGCACTGGCCGGTAAGGCGAGTTGCGGTTGGCGAGGAAGAAGGAAGGAGAGAGGTGTGTCTGCGGGGTGTGGACAGAATAGGTTGATCCGGCTGGCGAGACGGTGGCAGAAGACACGCCGAATGGGCTCTGGTGGTGCCGGCCTAGTTCTGGCAATGAAGTGGTGTTGTACATGCTGGATGGCATTGGGGGCACAGAGAGAGGAGGCATCTGCTGCCAATTCGGCGGCCGATTGTAGATAGGAGGCATAATAGCTGGAAGCTGGGAGGGTGCTGTGGGAGGGAGCGTTTGAGATACGGGATAGGAAGTTGGGAGGGGAGGTGGTTGGTGAGGAGGCGGAAGACGAGAAACGTTCATCGGTGCCACCGGGGCAGAAGTGGGAGTCAAGACGGGTGGTAGGGTGGGCATCGCATTCATGGCAGTCACCGGGACAGTCATCGAAGGAGCAGATGTGGCGGAAGAGAGAGCAAGCCGCTTGGTCGGGTGAAGATCATCATTCTCATCGCGGCTGCGTTTCCGAGAGCCTCCTATCGCAGGCTCGGCGCCCATCGATTGTGGCGGCAACGAGTATGGCAATCCACTGGGTGGCATATACCAATTCGGCTGCGACTGGGAACGGAAGACATCGGTACCAGGCGACGGCAACTTGGATGGCGACTGCGATTGGATGCGGGGAGGCGAAACACGGAGCATGGTGACTGGTTCGACGGGTAGCATCGAGGCCTGGTTGAAGTAGTCTCCGAAGAGCCCTAGCTTGGTGTGCCACTGGGACCACTCGGTCTCAGAGGAGAACAGATCATAGCGAATGTTGCTCAGAAACTCGACCTCCATAATGTGAATCTCATGCACCGCAATGCCCGATACCTCAGCCCACGTCTTATTGGTGTAAGTGTTATCGTCGAGGTCTGCAGATGAGTCAGCTAATTTGTCCAATCAAGTCCAGGGCGGTGAACCCGATAAGAATCACTCACATTTATTGCCGAGCATCAACGCAACCGTCATCAACCGGAACTCGCTGCCTTTCTTGCCCTTGACCCCGGAGTTGAACTTCTTGAGGCGGTAGATAAACAGAAGGGCCAGTAGAATGACATTCTGGCTGACTTGCGTAGTGGAGAGAATTGTGGCAACCCATTTCTGAAATCCAATGGTGGGCATGGCCTCGGCGACCAGGGAAGGAACGGGGTGTTGGCGATCTTCGATGGCTTGTAGTTTGGAGGTCTTTTCGAACCAGAATAGACAGGTCATCTACATAAAAAAAACAAAGATATTAGTTCATGTTATAACGTCACTCCTGTAGACCCAGAAATCCTCACCTGAGCTGCAAACTCAGCCAAACTGCCCTTGCTGCTGTTGATGGATGAAGGAATTCGGAGTTGCGATCCAGTTGCACCGGTTGACTTCTTCTGAGCAGTTGGTTCCGTCGCTGGGGCTTCTTTAGTCGCGCTGTGACTAGGTTTCATGGCGGCCATCGACGAAGAAATGGAATCGAACTGGGGACGCGAATGGCCATAGATGTGCGAGTGCATCCCGTTCGGATTCCCCCCATATGCGATAGGTGGCATAGCATTGTAGGTGACGCCGGTCATATCGTGAGGAGGGGTAGGTAGACCGTTCCGAATAGGAACAATCCGAGAGGATCCCGAGGTTTGGCTCTCTAGAGCCTTCAACGGGTGATCCTCAGTTAAGTCGATGGTTGGAACTCCCGGTGTCGAAAAGGAGGAATGGAAGTCCACAGTGGAAGACATAGGGAAAGTGTAAGTGATGAACGGAGAGCTCGACACATGGAGTTTTATTTCTTTTTTCTTTTTCTTTTTTTTTTTTTTTTTGATCAAAGCAAATAAAGGCGTCGGCGGAGAGAACCGAGGAGTTTCAGTGACCCATGTTCTTCTCTATTAAAAAGTGAAAATAGAGCCAATCAATAGAAAACAAGTGATTTGTTTTCTTGTCCAATTGGAATGCAATCAAGGAGGGAGAGGTGTTCCAAGTGAGGGAAAAGTGAATATAGACCTTTCAGGGAGTTTGGATGATGTATATAGAGTAGCCACGATAGGCCCATATAAGGAAAGTAGTGATAAAGAGAGAGATCCGGTTGCTCCACTAAGAGAAGGGAAAAATAAAATATTAAAAAATAGGAAAAATAGAAATAAAATAATATAAAATAAAATTATCAAGGCATCATCTCTTAACCCGGAGAAAGTGATAGTTGGCACAGAGTTTGACCCGGACGCAGGTCCAGGTTGATCCTCCTTTCTGGGCTCGTTTGGGGTTCCGGGTTTAGTAGGGAAAAATAATATAATTCTACCCAATAAAGTGACAAGGTAAATAAAATCTGAAAATACCGGTTGATGTCAGAGCCATGGGGAGTTCCAAGTGGATGCTAAAAAAAGGGTAGGTCACAGAATGTTTAGGGCCTCACATTTGCCCTAAAATGACAGTATGGAACTAGTGAAAAAAGAGATAATATAATAAAGCTATAAAACAAAAAAATAGTAAAACCCAAATCAAGTTGAATTCAAGTTGAATTCAAAAGAGAGGAGAAAAAAGGGAGTTCAATCCTGAGACCCATATCAGATCCAATAATACTTTTGCAAGTTGGGTTTAGTGTCAATAAATTACCAAACCGTGTTATGCGAGGTGAAGGGCTGTGAGGGTGCGCAAGCATGTAGGTACGCCTCCGTCCTGCAAAGAAAAAAAAAAAAAAAGGGCTAAAGGGGGTTGCCGGGAAGCGCGGGGCTTAGGGAGGGTTTGAGCACAGTGGCTGGTAGTTGTACATAGTATACACTGGAAAGGAATGGAAAAGGTAGGGAAAAAAAAATGAGACCAATAATGAGAGAATGGAAGATCAATTACTTGGTTTAGGGGAGAAACCAGAGAGAAACCAGAGACCATAGAGCCATAGAGCCCAAAGAGACCAAAAAGAGGGAAGATCGGGAGTCTCGGTAAGAATGGTGCATTCTTATGTAAGAAGGCAAAATTACTAAGAATTTAGCCAATTAGAGACAATATGACAGTATACACGTATACCTATGTTGTATTTTGTAGGAATGGTCCACTAAAAGTCTCAGGTGGGCCAAATTTCTTGCCTTTTTTTTTTTTTCCTTTTTTCTCTTTTTGGTGTTAATTTATCCCGTGTACGACCGGTCCACGGTCCATGGGCTTTTTGCTCTCTATCACACCCGTAATCGCGTACCCCCCGACTTTGTTAGCCGCTATCAGTCATTGGTTCTCATAGTTAGTACGGAAGTACGGGTTATAGTCATTTGGTATGTTCGTGTCTTTGTGGAAGTCTTCTCATCCCGCGTCTCCCCCTACAGCCCACTGTCCCGGAGGACTTTCCTGTTTATGATTTCAGGGGTGAGAATCTCATCATAATTACAGGATACTGTTCCAGTGATGGACCAATTTGATAGTTCAGGAGCCTCGGAGGAGGGCCGGAATCCCGTCATTTAATTCGTCCGGCTTTTATGCACTGGACTTCCCCAAGCTATTTTTCTCTACTACGGAGTACAGGTCACCACATACCTAATTTAGTGCAAAAGTACGGAGTACTACTGGTACCTCTGTCGGTATTTGTGTCCCGTCCAAGCGCCCCTGTGTTAAGCCGAGCCTATAGTGGAATATACCAGTTGTTGGCCCCAGTAAGAACAGGCTGTTTCACTCAAAACACTGTTCGACCCATCTAGGCGGAAAAGCCTCAGGTAAGGTGGCATGTAGTTGCACTTGTGATCCAGTGCAGTAGGCTGGAAAGCCGAAAAAGTGCAACGGGCCCAGATCGGCTGGTGGAATTGGAATCCATCGGCCACTCGTGGCGTCCCAACGGTCATCCCTTCGAGAAAAGGCCGAGGTGATTGTTTCCAAAGATGTGCACACTCCCTCGCAAGCTATACAAAAAAAAAAAATTACGGAGTGATTAACATCCCGCTACTCCGTGATATGGAAGTGGTCCCTGAAGGTGTGGTCTCTGGTCTCTTTAACGGTAAGTACGCACGGGGCATCTAATCATTTAGTACTCCAAGTACTCTCCGCCTAGGCGCATGCAAAAGGTATACATATTAAACCTCTTGAATCTTCAAGAAACCTTCCTGAAAGATCATCGGGACTCTCACAAGAGACACTTGGTCTATCACGCCACCTCATGTCCGAAACCAGCAACTTGGGTAACCTCCAAAGGGAGAATCCAAGTCCTATCTTGGCGGTAAAACCACGGTCAAGCTGAGAACCCGGGTGTTAGCAAATCGTGGACCTTCATAAAAATAAAAAGAGCTCATCTGGCGAAATTAAAAAAAAAAATTTGAAAAGAAACCTCTCTCCACTTGGGTTTCTGAGCCACCGCCACGGAAGATGTTTCGTTTCTAGAACCCCCAGGTAGAGAAGGTGGATTTTGAAGGGAAAAGTCCACTGTGTCATAGTGCTCCATCTTGTTAGACGATCCATGCCGTTGTCGATTGGTTTTTTTTAAAAAAATTTATTTCAAAACCTTGGAAGGTCGATGTTGAACTGAAAGCCTTGGAGGCGACACTTGATTGGTAAATTACTTGAAGTGACCCCCGTCTTTTACTGTTTTGGGCCAAGGACGTGTTCACTCGTCACAGTCCTACAAGGGAGCCTAGGAGTCAGCTTCAAAAGGTGTTTGACCGGGAGCCTTACAAAGTACCCTTTTGTTACCCC